AAAGATGACTGGACACTTTTTAGGCACCACATGCCTTAACACTCTGTGGCCCTGTTGTTCCTCCTAGACACTTCACAATAATAGCACTTACAGTTGACGGGCAGATCTAGCAGGACAGAAATTTCACAAACTGGCTTGTGGCAGAGGTGGGATCCTATGACAGTGCCATGTTTAAAGCCACTGAGCTCCTCAGTATGATCCAGCCTACTGCCAGTGTTTGTATATGGAGATTGCATGGCTATGTGCTTGATTTTATACACCTGTTAATAATGGGTGTGGCTGAAACACCTGAATTCAATAATTAGGATGGGTGTCCACATACAGTATAGTGTATATATTCAATATATATCAATATTATTGAAAAAAATGAATAGTTCAACTGATGGCCTAACTAAAGAGGTGGATTTCACTTTACAGCTGCTGTGAAGTTGTTCACTTTTTAGAGTTAAATTACATGTCCTGGCATCTTTTTTAAACAGCCGAGATTAAAATCAACTTCTGGATAAGTAAAAACGACACTACAATCTGTTTGGAGTGAACAAATCCACGTTAGCAACACTTCCGCTATTGATTCCTTGCAGAAAACATGAAAACCATCATCGGGCCTACAGCAACTTCAAAAGCCTCATGAAGAATCAGCGTTCAAACTGTCCTGAGCGCGACTTTAAATGTTCCGTCAGAATGTAGAACACGGCTTCAAAGCCTCAGATGGGGCCGTTTTCATTTCCAGCAGCTTTAAAATGGCCTCGGAGCATTTCGTCTGGGTATTTTTTTTTTGTGGAAATGAGCAAATTGTGTTCCTGTGTATTAAATCTGACAAACTTGAAGCAGCGCCAGCATGAAATAGAGAAACATTGTCTGCGAAAAGCAACAATGGAGCCCCTCTTCTATCTGTCCTTCCATCTGAAAACAATTTTTCCCAACAGTGTGGGTTTGTGATTGGTTACTGGAAAAGGCTTATGATCCCATTCCTGAAGGATGTGCGTTTTTTTTATCCTTGGGGTTGGATGTGAGAGAGTGTGTGTGTGTGAGAGAGAGAGAGAGAGAGAAAGAGAAAGAGAGAGAGGCCAGAAAGGTCAGCGGGATGTTTTAGTGGATGGTGAAGGACAAATTGGATTTTGGAAGGCCCTCAAACATGCCAGCGCAGATCAATTACATTTCCACGAACACGAAGATGGCCTCCAAAAGAACATACAAACTTTTCAAAAACACAGCGATCATATGAGCACAACAGGCTTCGCCTCGCAGTGTAACATCGTGATATATGAGTTTATTTTTCCTCTTTTTCCTTCAGAAATTCGTTTTTCATTCGCTCTTGTCTCCATCACAAGCTGCAGCCGCGCAGTAAGAGTCTTTTCTCTGGTAGAGGAGGTACATGGACTTTTTTGATGGCCCACACACTCAAAAAACAAGGCAATTACTTCACTTTTTTTATTTAAGAGGAATTCCAGCACTACATAATTTCTGCATAATTACATGGTTAAGACATAAACAGAGTCATTCAGAGTGGTTTGGTGTGAAACGTTCTGTTCTAGAGAAACTTACAGAGTCAGAACTGTTCCCAGTGGTGGTGATAGGAACCAGGGGTCGCAATGTTTACAACACAAATACACTACATGGACAAAATTATTCAGACACCTACACATTACACCTACAGGAGCTTTTATGAATCCCATTCTAAATCCATAGGCATTAATATGGAGTTGGTCCCCGTTTGCATCTGTAACAGCTTCCACTCTTCTGGGAAGCTTCTACAAGATTTTGAAGTGTGTGTGTGGGAATTTCTGTCCATTCATCCAGAAGAGCATTTGTGAGGTCAGACACTGATGTTGGACGAGAGGGTCTGGCTCACAATCTCCGTTCTAGTTCATCCCAAAGGTGTTGGATGGGGTTGAGGTCAGGGCTCTGTGAGGGTCAGTCAAGTTCTTCCACACCAAACTCACTCAGCCATGACTTTATGGAGCTGCTTTGTGCACTGGGGCTCAGTCATGCTGGAACAGAAAAGGTTCTTCCCCAAACTGTTCCCACAAAGTTGGAAACATACAATTGTCCAGAATGTCTTGGTGCTGAAGCATTAAGATTTCCCTTCACTGGAACTAAGGGTTCTAGACCCAACCCCTGAAAAACAGCCCCATATCATCATCCCTCCTCCACCAAACTTCACAGCTGGCACAGTGCAGTCAGGCAGGTAACGTTCTCCTGGCATTTCGCCAAACCCAGACTCGTCCATCAGACTGACAGATAGAGATGCGTGATTCCTCACTCCACAGAATGCGTTTCCACTGCTCCAGAGTCCAGTGGCGGCGCTTTACACCACTCCATCCAACGCTTAGCATCGTGCATTTTGATCTCAGGCTTGTGTGTAGCTGCTCTGCCATTGAAACATATTTTGTGAAGCTCCTAATGTGCAGTTATTTTGCTGATGTTGCTTCCAGAGGCACTTTGAAACTCTTTAGTGATGACTCAACAGAGGACAGGCACTGTGCGCTTCATCATTCATCGGCCCCACTCTGTGAGTTTGCGTAGTCTTCTGCTTCGTGGCTGAGCTGTTGTTGCTCCTAGATGCTTCCATTTCACAATAATAGCACTCACAGTAGTCAGGGGCAGATCTAGCAGGGCAGAAATGTCACAAACTGAGGCATCCTATGACAGTGCCATGTTTAAAGTCACGGAGCTCTGCAGTACGACCCTCTACTGACAGTGTTTGTCTATCGAGACTGCAAGGCTACGTGCTTAATTTGATCCACCTGTTAGCAATGGGTGTGGATGAAACACCTGAACTAAATAATTAGGAGTGGTGTCCCAATACTTTTGTCTATATAGAGTATGCAATGTCGATTAAGGTAAAATAGTGGAAAATCTGAAAAAATCAGTTTTCTTTGGGAACTATTTTCCCTAACAACGGCCTCCATGTATCTCTCCACCATGAATGGATATTAAATAAATATCCATTAAATAAATACACATCAAATAAATATGAAATAAATAAATATGTTTTAGTCCAAAAACATCTCAAAACTATCATATAACAGTGTCTCAGGCATCAGGCAGTGAATTCATAACCATTTCATGTAATGTCTTTCTGCAAGGGAGCTTTTAGAGGTGGACGTCTGGTTCCTATCACCACCACTGTGAACAACTCAGAGTCAGTAAATTTCTCTAGAATAGGGCATTTCACACTAAACCACTCTGAACGACTTTGCTAACGTCTTAACAATTTAATTATGCAGAAATTTTGAACAATTGGTGGACTTCCCCTTTTACAATGCATATTATTTCTACAGTGTCGCTATTGTATTTGCATTGCGTTGCATGGTAATGCTATCAAAGCTTTTGTTAAACAGATATTTATTGTTCTGTCTTGTTCGTCGGTTATTTTGTGGAGCTGTTCTTGGCAAAAGCAGTTTACTGTACAGTTAATAAAGTTGTACCTTATCGTTTTTAAGCTCGCAGCTCTTTCCGCTCCTGTCCTGAGATTTCCTCATTCCTGATTTTGAGTGCATTCAAAAAAGGCGAGAGCATTAACACACATTTTTGCAGGAGGCAAATCAATCTACAGCTGTCAGCTTTCATTCTGAACACTAAATACAAACATGAATCCGACTGGACATAAATGCCTAGAGCTGTTCCACTGTATTCGGCCTTCTCCTCCCCCCATCTTCACACTCACTGACTGACTTATCAGGGAAATATTCAGTGGTGTTCCTGCTCTCATGGCAAAATTACATCCTGATGATTCATATGGATCCCACATGTTTTTAACAGTCACACGGCCTAACATGGAGTCTGATGTCTAATGTAGAGATGATATAATCTTGAAGGCGAGATGACGGGAGAACACTGGGGGTTTCCCCTCTGCTTTAAAGTGCAATTCCACTGATTTTTCAAAATTCTACCACAATTCAATTGTTGAGATGTAAACAAAGTCACTGTAGAGAAACATACAGAGAAACTTTCTGTACAGTTGTGGTGATCGGAACCAGGGGTCACAGTGTGAGCAACTCTGACTCAGTACGTTTCTCACATCTCAATGCAGAAATGTTGAATAATCAGTGGAAAGTCCCCTGCTTCACCTTTTCCACAGTCATCCTGCTTTGAAAAGTACTGCTTTGTGAAATCATCAGATGTTTTAGAGCAAGAACAACATGAAATAGTGCAGTGAAGGGTGACTACAGGACTGGAAGTAGTAAAAAAAACGCACTAAAAACTATGATAATACACTGCGATCAGCCTTAAAACCACCTCTGTGTTACACTCATTGTATCAGCTCCGCTGACCATATACATGCACTGGTCAGGACCCCCACAGGACCCCCACAGAGCAGGTACTATTTGGGTGGTGGATCATTCTCAGCTCTGCAGTAACACTGCGTTAGTGTGTGTTGTGCTGGTCTGAGTGGATCAGACACAGCAGTGCTGCTGGAGTTTTTGAACACTTCGGTGTCACTGCTGGACTGAGAATAGTCCACCAACCAAAAATATCCTGCCAACAGCGTCCTGTGGGCAGCGTCCTGTGACCACTGATGAAGGACTAGAGGATGACCAACACAAACTGTGCAGCAGCAGATGAGCTATCATCTCTGACTTCACATCTACATGGTGGACCGACAAGGTAGGAGTGTCTAATAGAGTGGGCAGTGAGTAGACACAGTGTTTAAAAACTCCAGCAGCACTGCTGTGTCTGATCCACTCAGACCAGCACAACACACTAACACACCACCACTACCGTGTCAGTGTTACTGCAGTGCTGAGAATGAGCCACCCACCCACATAATACCTGCTTTATGGTGGTCCTGTGGAGGTCCTGACCATTGAAGAGCAGGGTAACAAAGTATGCAGAGAAACAGATGGACTACAGTCTGTAATTGTAGGACTACAAGGGTCCTCCTATATGGTCAGTGGAGCTGATAAAATGAGCAGTGCGTGTAGAAACAAGGAGGTGGCTTCCCCTCCTCCTGGCCGATAGATGGCGCTCGTCCGCGGCGCTGTGTGGAGCAGCTCGGTGAGCAGGGCGGATTTGGGGAGTGGTGCTCTGTGAATGACCGGGATAAAATCATCCGCTACTTATCATCAGATTTAAAAACGTTTAATGTAAACATTGTGAGGAGAAACTGAAGCGGCAGTCCTGGGTTTCATATGAACGGGATAAAAACATGCAGTCGGACGATGCACAGTATTTGAAACGGTAACGTTAATTATTATTATTATTACTATTATTATTATTATCATCATCAGCTGAGATCGAACCAGCCAGCCTATAAAAACAGGACTGAGCTCGGATCTCCATAATTAAACCATCTTAAATTATCCAGGCTGAGGGCGGCTTCTTATTCGAATTTTCCCGTTCCACCTTAAATGGTGCAGCAGTTACATTATAACGCCTCAGGCGCTGGAATGGAACTGCTGCACCATTTAAGGTGGAACGGGACAATTCGAATAAGCAGCTGACTTCAGCTCCGTCTTAAATCAGATATACATCGATAATCTTGTATTTAATACCAACAAAACTAATTCAGGTTGTCCGTTTGACATCTCTCCTCCTCCTCTTGTCTCATTCTGGCTGGTGTCCCAGTGTCCCAGTGTCCCAGACCCACCCATACCCAAACCGATAGAGGGCAAAACATGGATTTCAAATATGTGACATATTAGCATATGTGGATTTCACGGATATGTCCATATATGTCCACATATGTGACATATATGCCAACTTATTTGAAATTCCAAACATGGGACGTATATATATATATTTCAACCCATTTATCAGCATATACAACCATACATAAAACAGTATAAGAGAAAAATATTATTAACATATGTTATAGTGTATACTCCTGGTGCATTTCATTTTTATTTTTTATTTTTTATTTTTTTTGCTTTTTTTGTGTCTGTATCGGACATATATTATGCAATATGTCCCTCCGATCAGGCATAACGATACGACCACCTCCTTGTTTCTACCCTCATTGTCCATTTTATCAGCTCCACTTACTATATAGGTGCACTTTGTAGTTCTACAGTTACAGACTGTAGTCCATCTGTTTCTCTGCATACTTTGTTAGCCCCCTTTTACCCTGTTCTTCAGTGGTCAGGACCCCCATGGACCCTCACAGAGCAGGTACTATTTGGGTGGTGGATCATTCTCAGCACTGCAGTAACACTGTGTCCACTCACTGTCCACTCTATTAGACACTCCTACCTTGTCGGTCCACCTTGTAGATGTAAAGTCAGAGACGATAGCTCATCTGCTGCTGCACAGTTTGTGTTGGTCATCCTCCCACAGCCCACAGGATGCTGCCCACAGGACGCTGTTGGCTGGATATTTTTGGTTGGTGGACTATTCTCAGTCCAGCAGTGACACTGAGGTGTTTAAAAACTCCAGCAGCACTGCTGTGTCTGATCTACTCAGACCAGCGCAACACACACTAACACACCACCACCACGTCAGTGTTACTGCAGTGCTGAGAATGATCCACCACCCAAATAGTACCTGCTCTGTGAGGGTCCATGGGGGTCCTGACCACTGAAGAACAGGGTAAAAGGGGGCTAACAAAGTATCAGAGAAACAGATGGACTACAGTCTGTAACTGTAGAACTACAAAGTGCTCCTATATAGTAAGTGGAGCTGATAAAATGGACAATGAGTGTAGAAACAAGGAGGTGCTCATAATGTTATGCCTGATCGGTGTATATGCTTGATCCATAAATTGTGCGTATGTCCAATATTTGACACTTATGCATATGTACGCTACATATATGTACATATATTTTGGCATATATGCCTGACCCTTGAGGATACATGTGTATATATGGTCATATATCAGATTTCTGTATGAGCAGATTAATCTTAAGTGTGGTTTTAATTGTACTTATACCATTAGTATTGCAGTTTAGTCCCAGACTAGTGTAATCCATGTCCAGGACACCAGCTATCTGAGTTTAACTGCTGTCTTGTAGGTCAGAGTCATCAGCTGGACCACTCTGAAGGGCGTGGGCTTCTGTAGCATGTTCAGCATGCATAGCATTTCACTGCTGTAATCGGTCACTGGAGAGGAATCTGTTTTAGGACTGTCATGATTAAAAGGGAATTCCACTGATTTTCCTAGTTTTCCTCATAAATCAGTCCTTGAGATGTGAGCAAAGATCAGAGGAGTTTCATGTAAAATGATGTATTGCAGAGAAACTTACCAACCCAGATTTTTTTTTAGAAGGGTGGTGATAGGAACCAGATATAGTAGGGATGCACTGATATGGGAATTCTGTGCCGATATCTTGTATTTCACTGATGCAGATGCATAAACATTAATAACGTGGCAGTTTGGACTGTGTCTACCTGGATCAGCATAGCGTAGAGAGAGAACATTTAACATTTATGTCTGTAGGTTTTGAATGTAGTAATATTAACAAAGTGTAGATATTTCAGTGCTGTAGCTCAGCATCGCCTAAATGATCTGCTATTCCAGGGTACATTAAATGTGTCACCAGATATCTGTTTGAAATATCCATCACATCTAAGCATCCGTGTGATGGTGATCTATTTTTGTAACAGTATATATATATATATATATATATATATATATATATATATATATATGTATATATAAACCAAACCAACAGTGAACCTACATGAATTTTTCTTGTTATAATGTTGATGTATATAAATGTATTAAAAAATAACTTTTCGACCAAAAAAATAATGTCCCTGACATCAGGCAGTGTGTTCAAATAACCTTCGTCTAGAGCAGAGCATTTCACATCAAACCATGAACTCTGAATGATTTTGTTTGCATCTTAACCATTTAGTTATGCAGACATTTTGAGAATTTGGTGGAGTTCCCCTTTAGTTGTTTTAAAAAAAAAACTAAAATGTATTAGTTGGCAAAAATTATTAAAATAGAATAATTGGCCTGATGATAACATCTGTTTTTAATTTTCCTACACTCTTAAAAAAAAAGCTGGTTCTTCAAGAGTTCTTTAGTCCAGAAAATGGTTTGATATAGAACCACGAAACACTCAAAGAACCCTTTGCTGATTATAAGGATCATAAAAGTGTTTCTCAGATTGATGGAGAATGTGCTGTGGATGGTTCTAAATAGAACTGAAAAAAAGGGGTTTTTTGAAAAGGGTTCTGTATAGCACCAAAAAGGGTTCCGCTATTGTTACAAGCCGAAGAACTCTTTTTTGGTGCTATATAGAACCCTTTAAGAGTGCACTGCTCTCTTACATTAAGAAACAGAGCCAGATTTAAATACTCATCTCTATACATTTTAATGGCTTTCTAGATTATCATTTTACAGTGAAGTATTTTTCAGTCTTTGAAAGACCTTTATGGGTTATTATTGTTCCGTTCAAGTCATTTTTTTTTATTGTTCAACTGTTTTAAAAATCTCTGATTGCTCATTTTCTCATAGCCCTATTCTTTTTTTGTTTTGTCTTTTTCAGGAAGGTGAAACCTGGGAATATAGACGTGCATCCCACTGAGAAAGCCTTAGTGGTTCACTATGAGGTGGAGGCGTCCATCCTGGGCGAGAGAGGAGATGCTGTGCATGAGGAGAGAAAGGAGTGTCAAAAAATGTGAGCAATAACCTTTGAATAGCATGAGTGTTGTGTTTGATGCGGAACTGGTGCCCTTGCAGTTTTAAGTCTGGGTGAGTTTTGTGTCATCTTGCTTGTTGACGTTAATATCTGTGTGGTCTTTTAGGCTACGTTCACATTACCAGGTTGAAGTGGCGCAAATCCGATTTTTTGCCCTAATGTGACTCAGATCTGATGTTTTCAGAGCTGTGTGGACACAAATCTGATCTTTTCTAATCCGACCTGAGTCACTTTCATATGTGGTCCTAGATCAGATACCTATCTGATTTGTGGCCATGTGACCTCAATGTGACACTCAGATCAGAATTCATGTGCTTTTTTTCCACTGCGCGTGTGCCGTCATTCAGCGTTACCATGGCAGCAGCGCCAAACAGAAGTTAAAGCCTGTAAACGGTGGAAAAGCAGCTCATCTTACCTTTTTCTCCTTCGTCTCGCTCTAATAATGAAGCTGAGAGCTGATCAGAGTTAATGATCTTCTCAGCGAAGCTCGTTCTGCTCGTTAGTTTGTGCTGATGATGAACGTGATTCATTCACGTGACATTACTGAGTAGGATGAGCTCATGAGGGTCATTTCAGGACGCCGGTTCATCACATTAATGACAGATTTGAGTCACTTACCTAAACGAGTGTGAACCATCGTTTCAGAGAGATCGGATTTGAGCAAAAAATCTGATTTGAGAAATGAGGCTTGTAATGTGAACGTAGCCTTAGTGCTCTTGTGCTTGTTCTCTGTTCTACTGCAGTATTCGACTGAAGAGTCTTAACGCCGGCACTGATGTAGCCTTGCTGGCCAGGAAGGTGGTGGAGGAATGCAAGCTCATCCACCCCTCCAAAGTGGCCGAGGTGGAGCATCTGCTCTTCTACCTGCAGAACCGAAAGAAACCCGGCAGTAAAGGTATTATAGCAAGGGTTAAACCCAGTATGTCGACTTTCTGAAAACCTTAAAGCAAAAAAAAAAAATGTTATTTACTTTTACTGTGCAAAAGGCAGCCAGAGAAATTGTTTAAACTGTTTACCTGGGCTGTAAGTGTGTTTGTGCACATAAAAACATTATAGAACATTAGAATGAATATAAATAAACATATTATGAAGGATTGATTAGATGAACTAGGTATTGAATGGCAATTGTAAATACTGGACTTGAATAGTTTAGTGTTTCTGCTGTTCACCTCGTTCAGCTCAAGAAGGGATTAATCAGCTAATAATATCAGGTATTTTAACCAGGAAACCACAGTTATGCAGTGCAGGGGTTTCAGGACTGGAGCTGAACTCTGAACTAACTGTACCAGCAAACTTACAGAATCACATCTGTCGAAACACGACGTCGTTTTCAGACCCACAACGTTCAGTCTGATATTTAACGCTTACGTTTCTCCATTCAAACGTCATTTAAATCAGAAACAGAGAGTAAAGTTATCCCGGCGGTCTGCAGCTCCGTTAGGGGGCGACTGTTCATCTCTCGGCTGGTAACATCAGCTAAAGTTATCTAAAGGCCAGCATTGATCACATCTGTGTTAATTAGCCGATGTCGTTTCCCTCCTATGATCACAGAGTGTTTCTCCTCTTTATGCAACACCATGGGATCCTTTACCCACCCTGACATGAAGAGCTGGTGGGCTTCTGTGCTTTTAAATGCTGTGAGAGAGAGAGTATGAGATAAATATAAATGTAGGAAAACACAAATTTGGTAGCTTTTCCACCAGTTTAAATGGGACCAGGAGTTCAGGGGAAACTGTTTAAGAATTGCAGACTATTTTATCGACTCTTAATAATATAAATTCAGTGGTGTTTGGATTTGGTACAGTTCTGTCTCTGTAAGTCAACAGTAAACAATATGGTAAACAGTGATATGTAAGCACATATGATGTCATGTGACATATGATATGAAGAGTTGAAGACAAGATTGTAGCTTATTATGAATAATAACATAAAAGAAATGTGGAAAAGTGATATAGTATAGTAAACAGAGCTGGACAGGGTGGGCAAATGTAGTATCACAATACACAGTAGGTCACAAAATATATTATTTCTGACATCTGATAAGTAAGAACAGACAAAATAGTGCCGCGTTTAAAATATGCTTTAAAAAGTCCAGTGATTTTTACTCAACATTTCACATGCTGCCCTGCACTAAATCCAATTAAACAGGACTAATTTTGCTTTCTTTGTAATCAAACTTGCAGTTGGAAAGTGTTTTTAAGTACTGACGGTTTCCACAATATACTCAGAAAAGCTTAGTGTCACATATTATAACGTAATTTATCACAATAACGATAAATATTGTCGTATTGCCCACCTCTTACAGTAAACGTATAGCGGTAGTATAATGATGACTGTAAACTATCACTGTACTACTGTATAGATAAATAATTAAAGTAGCCACTTTTGCAGTTGTTCACAGTGATTCCACTCAACGGTTCATTTCAGAAATGTCATAATGTCTCAAATATTTCTTTTATTTTTGTTTTGTTTTCACTGATTAGCTGAGAAAGAAGAGAAGAAGCTCATGAAACCCAGAGAGCTCACCCCATTCGAGGGGATGGAGGTATGGAATGCTTTAAAGTTTCCTGAATATTGGTGAAAATGCATGTTCAGTGCCTTTTATTGTGTCTTCAGTGATCACTGAGTCGTTTCCAGCACTTAACCTCTGTGTTTCCTGTTCCGTTTCAGATCGATGAGGAGGCCAACATTAATAAGATAGAGGAGTATGTGGAGCTGCTGTACGAGAACATCCCTGAAAAGATCAGAGGCTCCACCCTCATCCTGCACCTGGCCCGCAACCCGGACAACCTGGAGGAGCTGCTACATAACGGTACAGGAGCTTTGATGGAGCTTTGAAGTCCATTTATTTTGTTAACAGTAAAAATGCAGTGCATTAAAGGGGAACTCCACCAGTTTTCCAAAATTTCTGCTCCATTCATACGTTGAGATGTAAACAGAATCAGTCAGAGTGGTTTGATGTGAAATGCTCTGTTCTAGAGAAACTTACAGACTCAGATGTCTTTACAGTGGTGGTGACAGGGGTTGCCATGACTACAACACAAATATAGACATTTTATTTACTATCCAAAAGCACCAGTGAACCTACACGAGTCTTCTGAATGTTTATATGGAATGTTGATGATGGTAAAACAGTAAAAGAATGAAAAGTATAGAAAAAGTATGTTTTCTTTGGGGACTGTTTTGCCTCACAACACCCTGCATAACCCTGTATTTTAAAATGTATATTTTAGACCAAAATCTTCTCAAAACTATAATAAAACAATCTCACATATCAGGCAATATTGTTATTGTAATTGCCATTTAATATGCTGACTGATGTCTGGTTATTACCATTTCATGTAATAACTTTCTGTGAGGGAGCTTTTAGAGGTGGACTGCCAATGTTGGACCATGAGGATGCTTGATTTGGCCCACCTATATATAACCATCTATATATAACTTTATTCCTTGTTTACCTTTTAAATTTGTATTTTTGAAGTATATTAGTAAAAAAATTAAATATTTTCAAATATTTTTTTTCTATGTTGTTTTGTCTTTTTTGCCATTGAGGCCCCCCGAGACAAAAAGTTTGTGCACCTCTGTTTTAGAGGCTTTACAGACGTCTGGTTCCTACCAGCACCGCTGTGAACAGTTCTGACTGTGTCAGTTTCTCTAAAGGGGTTGCATTTCACTGTCATAGCATTTTTTATTATCTCAAAGATTTTTAAGAAATGCATTTTTAAAGTTTAGTGGACTTCCCCTTTTAGAATCAAAAGGCAGTATGAATACATTCGTTTTTTTTTTTAGTTTTTTAAATTATTACTATTATTACTCGTGCCTTTTTGTACACATGAAATATATTAGAGTTGAAAGTGCTTTTATGCTATGTATGTAACTCATTGCTGTTATTGCAAAGCTAACTTCACCATAATAGCAGAAATGTGCAAATGTTAGATTGTTTTTGTAATTATTATAGTGTGTGTGTGTATATATATAAATGTATGTATACACTACATAAATATATATATATATAATGAGTATATAATGATTATGACTGATTAGACGTTGCAGAGTGAGATGCTACTAGTGTCTTCTGTGTTTGTGTATGTTCAGAAACTGCATTAGGAGCTCTGGCTCGAGTGTTGAGAGAAGACTGGAAGCAGAGTGTGGAGTTGGCCACCACTATCGTCTACGTCTTCTTCTGCTTCTCCAGGTATCTGTCCTCTATCTGAATTACCCTTCGCCATTTAAAGCAACTGTGCTAATTGGTGGGATATAAGCCTACATTGCTTGTTAGCTACATTAGCCTCGCAGCTCCAGTGTACTAAACTGTAGAACAAACGTCAGACACCAAACCGTTCTTGGATCAACTGCCGTACAGTTCAAATGGTCAGTTTTCAACTCTATGAAAATAATTTTGTTGAAAATACGCATATAAAATAATTCTAATCTCTTATCAGTTTCAAACTATGTATAGCAACTATGTATATGTATAGGAAATTGAAGATGAATGAAGCTGCAGAACTTTTACATTTTATATCCAGAATGCTACATATTCAAAGAACAGTGGTCACTGATCGAGTGGCTATTCATAGAAATCTCATGGTATGAAATTACTATAAATAGACAGTTACAGTTTATTTTTTCAGAACATTTACTGTGTTTTTACCATGTTATAACTTCTTGTTGACCTCAAAGTACTTAAAAATGTGAATAAACCATCGGATTGTGTGTTTTAGTGTCAAGATCATAACATTTCAATCTACACTGTGTAAGTTATTATTAAATAACAGTTATTAATATAACAACTGATTCCATACTTTTGATCTGCCGTGTACTTTTGTGGTTTAAATTACACTTTTGGCCAAACCATTGGTTATACTGTTGCTCTTTTCTAGAACTTCTAGTGCAGCGTTCGGCAACATGCTGCTCCAGAGCTGCATGCGGCTCTTTTACTGCCCTGTTGCGGCTCCACAGCAGAATTAGATTTGTAGGTAAAAATAAAATAATCCTCCTTTACAGTAAAATAAAGCTCTGCTGATCGTTCAGCACAGTTTAACAGTAAACGGTCTTAAATCCTGGAGTTAATGTAGAACTGCTAATTCACCCTTTAACCCTGAAGATCAGCGTAGACTGCTGGTCACCATAGCAATACAGACAACAGCCTCGCCTAGCTAGTAGCTAACGAAACGGCAAAGAGAGAGATTTAAGGTGAACATCGATAATTTGGAGACAAATGGACTTACTTGCGTTTATAATCACTCCAGCTGGTTTCCTGATACGTGGGAAACTGTCAAACCCTAAAAAGTCAGGAGGCTGAAGTCGCTTCTCATCCAAATTTTTCCGTTCCCCAAAAAATGTGTGTCCAGTCCGTGACCTCTTCAGTCACCGAATCAAGTTCTCTAGTGGTGCGCTGACACCATCAGAAGAATGAAAAAGGCGTAGTTTCCCGTTCTGCTCTGTCACACTTCAACACATCAGCCAAGTATGAGGTTGAAGGCATTTTCAAGCAGTGAAATCATTTAACTGCGCAGTACTCCAGGGTTTCAGATCGAAATGGCTGATTTTGGGTTCATGAGTGAGGCACGTTGATTGATCACTTGGGAATCAGGCCATACAAGGCTTCAGTAGCCTTTTAATGTCCTAGTAATGTCTCAGTTAATTTTCAGTTTGGTAATATAACAGTAGTGGGAGATATGGCCAAAATATAATTTCACGATACTTCAAGAAGTTGCTTGATACACGGTATGTCTCTCTCTCTCTCTCTCTCTGTATATATATATATATATATATATATATATATATATATATATATAGAGATAGAGAGAGAGAGAGAGAGAGACATATATATATTTATATATATATATATTATATATATATATTTATATTTTTAGACATCTGATAAGCTGGAAAAGACAAAGACAAAGGCCCAATCCCATTTCTTCTTTTTACCCCTACCCCTTGTTTTCGAGTGTCACCCTAACCCCTACAAAATGGAACAACCCTCAAATTAAAAAAAAAAAAGTAGCAGTCGGTCCTCACTCTCCTCAGATTAAAGCGATTAATAGGCCAAAAAAGAAAATGAACAATCTTCTCTCTCTTACCTCAAATGTAGTCGATCAGCCAGGGTGTGTGTTTGGTGTCTGATGTTTGCTTTAGTTCAGTTTTACACTGGAGCCACAAGGTTAATGTAGCTAACCAGCAACCATGTAAGCTTCTACCCCACCAATTTGCTTCATGCAAACTGTACACAGTCTCTTTCAGCACGCATCTTTCATTGTTGTCTGTGTGGCAACGTGCACCGCAACTGAAAAGCACTCCCATAGCCTGTGCAAGGCATGTCAGGTTTTTAAACCAAGCAGTTAAAGGGGAATAGCACAGAGTTTTCAAAATTTCAGCTATAGTTTTACCATCGTCGGTATTCAGTATAAAAGCTCAGAAGAGTCGTGTTGGTTCACTGGTGGTTTTGGATAGTAAATAAAATGTCTGTATTTGTGCTGCAGACATCACAACCCCTGGTTCCTATCACCACCATAGGAAAGGAGTCAATAAACAGAGCGTTTTGCATCAGACCACTCTGAATCACTTTGTGTGTGACAGAAATTTAGGAAAAATTTCTGGAATTCCCCTTTAGGTTGAAAAAGGTCACCTTTTCAGTGCACCCTGGTTGAGCTATGTGATGTGCTCTTCTCTATGTATAGATAACAGTGTGTCCTGTAATGTCAGAGACCATATAATCAAATCTTTTACAGATTGCTGAAAAACTCCACACGGTTTGAGGGAAGTGTGTGATTGTCATGTAGTTTGCGTGTAGCTGACGGGGGTAAGGTGGTTGTGGGGACTGTGCACTTTTTGCTGGAGTATCGCTTTAATGGCTAACTCAGTGTGTATGGAGTTGATCTTGATCTTTAAAGGCTGATTTAATGGCTTTGCTTTGCAGCTTCTCTCAGTTCCACGGGCTGATCACGCACTATAAGATCGGCGCTCTGTGCATGAACATCATTGAACATGAGCTGAAGAGATACGATCTGTGGCAGGATGAGCTGGACAAGAAGAGCAAGGCTTATATCCTTACTGCTGTCTGTCTGTCTGTCTGTCTGTCTGTCTGTCTGTCTCAGTGCATCCAAATTATTCCAAAATTCCATTCAGCAGAGCACAACAATATGAGAACTGATAACAGTAGCAGATATTGTTTTATGTTTATATTTTACATTTAATTTTGTACTCTAATAGTTTTAGGTCAACAATCCTTTAATGACTGATTTGTCTATTCTCAGTAAATGGTTCCATATAGAACTATGAACACTCAGAGAACCCTCTGCATGATTACAGGGTTTTTGACATTGTGAAATTGTTCTTCAGACTGATGGACAATGTCCTGTAGATGGTTTTATGTAGAACCTTTTTGAAAAGCGTTCTATATAGCACCCAAAAGGGTTCTGGTATTGTTACGATGTCAACCTTGTGACAATAGAAGAACCCTTTTTGGAGCTATATAGAACGCTTTCCAAAAAGGTTCTATACAGAACCATATACAGCACATTCTACATTAATCTGAATAACCATTTCACAGTATCAAAAACCATGTAATCATGCAGAGGGTTCTCTGAGTGTTCATAGTTCTATGTAGAACCATTTTCTTTACTAATGAACCCTTGAAGAACTTTTTTTAAAGTGTTTGGTCGACACCAGATAGCAAAACAATAACACAAGAGCAATATGAACAGAGGATAAGATTCTACTATTGATATACAATATTGAATATAGACAGAAACAAAAAAGAAACCAGTCTGTCATTGGACTGAAGTATTTAACCAATGATATCCTGTTAGAGGCCTCTCAGAGTAACAAATGAGAAACAGATCTCTGAAAATCAGTCACTGAATGCGTTTACATGCACTCGATAATCCGATCATAATCAGATTTGTGCAGTTATCCGATTATTTAAATGGTCATGTAAACACCATACTCTGATCTAGAAATCTGATTAAGAAATCCGATAAAGAGGCTGGATTTCAGCTCAGTAATCAGATTTCTCAGTGCATGTAAACTCTTACTCTGATTTCTTTCGTATTTCTCAGTCTGAGCATGTGCGGAACGGACTGCTGTACCGGAAATAAGCGAGCAGCGTCGCCACGAGACGCAGCAAAACACTTTTGGAGCAACGCTGAAACCAAATACATGCTTGAAAATAAAGGATTTAAATATTCTTCATCTTCTAGATGATGTATGTTCATATTTTCAGATAATTTGTCTCGAAAAAATGAAAAAAAACAGCAGCTTGAAGTTTGAGTTTTACATTATGTTTACGTCACGTCTTCTGTGAGTTTATTGGCTGAGTGTAAAGCAGAAGTCTGATTACTGTCTGACTCATGTAGACCTGGAGTTTCCCCATTATCTGATTACTCAGGTGTATGTAAACATGTTGATCGGACTGCTGACAAAATCTGATTTTCTGCAGTTATCGGATTATGGAGTGCATGTAAACACACTCACTGTTGCCAGTGAAAACCAGTGACTGCTGTTGGGAGCGAATCACAGTGAAAACGAGAGTTACGTCCATAAACAGCAGTGACTGCTGTGAAAAGCTTATCATGATGATCCGTCAGTATGAATATGAGCAGAGCTCGGTATTGTGCAGCAGGTGAAACAGTGTCTGTGATCGAATAGTCTGAGTCTCTGCAGGCTGTAGATAACAGGTACACAGATAGATAGCGTTAGTTACCCTCTTCATCCTCACTCTGCACTCTGAGTCCTTAACATTCCCCTACGTGATGATGATCCTGACAACCTGGCTCTGCGGAAGGACCACGAGAAAGCCTATAAGAAATACCAGAGCCTACTGGTCAAGCAGGAGCAGCTTCTGAGAGGTAATGTTCAACTGTTCTACCATTTTACCCCCTACTTTCTGCTTTAACCCCTTAAACTGCAGATGTATTATTACATGATTAATCATAAAACTTACTATCCTTAACTTTTATTACATAGTTACAACTCTGAACTCTAATTAGTAAAAAACTCTGATATCTCTAGTATCTGCTATAGGTTATTCAGCATCTACTGTGTGTTATTCAGAATCTACCATGAATAATTTAGTAACTACTGTACATTTTTTAATATCTTAATAATATATATATATATATATATGAATTTTTCCCATATCCACTATGTATTATTCAGCATCTACTATGAATTATTCAGTATCTACTATGAATTATTCAGTAACTACTATGAATTATTTAGTATCCACTATGAATTATTCCATATCTACTATGAATTATTCAGTGTCTACTATGAACTATTTAGTATCCACTATGAATTATTAAGTAACTACTATGAATTATTCAGTGTCTACTATGAACTATTTAGTATCCACTATGAATTATTCAGTAACTACTATGAATTATTCAGTATCTACTATGAATTATTTAGTATCCACTATAAATTATTCAGTGACTACTATGGATTATTCAGTATCCACTATGAATTATTCAGTGTCCATTATGAATTATTTAGTATCTATTATAAATTATTTAGTATATATTATAAATTATTCAGTATCTATTATTTAGTATCTGCAATGATGTTCTATATTTACGAGAATGAGGAACTGGAGTTTTGACCCACATTTTGTTCAGATCTGTCTGGAAGAGTATTAATACCCACTAAGAGTCGTGTGGGACGCTGAGTTGTGTTAAATGCTGTGTGCTGTGCTCCTGCTGTTCCAGTTGCTCTGTATCTGTTGCTGAATTTGGCCGAGGACACACGGACGGAGCTGAAGATGAGAAATAAGAACATCGTTCACCTGCTGGTGAAGACTCTGGATCGGGACAACGAGGAGCTGCTGGTGCTGGTGGTCTCCTTCCTGAAAAAGCTCAGCATATTCCTGGAGAACAAAAACGACATGGTGGGTTTATTTTCATTTTATTTCTTCCTGGTGCAGAGAAATGGACAAAATTATGTCCTATAAGAACAGAAGCTGCAGCCGTCTTGAAGTCTGTAGTTTGAAGCAAATCATGTTTATAGATAACAGTGTGTCACACAGCATCAGAAACCACTTCACTGTTTTCCAGTAAGATAATGAGCTCCACCTGCTGGTTTTCACAGCCAATAAATCTGAACTTTCATCACCCACTGCATTAAATTGGAAAGCCACGCAAGCACTGCAGTAGCCCAAATAAAACTGTTTGTGCAGCATATTATTATTGTTGGTTATTATTTCACTGACATGTCTTAACAAAGCAAAACGTGTCTCTAATGTGGTTTCTAACCTTCATGGCAGATCCTCTAACCCTTCAAATAACAAATAATCTAAAATAAAACTGTCCACTTAACCTCTTATTCTCCAGGGTATATTTTGATTTGTCCATCTGAATTTAAATGACCAAATCGTAAGGCAAATTATTCAGTAACTGCATGAAATAAATGCAAATTTCTATTTTATTATTTTTTTTTTTTGTAAAAGCTCCCCTCAAATTAACAGAACATGTTTTATGATCACACATATTGCTATATGCTTACAATTTACTGCTGCAAGCCAAAAATCTTAGACGCTCTTTGTATTATTTTATCAAAATAATGTTTACAGAGCAGATCACTGAAGAGACGCCAGCTGTTTATAGTTTATAGCCCAGATTTGTGGAAAAATGGGTCGACTTTCAGTAGAAAAAAAAAATTGTGAGTTCAGCTTCTTTTATTATAAGGGTTTAAAATTACATCACCATCTATTTGACTGGAAAGAAGACAGTTACAGCTAGGGGTGCGGGAAAAAATAGATTCTTAGATGCATCGCGATGCGGACGTAAACGATTCTGAATCGATTCACAAATGTCAAAAATCGATTTTCTAAATATTTCATTTATAACGTAATGTTGACGGAACGCAAAAGGCGGAACTTGGAAGTGCGGAAGTGCAGCGCCCGGACAGTCTGTGGCGGCACATAACAAAAACACAACTGGATGAGTGAGAAATCCGACCAGCTCCCTCTGCATTAAAGCCAGGTTAGATCAGGAGTCACAACACAAATGTTAAGAAGAGCCATTTTGTCCTTTCAACAAAAATCAAACCAGCTTGGGAGCCACAACATTTTATGTCCAGTATGTTTCAGTATGTGTTAATGTCCTAGTATAGGCTAAACAATATAAACAAAAACGCAGATTTACTTCGCTCTGCTTTAAGCTTTAGCTCAGCTATAGCCGCTTTCCTCCCATCTCCGCCAGAAAACTTTTCCTCAGAAGTTGATCAGTTTCTTGTAAAATGTCAGCCCTCTGAATCGTAATCGAATCGAATCCCTAATTACAGCTCTCATATGACCCCCACCTTTTAAATGTAGCTATGTAGATATGAAAGTTTTGAAGAATATGACGAAGTGCGTTTTGGAACCACCGGTGGTTCCAAGGAGTTTAAGAGGCTACCTATCTGAAGAACGCTGGTTTAGAGCAGATGAGATCTGTAGAGATCTGGTCTGACATTGTTCATAATTTATTGAGTGAGGAAAGTTCAAATGTATTGGCTGGGAAAGCTGGCAGGTGGAGTTCATTACTATTAGAAAATGGAGATTTATTCGCTCTCTGAGTGACACAAAAGCAGCGAGAATTACGCATTTAAACCTGGGATATTTTCAGCATTTGTAACTAATTCTTAAATGACAAAAAAATCCAGTGTTTTTCATTTATTGCTGCATGTTTTGTGGCGAGGTCAAATATAACGGTGCATATTACAATCTGAAAACTACCATAATGACTTAAAGGGTGCTGTCTTACACTCTTAAAATGAAGGTTCTTTAGTAAAGAAAATGGTTCTATGTAGAACCATGAACACTCAAAGAACTCTGCATGATTAAAGGGTCATTTGCATCATGAAAGGTTTCTTCAGGCTGATGGAGAATATGCTGTAGATGGTTCTACATAGAACCTTTTTAAAAATGGTTCTACACAGCACCCAAAAGTGTTCTTCTATTGTTGTGGTGCCAGGCTTGTAATGCTAGAAGAACCTTTTTTGGGTGCTATATAAAACCCTTTTCAAAAAGGTTCTATACACTCTTAAAAAGATGGTTCTTCAAGGGTTCTTTAGTATCAAACTTGTAACAATAGAAGAACCCTTTTCAAAAAGGTTCTATATAGAATCATCAACAACACATTCTCCATCAGTCTGAAGATCCCTTTCAGGAAGCAAAGAACCCTTTAATCATACAAAGGGTTCTTCGAGTGTTCATGGTTATATATAACACAACTTAAAAAGGATGGTTCTTCAAGGGTTCTTTAGTAAAGAAAATGGTTCGATATAGAACCATGAACACATGGACATGAACATCATGAAAGGGTTCTTCAGACTGATAGAGGATGTGCTGTAGATGGCTGTGTGTAGAACCTGTTTGAAAAGCGTTCTGTATAGCACCAAAAAGGGTTTCACTATTGTTACAAGACAAATAACCCTTTTTTAGTACTATATAGAACCCTTTTTGCTAAGAGTGTGTAGAACCATCTACAGCACATTCGTGCACATTTTACATCAATCTGATGAACTGTTTCACCATGCAAAGAACCCTTTAATCATGCCAAAGGTTCTTTAAGTGTTCATGGTTCTATATAGGACCGTTTTCTTAACTAAAGAACCCTTGAAGCACCATCTTTTTTTAATAGTGATTACCTAAACCATGTTTAGTTCAGGGCGGCTGTTGGACTGCTTAGCTTTCAGTGCTGTACAACATAGAACCAATCGAAGGTAGAACACCGATTAACGCCAAGTTCATCTTTACACTCGACTCATAGGCTACATTTACACAGCAGGTAAAGTGGCCCAAATCTGATCTTTTTCTTCATAAGTGACACAGATGTCTGTGAGTCAGTGTGAGCAAAGAACACACTGAATCTGACATTTTTAATTCCGATTTGAGACACTTTCATATGTGGGACTGAAATCCGATATGTATCCGATCTGTGGCAATGCGACTCAGTCTGAACAGCCAGATCGGAATTCATGTGAATTTTACGTCAATCCAACTCGACATTCGTCATAATTTTGCGCTGCTGAGACTCATAAACGTTTAGGCTGATGATTCTGTACTAAAAAATTAGAAGAGACTCATCAAACCGCTCCGTGTATGAAGAGGTTTTGAATGAAATAGCCGAGCGCGGCCGGAGGAGCCCGAGGCTGCAGCGTCAGAGAACAGTTTAAAGAATCCGAGGACACGAAACCAAAGAAGTGGCCGAATAACGTGCTTTTTACGGCGAACTCGAACACTTTCTGGGTGATGAGTCCAGCTGTCAACCACTGGAACTTCATAATCGCTCCTATGATGCCGTCGAAGACGAAACTGAACCCTCCGGGAGCGACAGGCGTTCGCTGGCCGTCATGATTGTTTACCTCTGGACGAGCCACGGGAAGCACTGTCTTTTGTGCATGCGGGTCGATTTAGGAGCCGATCTGTTCAGACTGATGTCTCATAGAGGTCACATTTAAAAGATAATGTGAACAGCCAAACAAAAAAATCAGATTTGGTGAGAAAATCAGATTTGGGCCACTTTTTACCTGCTGTGTAAACGTAGCCACATACATTTATTCAAGTAAAACTTGGCATCAGTTCACTGCCTCAACACAAACTCGCTGTTTGCGGGCTGAAAGATATGGTGTGTAAATAGATTAGACTAGTATCGTTAGCTGATATAACAGACTGTCAGCATATGTCTGTTTATCTGAAAGACTGACTGCCTGTTCAAATTTAAGCCATGTGTCATCTCCAGTGGCTTTATGTGGTCACTGTGCGGCACATGTGTCAGGCTCCAGTCCTCGCGGGCCAGAACTCTGCAGGCTTCAGCACACTGCCTCATTAAACACACCTGATTCAGCTCATCAGCGAATTTGCAAAGCCTTTATGAACTGAATTGAGAGCATCGGATGAGGGTAAATGTTAGTGTCCACAGCCCTTTGGCCTAGAAGGTCCCCGGTTCGACATGCCTGCTTTTTGGCTTTAATTTAATGTAGTAGTGACAGAATGCAGAGTTGGGTGCTGTGACATGCTGAGAAATTGAACAGTGCTGGGAGTCACAGCTCTGGCGAGTCACCGCCGTTCTTCAACGTGGAACATCAGTGCCGCTGTGCACACCTTAATGGTCTTATTTTTTGGACATGGTGGCCTTTAAACAGTCACACCATTCGGCAGCCCTGAAACCGAGTAGATGAATAAGAAACGATTAAAGCTCTTCATCTGATTCCATTTGTCAGAGTCCTGCTGAGTGGAGTCCAATGAAGCCTCTGTTTAGGTAGCCTCACTTTTAATGTAAGGCTTCATTTTTATAAAGGTGGCTCAGTTCAGCAGGACGTGTCTCAGTGGATGGAGCCACTGAAAAACGCTCCTCTCCTCTTGTTCTCTGTCCCACGCTGCCCCACTGTCTGTCCACCTGCAACTAATTTAGCCCGGCTGCAGTATATGTGCGCATTTATCATGAGCTCAAATTGGGAGCAGTCGTTTTTATCTTACTGTATCCTCTTACCGAGTCCTTGTTTTAGATAAAAGAAATGCGCTTTCAGCTTAAAAAACTCACTGTATTCATGCATGAGATCACGTGTCGGATGGAAGAGTGTGGCTCTTACTGAGCCGACTGCGGAAAGAAAGGAGGCTTTGATTTTATTCCCTGAATGGGAGCCATTTGGAAATATGTGAAAGATGAAAGTTTATATAGTTCCTCAACAACCTATTAAAAAATGAATTCATATTCAAGGACTGTATGACTACTTTTCTTGTCAAATGTAGATCTTAGACAAAGTGTCAAATACAGTTTTCTCAGTCTCTCACCACTGCCACTGGTGCCGGGTTGTTTGTGTTGCCAGGGAGATGCCACTGTCAATCATTGTGTGTTCTGACATGCTCTGAGCAGACAGCAGGCTGAAATTTTTGGAGCATTTATATGCTACTAATTTGTTTTAATTTATATATATACACCGATCAGGAATAACAATATGACCACCTCCTTGTTTCTACACTCATTGTCCATTTTATCAGCTCCACTTACTATATAGGTGCACTTTGTAGTTCTACAGTTACAGACTGTAGTCCATCTGTTTCTCTGCATACTTTGTTAGCCCCCTTTTACCCTGTTCTTCAGTGGTCAGGACCCCCATGGACCCTCACAGAGCAGGTACTATGTGGGTGGTGGATCATTCTCAGCCCTGCAGTAATGCTGACATGGTGGTGGTGTGTTAGTGTGTGTTGTGCTGGTCTGAGTGGATCAGACACAGCAGTGCTGCTGGAGTTTTTAAACACCTCAATGTCACTCCTGACTGAGAATAGTCCACCAACCCATAATATCCAGCCAACAGCATCCTGTGGGCAGCGTCCTGTGACCACTGATGAAGGACTACAGGATGACCAACACAAACTGTGCAGCAGCAGATGAGCTATCGTCTCTGGCTTTACATCTACAAGGTGGACTGACAAGGTAGGGGTGTCTAATAGAGTGGACAGTGAGTGGACACAGTGTTTAAAAACTCCAGCAGCACTGCTGTGTCTGATCCACTCGTACCAGCACAGTACACACTTAGGTTGTTTTCACATATAGTTCTTTCTAAAAGAACCAAACTGAGTTTTTTGAACCTGGAAGGGAACCAACTGCAAATGATCTCAGTTTGTTTTGTGTTCACAATGTAAGTGAACTATAAAGAGGACTCAGTTTTCTTCCTGGTCCTTTGAGATCTCAGACCACGACCCCATTAGAACTCGGACCCCTTTCACAGCGCTCACAAAGTGGGCAGCGTTCTCTGATAAATCTGACCTTTCAGTGGTGAGAGGAGCTCCCAGACATGCCTGCTGTTCTTCTATTGTTTGTAATGTATGTGTTGTGTTGACCCTGGTCAGGCGGAGCTGGACACAGTGGAGAAACTGACTCGTCTGGTCCCGTGTGAACACGAGGATTTACTGAACGTCACTCTGCGCCTCCTCCTTAACCTCTCCTTCGACACGGGACTGCGCAACAAGATGGTGCAAGTGGGGCTCCTCCCGAAGCTCACCGCTCTGCTGGGTAACTCACACATATTCCTATCATAGCATATAAAAGACTAAATTCTAGTTTCTCTGTAATCTTCCATCTAAATATAATGACTTTTGTGCCGCCTCTAAACCATCTTCTGATTTTCTATTATGTCACTGTGCGCCAGTGGGCGGGGCTAAATAATTTTAACTGATAATATGATTAACCAATAGTATGATTCTTCAGGTTGATGTAGAAGGCGCTGTGGACGGTTCTGCATAGAACCTTTTTGAAAAAGGTTTATGTAGCGTCAAAAAGGGTTCTTTTAGTAGTGCGATGTCAAGCTTGTAACAGTAGAAGAACCCTTTTTGCTGCTATATAGAACCCTTTTGAAGAAGGTTCTATATAGAACTGTCTAGCACATTCTCTATCAATCTGAAGAACCATTTCACGATGCAAAGAACCCTTTAATTATGCAAAAGATAAGGGTTCTGCAAGTATTGCAATGTCAAGCTTGTAACAGTAGAAGAACCTTTTTGGTGCTATGCAGAACCCTTTTCAAAAAGGTTCTATATAGAACTGTCTACAGTGGATTCTCCATCAGTCTGAAGCGACTGAATAGTCTTAAGTGACTATTAGTGTTTTTTTTTATGCTTGTTATGAAGAAAACGACCATAATACATTAAACTAAGATAATACAGTGGTTATCGTAATTTTGAATGGAGAAAATCCTCACCTTTATGGGTTTCTTTGGTCTCTTGCGCAAAACAGAGGGCTAAGTGGTAGGGGCGAGGGGTGAAATAGGATTGGGCCTTACAGCGTACTTCAAATGACCAAATTTGCGCAGCACTTTTTCATTTAAAACGTGTTTAATCGTTTTCTTTACAGGATGGCATCTGTTAATATTGTTGAAAAATGGCTTAAATGACCTGCATCCTCCATTTTTCTTGTATTTTATGTTTTTGGCCTTTTCCAGCCTCTCTTAATCACTCAGAATGCTTGAAAAAGCCAACGTATTGTTTTTTATTATTATTATTATTCTAGTGGTAAAAATTTGTACTTGGGATAGCCCAGCAATGGCCTACCGACACCTTAGCAACCACCTGGGATAGCATAGCTATGGCCTAACAACACCTTAGCAATCACCTGGGATAGCATAGCTATGGCCTAACAACACCTTAGCAGCCACCTGGGATAGCATAGCTATGGCCTAACAACGCCTTAGCAGCCACCTGGGATAACATAGCTATGGCCTAACAGCACCTTAGCAACCACCTGGGATAGCCCAGCAATTGCCTACCAACACCTTAGCAACCACCTGGGATAGCATAGCTATGGCTACCAACACCTTAGCAACCACCTGGGATAGCATACTAGCAGCCTACCAACACCTTAGCAACCACCTATGAGATAGCATACTAGCAGCCTACCAACACCTTAGCAACCACCTGGGATAGCATACTAGCAGCCTACCAACACCTTAGCAACCACCTGGGATAGCACAGCAATGGCCTACCAACACCTTAGCAACCACCTGGGATAGCACAGCAATGGCCTAGTGACACCTTAGCAAACATCTGAAAAATAATTTTACAGTAGTTTTTACATTGATTGTACGCATTGATGGTCTGTGTATATTAAAAGTAGTGTTTGCACGATTGCAGTAGTTTTTTCATTAGTTTCATTCATTAACAGTACAGGTTTATACATCGATTAGATTTCACATTATTTCTATCCATTAACAGTATAACATATTTAAAACAATTTTCAGGAGTTTTACATTCATTTTAATGGTACATTAATGGTACATTTTATTTATTTTATTTATTTTACAATGGTACATACATATTAAACAGTTTTTTGCACTATTACAGTAGATTGTACATTAGTTTCACGCATTAACAGTGCCTTTTTATACATTACAGTTTTTTACACTATTGCAGTAATTTTGACATTTTTGGTGAGTTTAATAGGCTCCCCTGCAGCTCTCATAAAACTTTCTCTCTCTGTGGGCCAGCAGTGTCGGACGCCCCTAATGAGAAGCACATGTTTTAGCCACCGGGGGCAGCGTTGAGGCCCAGGCTGCGCTGACCTTCTTTTATTAACATCACTAAAATTCCAGTATTCTCTATATTCAGAAGTTTTTTCAGTTAAAAAAAGATGGTGGCCCACCTCTGTCTCTCTGTCTCTTGTCTCTCCTTCTGTCTTTATCTCTCTCTCCATCTCTGTTTTCTTTCTTTTTCTTCCTCTCTCTGGGTTTCTCCCATTTTTCGTTCTCTCTCCTTTCCCCCCTTGCTTTTTCAGAGGTCTCCAGTGGTCACAGCTGGTTCTAATGTGTTCTGATGTGTTAATGTGTTGTCAGGGGTCTCAGGTTTGCTGCTGTTTTTTTAATGAATGCTTTTGGAACAGATCCTTCAGTGAGTTTGGTGTCTCTGAGGGTGGGGTGGAGTGACAGGGGGGCTGTTTCTCTGAAGAGGAAAATGTTATTAATGAGACTGTTTATTTGACTTGTTTGAGGCTGATAGTTTCCTATCTGGGTTTAAATTGTAATTACACGGGCCAGATGCTTAGAGCCAAAACTATTTATAACCAGCCCAGACGGATCTAAACAATAGTATCATAAAGGCTCAAAGGGCCTGTATCCTCCATTTTTCTTGTGTTTTATGTTCTTGGCCTTTTTCCTGCCTCTCTTAATCACTCAGAATTAAACAGGCTTGAAAAAGCCAACTTATTGTTCTTCATTTTCTTTTTATTATTATTAATCTAGGGTCAAAATTTTGCAACTCCTATTCCATCACAGTCAGTATACACTCGGTAGCCAACTGGGATAGCATAGTTATGGCCTAACAACACCTTAGCCTTAGCCTTACCTGGGGTAGCATAGCAATGGTCTACCAACACCTTACAAACCACCTTTGAGAAAACATAGCGATGGCCTGGTAATATCTTAGTGACCAGTTGGGATACCCTAGCAACAGCTTAGCAACCACCTTGAATAGTATAGCAATGGCCTACCAACACCTTAGCAACCACCTGGGATAGCATAGCAATGGCATACCACCACCTTATGAGCCACCTATGAGATAGCATAGCAATGGCCTACCTACGTCTTAGCAACCACCTTGAATAGCATAGCAATGACCTACCAACACCTTACAAACCACCTATGAGATAGCATAGCAGTGGCCTACCAACACCTTAGCAACCACATATGAGATAGCACAGCAATGGTCTGGCAATCCTTAGCAACCACCTGGGAAAGCATAGCAATGGCCTACCAACACTTTAGTAACCACCTGGGATAGCATAGCAGTGGTCTACCAACACTTACAAACCACCTATGAGAAAGCAAAGCAACGGCTTGGTAATACCTTAACAACCACCAAGCAATGCCCTTACAACAAGCTGGAATACCATGGAAACCTCATAGCAACACCATAGCAACTACCTGGAATTACTATATAAACCCAGTCAAGTTCTGAGATGTTATTAGCTGGTTTTGTCCAGACAATTTAAAGTGTGTTCACAAACTTTCCAGCTAAGCTGTTACTGTGCCTTTAAGACTGATTGTAAAGAGCCTCTTGTATGATTGGCTGCCCATGTGTTATGCTTCATCCCAAAAGCGGTCTGGGCTGAAACACTGCTGATAACTGCATGAATGGGCGGAGCTTAACTGATGGCAGATGCATGAAATTAATGTTGGTTTTTCTGAGATTACAAAAGCAAGAAATTCAAAATGGGCTGTTATTGCAGCTTAATTTTGTATATGGACCGACTAGACTGCATGGAGTGGAAAGTGACCTTTTAAAATGTAATGCTTTGTGTGTAAATATAGCTAAAGTTTCAAAACATTAAACACATTAACCTCTTTTATTAAAAGGAACAGTGAGGGAAATCCGGTTCCCCAAGCTGTGCCCCCTTTAAAGAACGTTCTGCTGTTTCTTTCCTTCTGCAGGCAGTGAGAGTCATAAGCAGATTGTGATGTGTATCCTGTACCACATCAGCATCGACGACCGCTCCAAGTCCATGTTTGCCTACACGGACTGCATCCCTCAGGTGGGGCTCCTTCACTCACTCTTCACTCTGAAACATACCGGTGGTTCCTCATTCCAGTCCTAGAAAGCTGGTAGACAACTTGTGCGCTGCATATTATGTGCGTTTACTAATGTAAACCATATGGTGTGTTAGTCACGGCTCACCACGGGACTCAGCTCAGTAATTATTAGAGCAGGGCCTTCAGGTGAGGCCATAAATGTCAAAACTGGGTCAAAAAAACAAGGAAATTAAAAAAAAATCACCTCTATGATGATGCTAATTTCTGCTAGTGGCTCTGTGGGCTTTATAATAGTGTGTTAGCACTAAGCTAATGCTGCCCATAAACATTTTTGGGCTGTTCTAGATTAAACACAGACATTTGAAGCTTGTAAAAGACATTCCTTATGTTTTATTTTGAAGCTTGTAACAGACATTTACTGTTGAGCTTGTATGGATCAGTTTTACAGTGCCTCTTTCAGTAAAGGGTCCTGCTGCCGCTGTTTTACATTCCTAACAACTAACCGAAACCTGCTTCGACTACGGCTTGTGTTCACAGTCGGTGATGTATCTAGAATCTTCAGAAGGACTAGAGTGACTAGAGTGAAATTGGTCCCAATGTAATTCAAAGTATGACTGGTTGATTTCTTTTCTCCAGTGATGTTGTTGGTTAATCTAATGGTTAAGACCTTCAGTCCAGCTCCTGAAGTTCTGACCAGCTGAAATGACTTCTTCCCAGTTGATGTCACCTTTAAAACTTGTCCTCTCTGGACTTTCCTGCCAGATGCAATAAAAATAGATGAATTTGCTTTGGATGAAACTGTGTTCGGTTCTCTGCTGCTAATATAATATCTAATGTATAACACACAAAATATACCATTAGAAGTGCACTCATTAGTGTAGTAGGTGAAAGTACAGAAGTGTGTGGTTTGTGACGCGGCATTAGATCAGCCAGTGAGACGCGATCAGTAGTCCAGTGGCTGATTATAGCTTCGCTGTGCTGCACATTAATTGCTCAGTAACAGTTAAACATCTCCAAGCAAACGTTTGAGGTCTTTGTTAATTAAGGGTCATTTATTGAGGTAAATTGATGCATTTATTGAGGTAAAGCTTTGTGATGTTGTCTTCATATTTGCCAGCTTTCGAAAATTCGTTCTACATTCAAGGCACCTCAGTGTAACTGCAGCACCATTTAAGGTGGAATGGAAAATTCAAATGAGAAGCTGGTGAATAAGAAGCTTGAGCTTGATATTTATGTATGAGTCCATTATTTAAGAGCTTCGGCAGCTTCGGTAGCCACTTTTATTATTTTTTATGAAATATCATGCACTGTAATGTTCTGAACTCTGGAGATGTGCAGGCTAAACGTATTCAGTCCACCAATCTAGCTAATCTTCTTCTCGTAGCATTTTCTGAAGACGCATCTACAGCTTCTACATGTCTTTAAGTCTTTTTAGTGGTCATTCTGGACTATTTTGCTTGGTTTTCATCCACTTGCAGGGTTGTAAATGTAGTAAAGGTGATGAGATGAGCTCTATCAGAGCACAGTCAGAGTCACAGCTTGTGGCGACGTGGTCTCCTTGATATTGTGATCGAATACTAGGAATGCACACATTTTCAGGTTCAGTGTGATTTTTTTTTGATTCTGTTAAAAATATCTTGACGCTTTTATTTCTTTCTAATCTACTTGACATCCAAGTGTCTCCTGACCCTGTTGTTGCGATTTGTGGCTATTCTGAGTCTATGGTTGATTTTTCCCGAAATCAGCAGCAGGTTCTAATGACCAGTAAGGTCATTCTTCTTAACTGGAAATCATCCTCAGCCCCTTGTTTTAAAAGATGGCTATCTGAGATGACACACATTGTCCAGATGGAGAGACTGAGATGCTGTGATAAAAAAGCTCAGAGACATTTTCATTTGATGTGTAATAAGTTCTTAGACGAGTTAAAGGGACCTTAGTTATTTTTTTCTTTCATCCTCTCCCTCCTGTCTGGATGTTGGATTGGGGTGGGATATGGGAATGTATTCAAAATGTTTCTGTTTATGTTATAAATGTAAAATTATAAATAAAATATTTAAACTACTTTTTTAACTACATAGATTGGTTTGGCTTAGATTGGTTTAACTAAACAAACCTCCCAAAAATCACAACCAATGGTTTGCAGGCTCTCTGTAGTTTGTCTAATGTGTGTTTGTGCTCAGCTGATGAAGATGGTGTTTGAACACGGAGAGGAGAGAATCGACTCTGAGCTGATCTCCTTTTGCATCAACCTGGCGGCTAACAAGAGGAACGCCCACATTATCTGTGAAGGTACAGTCTCTCTGCACAGGAAGTGACTTCAGTACACCTTTCTGATGCTTTATACAGGTCAAACTTACACTGTGTCTTCATTTCCCCAAATGAAGTGGTCAGCCAAGCCATGTTAGTATCTACAATCGTCCATTTTATCAGCTCCACTGACCATATAGGAGCACTTTGTAGTTCTACAGTTACAGACTGTAGTCCATCTGTAGTCCATACTTTGTTAGCCTGTTCTTCAGTGGTCAGGACCCCCATGGACCCCCACAGAAAGGTACTATTAGGGTGGTGGATCATTCTCAGCACTGCAGTAACACTGATGTGGTGGTGGTGTGTTAGTGTGTGTTGTGCTGGTCTGAGTGGATCAGACACAGCGGTGCTGCTGGAGTTTTTAAACCCTGTGTCCACTCACTGTCCACTCTATTAGACACTCCTACCTTGTCAGTCCACCTTGTAGATGTAAAGTCAGAGACGATAGCTCATCTGCTGCTGCACAGTTTGTGTTGGTCATCCTGTAGTCCTTCATCAGTGGTCACAGGACGCTGCCCACAGGACGCTGTTGGCTGGATGTTTTTGGTTCTCAGTCCAGCAGTGACACTGAGGTGTTTAAAAACTCCAGCAGCACTGCTGTGTCTGATCCACTCAGACCAGCACAACACACACTAACACACCACCACCACGTCAGTGTAACTGCAGTGCTGAGAATGATCTCCCACCTAAATAGTACCTGCTCTGTGAGGGCCCTGTGGGGAGAAACAGATGGACTACAGTCTGTAACTGTAGAACTACAAAGTGCTCCTATATGGTCAGTGGAGCTGATACAATGGACAATGAGTGTAGCTACAAGAAGATGTTCCTAATAAAGTGTTTGGTGAGTGTATAAAGAAGATAATGTACACCAGTTCGACTAAATAATGTCTATAGATGACAGTGTGTCATACACTGTCAGACTAGAGTTTACTTAACAACTCCAGAGTCTGAGGTGAGTGTATGCTAAGTGGTGTACATAAACTTCCATTACTTCTTAGGTCCATTAGCCGTGTAGCTCCAGTGTAAAACTAAAGCAGAAAACTTCAGCCACCAAACATGTCTTGGCCGATTGAACGTACTGGGGGTAATGGGGAAGTTATTTAACTATCATTTTTAATTTTTAGTATATTTACCCAATTTCTTTATATGCAAAAGAAATGAATTTCCACATATTTTCCAAATTTGTAATATATTTTCATGTACATTTCACATCTATGTAAATATTACAAATTGACACTATTACATGTACTTAATCTACAGGTGCGCATAAATTTTGATATATTGACATATATGTGCATATATTGGCATACATATTTAAATGTCAACAGTGACACAGTTAAATATTTTTAGCACATATTTTAAACATCACATACATGTGCAACATATGTACAATATATTTTTAATATGAGCAAATGTACATGCATATATTTTTTTTTCATATGGGTCTCGTCTTAAAGTTGGTTTTGCTTTAAACAAAGAGTAAAACTTACTATTCAAACTATACAAATAGTAAAACGTTCTAAAAGCTGTTATTGCACAGCAAAAAATTATAACTTAACAAGAAAAAACTTCTTAAATGTAGTCTATATATATTCTTGATAGTCTCATAATAAGAAATATTAGATATTTTGACTATATTTAAGATGTTCACGCTCTCTAAGATATCAATTCCTGGTTAAACAATGGATCTGTATTTGCAGGAAATGGTCTGAAGATGCTGATGAAGAGAGCTCTGAAGTTTAAGGACCCTCTGTTGATGAAGATGATTAGAAACATCTCGCAGCACGATGGTCCACTCAAACAGCTTTTCCTGGTCAGTCTGTGTCAAATGGGCCTTCCTCGCTTTCGTCCAGTGTCTAATAACTCACTTAGGATTATGTCAGTTTGCTGACTGATATTGGGATGGAAATGAGGGTTTGGTGGAGATTTATTTTGTTTAACCCTTAGTTAAGTTTAGAGTCTTTGCTGATTTGCAATACTTTTACGTCACACAGTTATTTAAATCAAATGACATAATAAATTACATAGGTACATATGTAATTAATTATGTTTGCATTTTGTTGAAAAACATATGAACAGTGTACCATAACCATATGCTATATACCATACCATACCATGCCATACCACAGTGTACCATAACCATATGCCATATACCATACCATGCCATACCATACAACAATATACCATAACCATATACCATAACATACCATACCACACCACAGTGTACCATAACCATATGCCATATACCATACCATGCCATGCCATGCAACAGTATACCATAACCATATACCATACCATACCACACCACAGTGTACCATAACCATATGCCATACACCATACCATACCATACCATACCACAGTGTATCATAACCATATGCCATACTATATCATACAACAGTGTACCATAACCATATGCCATATACCATACCATACCATACCATACAACGGTGTACTATAACCATATACCATACCATACAATAGTGTACCATAACCATATACCATACCATATCATACAACAGTGTACTATAACCATATACCATGGTTTAATGCGGAGGTCTATTTCCTCTGTGTGCAACAGTGTAACATAACCGTATATCATATACCATGCCATATACCATACCATACCATACAACAGTGCAACATAACCATATACCATACCATACCATACAACAGTGCAACATAACCATATACCATACCATACAACTGTGCCATAACCTTTTTTTCAAATTCAAAACATAATAAAATAGCTCCTTTTCTACTCATAAACACAAAAATGGTGTGGATCAAAAGTTTAGAATCTACACTTTCCACACAATTTCTCCACTTTCTTTAATGAGCTACGAGTCAAAAATAATCAAGCAAAATGTTAAAAGAGGTGTTTATTCAAGCCGTATAGGCCATGGTGGACCTAGGACAGCTAATGAAACCCCTGGACCTCAGGTGAATGATTACTGTAATGCATTAAAACCTACTAATCACCAAGCTTTCAATGTAGTTCTGTTTGAGGTCTAATGTATTATATTGTTCTTGATACAACATATTTTGTGTTCTGTACTGCAGGATTATGTGGGTGACCTAGCGGCTCAGATTGGTCCAGACGAGGACGAGGAGTTTGTGATCGAATGTTTGGGGACGCTGGCTAATCTCACCATCCCTGACCTGGACTGGGAGCTGTTACTGAGAGAATATAACCTCGTGCCATACCTCAAAGACCACCTCAAACCAGGTATCGGCATGCAAAAGAGTACAAGTTTGTATACCCAGTTTGTCGCCGGTCGATCCCCTGAGCTGACAGTACGTGACTGAAGTGCCCTTGAGCAAGACACCTAAACCCCACTGCTCCCTGGTGCCATGGATAGGGCTGGCCACTCCTAGTGTGTGCGTTCACTAGTGTGCATGTGGGTGTTTCACTGCACGCATGGGTTAAATGCAGAAGTATGTTTCCTCTGTGTGCAGAGGAACCAATGGTTCTGAATACTGATTCTAATATTCTGTACAGTACAAAAGTTTTAGGCAGCCAGGAAACGTTTAAAAGTATTTTCTGGGCTGTACGTGTGTTTTTGCCGTGAAAGCTCAACATAAGAATTAATACAAAGAAGTGGAAACATTTACTGCCCAGATAAATAGACTAAGAATCTTTCTTAGTAAATTGAGAAGTAAAAATGAAAATTAGTCAGAAACATTTAACAGAAGACAAGTTGTCCCAAAACCTTTGACAGGTCATTTAATATGAATATGAATCTGGCTTTATTGACCAAGTATGTTTGCACATACAAGAACTTTGTCTTTGGTTACACAGTAACCTGACTATGATAGCAACTATGATAATGTGTTTGCACTGGTTGTGTTGGATCATTTGATGTGAGTGTGAATGTTTTTTGATAGATCATCTAACTGTTTTTCATGCCCATATATGATCTTTGACCTTTTGCCTGTGTGTGTTTTAGGGTCAGCGGAGGATGACCTGATCTTGGAGGTTGTTATAATGATCGGCACTGTGTCAATGGATGACTCCTGTGCTGTTATGCTGGCCAAATCTGGAATCATTCCTGCCCTCATAGAACTTCTGAACGGTAAGACACACCTGTTACAGCACAGGCTCTAACATCCTCATACAGTCAGCACAGGCTCCAACATCCTCACACAGTCAGCACAGGCTCTAACAAAGTATATTCAGCTTCACACAGTCAGCACAGGCTTCAACATCCTCATACATTCAGCACAGGCTCTAACATCCTCATACAGTCAGCACAGGCTCTAACAAAGTATATTCAGCTTCACACAGTCAGCACAGGCTCTAACATCCTCACACAGTCAGCACAGGCTCTAACATCCTCATACATTCAGCACAGGCTCTAACATCCTAATACAGTCAGCACAGGCTCTAAAAAAGTATATTCAGCTTCACACAGTCAACACAGGCTCCAACATCCTCATACAGTCAGCACAGGCTCCAACATCCTCATACAGTCAGCACAGGCTCTAACAAAGTATATTCAGCTTCACACAGTCAACACAGGCTCCAACATCCTCATACATTCAGCACAGGCTCTAACATCCTCATACATTCAGCACAGGCTCTAACATCCTCATACATTCAGCACAGGCTCTAACATCCTCATACAGTCAACACAGGCTCCAACATCCTCATACAGTCAACACAGGCTCCAACATCCTCATACAGTCAGCACAGGCTCTTACAAAGTATATTCATCTTCACACAGTCAGCACAGGCTCTAACAAAGTATATTCATCTTCACACAGTCAGCACAGGCTCCAGCATCCTCATTCAGTCAGCACAGGCTCCAACATCCTCATACAGTCAGCACAGGCTCCAACATCCTCATATAGTCAGCACAGGCTCTTACAAAGTACATTCAGCTTCACACAGTCAACACAGCCTCTAACAAAGCTCTGACAAAGGAGGGGGCTTGTAATATCCATGTGTGCAGGCTCAGGTTCAGAGTTGAAACACTGTCGAACACAGTGTGGAGTTTCCTGTGTTGAGAAAAAGGCAGGCTCTCTCTCTCTCTTTGAGAATTTTTCGCTCCCACAGCGGAGAGATCTATCTGCTGTGGATCAAAACTTATTAAAGAGACGGAGGGGGCGCAAAATCCTCCACCGGAGATATCTGCACTGTTTCAGGAGAGAAACTGATACTCCATCCAAATGGAGGCTTCTCACGAGAGCTCTGCGCCATTTACATGGGCTTTAATGTCAGCTTCCATGAAATAACACTGGTGATAAAGTACATGTCAGCGCAGCCTCATTTTCATTGATGAAGTAGAGAGGATGTGCTCGGCTATACTTTTAGAAAGATCAAATCAAATTTTACCTTTACCTCAAATACAGTCAACCAGACAAAACATGTTTGGTGTTTAAAGCTTGCTTCTCTAATTTTGCACTGGAGCTACGAGGCTAATGTAGCTAACTATTAAAGCTTATATCCCACCAATTAGCCTGGTGCTAACTGCATGCCTGGATCATGCCTCAGTCTATGTGGAGTTGTTTAGTATCTCTAATAGACTTGATTATGTGGTTTCTGACACTGTATGACTCACTGTTATCTACAAACATGGACTGAAGTACATCACATAACTAAAAACACCATCCATACTTGTGTTCATTTTCTACATTTAACACACTTAAAATCTTTATGATGGGGATAGACTTTTATAGGGATACTTTTATTTGGTGCATATTGTTCCTATACTTTACATGTGTCTGTGTTTTTGCTTTCTCTGCAGCCCAACAGGAGGATGACGAGTTTGTGTGCCAGATCGTCTATGTTTTCTACCAGATGGTTTTCCATCAGGCCACCAGAGATGTCATCATTAAAGACACCCGTATCCTTCTTTCTCTCTCAACGCCACCATCATTCAGTGCAGGGCAGACAGAGTGGCGCACTCGAGCTACTGAAATAAGAGACGTATTACGCAGAAGTCAGAGCTGTGAACTGGTACGAGAAATAAAACAAACCCCAAGAACGCGAAAACGTGAAAATGTAATCATTCGTAACTGTTCTATGACAGAAACAGTGAGTGTGTTTACATGCACTCAACAATCCGATCATAATCAGATTTTTGCGGTTATCTGATTATTCAAACGGTCATGTAAACACCATACTCCAACCTAGAAATAAGAAATCCGATACATAGAGCTTGATTTTAGCTCAGTAATCAGATTTCTCAGTGCATGTAAACTATTACTCTGATTTCTTTCGGATTTCTCAGTCTTTGCATGTGTGAAAACAGACGACGGTACTGGAAATAAGCAAATAAGCAAAACACTTTGGGAGCGACACTGAAATTAAGTACATCTTTGACGAAATGAAGGACTTAATTATTCTTCATCTTCTAGATGATGTATGTTCATATTTTCAGGTAGATTGACAATGTTTTTGGAAAAAAGCTGCGGCATGAAGTTTGACTTTTACATTACGTTTACGTCACGTCTTCTTCTGTGAGTTTATTGGCTTTTTGTAAAGCAGAAATCCGATTACTGTCTGACTCATGTAGACCTGGAGTTTCCCCATTATCTGATTACTCAAGTGCATGTAAATGCACTGATCACATTACTGACAAAATCTGAATTTCTGAAGTTATCGGGTTAATATGTAGTTGTAAACGCACTCATTGATATAAAATCTCTGTTACCAGTTAAAGAGGAATCCTACGATTTTTCAAGTTTTCTCCGTAATCAAATCATTAAAACATAAAGAAAGTCACTGAGTGTGGATTGGTGTGAAATGCTTCATCTATTCTAGAACTGTTCAGAGTGGTGGTGACAAGAACCAGACAATCTAAGAGTTTAAGGCCTCTTAAATCTACGTCTCTGAAAGGCACATGAGTTTGGCCTGAGACGCTGTTTTATAGTAGTTTTTATGTAAGATTTGGCCCAAAAAACATATTTTCGAAAATTATTACTAATATGATTTCAAATGTACCACTATTTTACTATTATGAACATTACATGTACAGAAGACGGAAGACGTGTAGGTTCACAGGTGGTTTTGGGTAGTAAATAAAATGTCTACATTTGTGTTGCAGACCTTGTGACCCCTGGTTCTTATCAACACCACTGTAAAGGAAATCTGTAGCTTCTCTTCACTGAGGCATTTCACACCAAACCACTCTGAGTGACTTTGTTTACATCTCAGAAAATTGCGAATGTTCACAATTTGTCATTTTATATGTTAAAAAATCTCCTTTAATAATGTTAGTGTTTAATAACATTATTGTTTTGTTCTATGAAGCCCACAAGCTTATCATTAATGTCACTCCCGAACTCCCAAATGTTTTTGGGTCAACATCATGTCCCCTGTGATTTCATTCGGTGTGTCATTTTACAGATTTCTATGGGATATATGTGGTATTTTTGGGTTTAGTCTATAGATTGGTCTATATTAACCCCCTATAAGTAACTGCATTTGGACAACCTCTAGTAAATTTCCATGACGGGAACCCTCAGGTCCTTCTAGGCCTTTATATAGAAGGCTTAATGATTTCTATAAAATACGTGTCATTTTTGGGGTCATTCTTATTTAATAGAATCATCAGTCCAGGACTTCAGCAGCTGGACTGGAGGCCAGTTAACTTCCAACATAATTAGGAAGTGACAGATGAATCAACCATCCACGTTTTGACTTACAATGAGTGTGATTATTTTTCAGGAGAAAAATCCTCACTGTAGTCCAGGGGTGCACAGCTCTGGTCCTGGAGGACCAGTGTGCAGCACAGTTTGGTAGTTTCCTTACTCAGACACACCCACTAAACCTGGCAATTAACAGATCAGTTGAATCAGGTGTGTCTGTGCAGGTAAATCACCAATCACCAATCCTGCTCTGGTCCTTCTGGAAGTTCTAGATACGTCACAGACTATGAACAAGAGCTGTAGTTTAAGCAGGTTTCGGTTAGGAACAGAAAACTATGGCAGCAGGGCTCTTTACTGATAGAGTCACTGTAATAACTGATACATACAAGCGCAAATATATGTTGATGTGTCTTCAGATTAAACATCTGGAATGTCTTTTACAAGCTTCATATGACTGTGATTGATCTAGAACAGAATGTTAATGTGAAACGCTGTTAGCTTAGCATGGACTGGCGACCTGTCCAGGGTGTATCCTGCCTTCCGCCCAATGACAGCTGGGATAGGCTCCAGCACCCCACCGCGACCCAGAAGGATAAGCAGTTTAGATGATGTATGTATGTAAGTATGTTAGCTTAGCACTAACATACTACCAGGATCAAATAGGGGCGCTAGCGAAAATTAGCATTGTAATAGAGGTGTTTTTATTTTCCTTGTTTTTGTCCAAATTTTGATGTTCACAACCCAAACCGAAGCTCTAGGGCTGGTGGACACAATTTACTACTGTTTCATAGCTACATGTCAGTCATTTAAAAAGACTACTATCCACATTTAGTAGCTTGATAGCAGAAGGAATAAAAGACTTGGAATAGCAATTTGTTCTACTGAGGGGCACAATATAACGCCGACCTGACGGCATTACAGTGAATTCACTGGACAAAATATGATCAGATTGAGTGATAATTCCTTTTGCTTTCTGAGCCACTTGTTTCTCCCATAGGGAGCCCAGATCTCTCTGTTCGACTCCAATTATCTTTGAACAGATTTTTACAGTACCATTCAGGCTATTCTTGTCCTTCACCGACAGCCCTGTTTCCTAACGTCACAAAAAAATTCATTACGAAGAGCCAAACTGAGAAACACCCTTACTTACAGAGTAATACAGAGTATTCATAGATATTTACACCTTATTAGAATGATCTATTATGTTATTATAGCTACAGTACTTGAGCATTGCAGTGTAAGTAATTTAGGTGACATATTAAGCCAGTTCAGTCCTGGAATTAAATAGAATCAACATTAAAGATTTATTCAGTCGCCACTACCTGCTGCACTTTACTAGTTTAGTATGTTAAAGGGGAACTCCACCAATTTTTAAAAATTTCTGCATGATTAAATAGTTAAGATGTTGGGTCATATCTGTTATTGCCTTGAGTGCTAATATGAATATTTCTTTATATTGTGTTAATGGTAATAATTCTTCAGTATCTCTCCAGTATTGCACTAACAGTAATTTGGTCCACAAATTATATAATTGTTTAATGCAGAACTAGGATTAATTAGTGCCTGGAATTCTGGCCCACAGAAAAGCGAGCCAAACTAATACATTATCAGATTGAGTCACAGTTAAGTGCTGTAGTTCCTGAACTCTGACTCCAGAGGCTCCTGCTTACCTCATCGACCTCATGCATGACAAGAACACCGAAATCAGGAAAGTATGCGACAACACGCTGGACATTATTGCAGTAAGTACACACAGACGCCGTATTCCACACAGCTGTATGTCCCTGTACGTCTTAAAGGGCCTATATTCTACGTTATTCTTGTGTTTTATTTTTTCCCACCCAAAAGGTTTTTTTTTACTTTCCCATAAAGTTTCCAACCGTTTTCTAACCTCATTCTATCGTTCACAATTAAGCAGGCAGTTTTTTTATTTTGCATTTTAGACATATGTGAATGACCTGTGTTCTGAGTGGCTGAGGTGAAATAGAACAAATGGAAAGCTGTTATCTTTTGGAAGGCTGTAATGATCTGTTTGCTTCCTGACAGCCAGGAACAGCACAACGTTTAATGGTTTTCCATCTTCCACTTCAGTAATTCTGCTACAGACTGCCTGCAGGAACAACATTCCACATCACTTCAGCTGGAATGGGCGGGGCTAAACTGCTGTAGGCTGAATGGGCAATCATATGTAACAGTACTCATGGTTGTGATGTCACAGTGAATTGAAAACAGGCTGTTTTTGCAGCTTAGTTTCCATATATGTGGTGTATGGACTGGGGTGTGACAATATGGCTTTCTATGATATGAGCTCTTTAAAAGCCTGTATTATACAAAAACATACTTTTCCAGCTTGCCGTGCGATGGACTGGCGACCTGTCCAGGGTGTATCCTGCATTCCGCCCAATGACAGCTGGAAGGATAAGCGGTTTAGATGATGGACGGATGGATAGTTTTCCAGCTTTTTTTAAATAAAAGAGGATACTGTACTATATAAGCGTTGTTAAACTTGCTCTCCAGACTAAATGCTCCATGTATGAAAACCAATCTGCAAAAAAACGCCCATTTTGAAAGCATTGTTTTTGTGATGTCATGAAAACCTAGAGCTGCCTGTTCAGCCTACGGCCTGCAGCTCCACATGTCCGTGCTGAAGTTATAAGGACTGTTTCAGCCTGCGCTGCTTTTTGAATAAGGCACAGCCAATCAGAACAGAGCTCGTTTACATATATCAGTCTTAAAGGCACAGTAACAAAAAAGGCTGTTTAATTCTAAAGGATAAAGTTGGAAAATTTTGTGTAGAAATGAATTATGACATATGACATGAAAATAAGTCAGCACATCCCCTAGAGAGAACACATGTAAATGGGACATTCTCCTGCACAATTTCTATTTATTTGCTGAGTTTATCATATTAGAAAAAAAAAACAAAACAAAAAAATATGCCATAACTTTTGCACAGGCTGGCTCCTTTTTTATCCTGAATGTTTAATTCAGCAGATAAACAGTAACTGTGCACAAGTGTTGTGTACTTTCACACACAACTGTATTTTGAAGTGTACGTATTTGAAGTGTTGATAAAAAAATTAACAATAATAATAACAATAATAATAATAATAACATCCCATTGGGACACCCATTTTGAAAGCATTGTTTTTGTGATGTCATGAAAACCTAAAACTACCTATTCAGCCTACACACTGCAAAAAATTATATTTTAGCAAGTGTAAACATCTTAAATGTAGTCAATACGTCTAATGTTTGTCATTCTGAGACTGTTGTAAGAATATTGTGAGATTATTTAACTTATTTCTAGACATTTTTACTTGTTTTTAAGCAGTTTTATCTTATAAAAGTGTCTTATTTCATTGGCAGATCATGTTTTTTGTTTTAATCATTATTTCTTGAAATGAGCAAAATTATCTTCATTATTTCTCTAAACAAGTAAACTAATTTGCCAATGGAATAAAACACTTTCACCAGATAAAATCACTTAAAACAAGTAAAAATGTACAGAAACAGGTGGAATAATCTTATAATATTCTTAAAACAGCCTCATAATGAGAGATATTAGATTTATTGACTACATTTAAGACGTTTTCACTTGTTAAGATATTATTTTTTGCAGGCCACAGCTCGGCATGTTTATGCTGAACTTACAAGGAGTGTTTCAGCCTGCACTGCCAATCAGAACAGGGCTCATTTGTATGTATCGGTCTTAAAGGCACAGTAACAAAAACAGCCTGTTTATTTCTAAGGGATAAAGAGAGGTGGATCATATAGAGATGAATTATGACTCTTTTTGGTGCATAAACTCAAACAAACCCCATAAGTGGACCTCGGGGGCAAAATGTAGGATATGGGCCCTTTAAGTCTGATCTATCCACTGCGCACAGACTGGGGAGGTAGAACTGTGTGTGTGTTTCATCAGAGTTATACGCTGACAGAAGAGAAACAATCACTGCTCTCCCTCTCTCTCTCTCTCTCTCTCTCTCTCTCTCTCTCTCTCTCTCTCTCCCTCTATCTCTCTCTCTCTTGCTCTCTCTCTCTCTCCGTCTCTGTCTTTGACATTAGATATCAGTAAGTGGAGAGTGGTTGAAAGCCCGGCTCGTTTGGGGAAGTGTTTCATTGACTTTATTAGCTTGCTCGTTAAGCCCCTGCACCACATCAAAGGGGCTGTGGGAGGGTCTGGTTTGTGTCCGTGGCGACAGACTCTGTGCAGATGGATAGCTCAGTGTAAGCGCAGTGGCAGCTCAGCGAAGCTCCGGCCTGCGGCTGATTTGTGATCAGCCGATAAGGGCAGTGATGAATTTGCCTCATCATAGTGCGCCAGCTTCACATTCCTGTGGTGTTTGTTTGCTTCTGCACAGCACAAACACGTCTGTAGAGCTACATTCACACACGGTCGCGTGCAAAAGTTTAAACACCCCCGCACAGGTTACAGATTTGTTAGGTGAAAATAAGTCAGAACACGCGTAAACGGGACATTCTCCTGCACAGTTTCTGTTTATTTACTGAGTTTATCATATTGGAAAAATGGAAAAAAATAAGTAAAACAAAAAAAATGTGCCATAACTTTTGCACAGGCTGCATTTTGTGTTTTATTTTTTATCCTAAATGTTTAATTCAGCAGATAAACAGTAACTGTGCAAAACTGTTGTGTACTTTCACACATGACTGTATTTCAAAGTGTATGTGTGCTTTGATGATGATGATAATAATAATAATAATAATAATAATAATAATAATGATAATAATATACAATGTTACATTTATTCATGTAACAATAAAAACATAGAACACACATTTCCTGTTATATGAATAAAATAATAACTGTGTTCTCTCTATTCTCTGTACTCTCTGTGTTCCCTTTACTGTATTCTCTGTGTTCTCTGTGTTCTCTGTACTCTTCATGTTCTCTATGTTCTCTTTACTCTGTGTTCTCTGTACTCTTCATGTTCTCTGTGTTCTCTTTACTCTCTGTGTTCTCTGTACTCTTTTTGTTCTCTGTGTTCTCTATATTCTCTGAATTTGTTGTGTTCTCTTTGCTCTCTGTGTTCTTTGTTCTCTCTGCTATCTTTACTCTGTATTCTGTGTTCTCTGGTGTTCTCTGTACTCTCTGTGTTCTCTGTACTCTTCATGTTCTCTGTGTTCTCTATATTCTCTGAATTTGTTGTGTTCTCTTTACTCTCTGTGTTCTTTGTTCTCTCTGCTATCTTTACTCTCTGTATTCTGTGTTCTCTGGTGTTCTCTGTGTTCTCTGTACTCTCTATAAGTCTCTGTATTCTGTGTTCTCTGGTGTTCTCTGTGTTCTCTGTACTCTCTATAAGTCTCTGTATTCTGTGTTCTCTGGTGTTCTCTGGTGTTCTCTGTGTTCTCCCTATTGGCTGGGTTCTCTGAGCTGCTGTCCACATGATTGATTAATGGTGGGTTCAGGCAGAGAGGGGCAGTATGTGTTTAGGTCAGGCTGTTCCACAGGGGGCTTCGCTGATTAATCTATGTTTTTATTCAGCGGAGCGGCCGGCGGGGGGACTCTCTCGCCATCCCTTGGGGTCTGGACAAAGAGTGAGCTCTGTAGCACAATAAAGTTCTCTGTGTAATATTCGATGCACTGATACAGGAATTGTGGGCTGAGGCCGATATCCAAGATTTTTCATGAACAGACAGCTGCATGCAAAAGTTTGTGCCCCCCTGGTTAAATGATGTTTTTTTTGATTTCCTAAGTGTAAATAAATACATTAACACATCCTCTATAGAAAACTGCACAATTTAATGCACAATTACTGTTTATTTACTGAATTTAACATATTGGGGAAAATAATAACATGAAATGTTACCCATGCAGAAGTTATGGCATATTTTATATTTTATGATTTATTTTTAAACTGAATAAATAGACATTTTGCACTAAAATTAGCAGAAAAATGGCATATATAAGTGTCTTCTCTGTTGAGGAATGTGTTAACTTACTTTCACTCAGAAAATCAGCAAAACATACATTTGCATACGACTGTACAGAGTGGGGGGGGGTCGAAAATTTGTTCAACAAAAGAAGGACTGCAGTCTAACTGTAAACCTGTGGACTGCAAGGCTTTGTTCACACAGCAGGTAAAAGTGGCCCAAATCTGATCTTTTTCTTCATAAGTGACACAGATGTGTGTCTGTGTGTCAGTGTGAACAGCAAAAACACACTGAATCTGACATTTTCATTTCTGATAAGAGACGCTTTCATATGTGGTACTGAAATCTGATACGTATCCGATCTGCGGCAATGCGACTCAGTCTGAACAGCCAGATCGGAATTCATGCGATTGTTACATCAATACAACTCGACATTCGTCACAGTTTTGCACTGCTGAGACTCTTAAACATTTAGGCTGATGTTTCTGTAGCAAAAAATTAGAAGAGACTCATCCAAATTGCTCCGTGTTCAAAGAGATTTAGAAAGAAATGTCCGAATGCGGCCAGAGGAGACCGACGCTGCAGCGTCAGAGAACAGTTAAAAGTCTGAAAGCAAAGTTTAAAGAATCCGAGCCCACCTGTCAGTCAGTGAAGCTTCATGACGGCTCCAGTGATGCTGGCGAAGATGAAGCTGATCCTCTGGGAGCGAATGACGTTCGTTGCCGGTCGTGGTTGTTTACCTCTGGATGAGCCGTGAAGCAGCGTGAAGCTCTGCTCTTTTTCTCTCATGCGGGTCAGTTTAGGAGCTGATCTGTTCAGACTGATGTCGCATACAGATCACATTTAAAAGATACTGTAAACAACCAAACAAAAAAATCAGATTTGGTAAGAAAATCAGATTTAGGCCGCTTTTACCTGCTGTGTGAACGTAGCCTAACTGATCCGACTGATCCAGTGTTTCTCCTGATATCAGGGTTGTTAATACAGAGTTTATCCTCTTCTGAGAAGGCTCCTAGATTTTGGAACATTGCTGTGAGGATCTGATTGAGCTTTAGTGAGGTCAGGTCTGATGTTGGATGGTCAGTTCTGGATCACTCCCACTCATCCCAAAGCTATCGGATGGAGCTCCATCACTTCAGAGAACACAGTTCCACTGCTCCACAGCCCAATGCTGGGGGGGTTAATAGCCCTCTAGCCCACACTCGGCTTTGGGCCTGGTGACCTTAGGCTGATGTGCTGCTGCTCCAGAGCGTCCAGTTTTATTCTGTGCTCTTCTTTGGGGATTACACAAGCTGTGTGTGCATGGCTGTGTCAGCGGGGTGTGCACCTTAAAGTAGCTGAATTCAAAGAAATTAGCATGTTCTGACACATTATGTGTTTATGTATGTGTGTGTGTGTGTGTGTGTGTGTGTGTGTGTGTGTGTGTGTGTGTGTTTGTATTCAGGAGTATGATGAAGAGTGGGGACGTAAGATTCAGAGTGAAAAGTTCCGCTGGCACAACTCTCAGTGGCTGGAGATGGTGGAGAGCCGGCAGATGGACGAGGCTGAACCCTATCTCTATGGAGATGACCCCGATGGCCTAGAGCAAGCTGACCTCTTCTACAGTACTGGTTAGCAATGGATATCCAGTCTCTCTCTCTCTCTCTCTCTTTTTGTCAGGTCACAGTAAAAGTATATGTGCTCCGTATGTATCAGGGCTGCACATTTAATCAGATTTTTTGTCATTCTTGTGATGTATATGTCCATAATTATCTTACACAACAATTTTCACTGACTAATTTTGCTTTTTTAGTTTTAAAACTGGTGCTACAATGGTAATTTGGCTAACAAACACTAGAAGTCAATAGTCACCGAAAGGTTTTCCATAAATAAAGCCCCAAATGCACGGAAGTGCACACATCTAAGTTTACATTAAGATTGCACTGACTTGTCAATGTGTTTAGGACACAGTATGACTTACTATGGTCTATGAAAATGAGCAAAACTTTATCATGTATCTGAACACTGCAGCACAACACCTCTCGTCTTCATGCCGTGTTCATCTACACAGTGGAATTTTGTTTGTTGGAAATTCGCTCACAGTAAATCATAGTACGTCTTAAACCACATCAACAAGTCTGCACCACCTTAATGAAGACCTGGATGCGGTTTGAGCGCATTTGGAGATTTATTCATGCAAAACATTTGGGTGACTATTGACTTCTGGTGTTTGTTAGCCCTGTTAGGCTGCATAGCTGCAGGTCTGAACTACAGAAGCAAAATTTGGACACCAAACATGCCTTGGCTGATCGACTGCATCTGTTGAAAGTGAAAAATTGTGCAAATTAGATTTTTCACAAACCCATTTCTTTAAGGGCTGTGATGACAGAACCGATTAAATTACATTAAACAGCACAGCACCAGAGTAATGTGATTAGACTGACAGCAGTGTATTGTCAGAAGCTGTGTCTAATGTTAACCAGTGTGCTGAACAGCCAATCACAACACACACATGTGTGCAGAGCTCAGAAACTACTCCATCCTGAACTACCTAAAATACCTGTAAAAAACAGATTACAATTCTCACTTTCCAGAATATGATGTTTCTTAATCATTAACATAATATTGTCTTTGCGATACTGATATTGTTTGCCAAGTTAAAAGTATGCCAGTTAGCCAAATAACCAATCACAGTGTAAAAACTCTGTGCTGTAAGCATCCTGACCAATCACAGCAATACACCAATCAGGCATAACATTATGACCACCTCCTTGTTTCTACGCTCATTGTCCATTTTATCAGCTCCACTTACTATATAGGTGCACTTTGTAGTTCTACAGTTACAGACTGTAGTCCATCTGTTTCTCTGCATACTTTGTTACCCTGTTCTTCAGTGGTCAGGACCCCCATGGACCCTCACAGAGCAGGTACTATTTGGGTGATGGATCATTCTCAGCACTGCAGTGACACTGATGTGGTGGTGGTGTGTTAGTGTGTGTTGTGCTGGTCTGAGTGGATCAGACACAGCAGTGCTGCTGGAGTTTTTAAACACCTCAGTGTCACTGCTGGACTGTGAATAGTCCACCAACCAAAAATATCCAGCCAACAGCGTCCTGTGGGCAGCGTCCTGTGACCACTGATGAAGGACTAGAGGTTGACCAACACAAGCTGTGCAGCAGCAGATGAGCTGTCGTCTCTGACTTTACATCTACAAGGTGGACCGACAAGGTAGGAGTGTCTAATAGAGTGGACAGTGAGTGGACACAGTGTTTAAAAACTCCAGCAGCACTGCTGTGTCTGATCCACTCGCACCAGCGCAACACACACTAACACACCACCACCACGTCAGTGTTACTGCAGTGCTGAGAATGATCCACCACCCAAATAGTACCTGCTCTGTGAGGGTCCATGGGGGTCCTGACCACTGAAGAACAGGGTAAAAGGGGGCTAACAAAGTATACAGAGAAACAGATGGACTACAGTCTGTAACTGTAGAACTACAAAGTGCACCTATATAGTAAGTGGAGCTGATAAAATGGACAATGAGCGTAGAAACAGGGAGGTGCTCATAATGTTATGCCTGACCGGTGTATATGTATTTATTGTTGTAGGCCTATATAGACAAAGCCATTAAGGAAGTGCTAAATACAAAAATAAGGATTGTCTCATGTTAATATATTGTTTCCATTTTCATTCATACTGTGCAAAAGCTTTAGGCATCTGAGAAAATTAGATCTCGGAAGTTATTTATCTGGTCACTATGTTTTTGTTTGCTCAGAAAAAAACAATTCTAATAATTGTATTAATGAAACAATATTTTTAATGTAGGTCGATGTGTTTGTTTAACGATTTCTCAGCCTCTCCTCGAGGAAGCCCAGTATTATATGTAGTTATCATCCAATGCTGATTTGGCTGATCAGCAGCTCCTCATTGTGTTGAATCAGATGTGATATAGATGGAATTTAATGTGGTGATTTTTACAAGCACAAAATCACTAATTGCAAAAATAAATTCTTTAAAATTATTATATATATATATTATATATATATATATATATATATATGTATGTATACAGCCTTTTTTCTATATACAGAAACTCTTTTTGAAGACATTTTCTGACATCATTTGATTTCCATTAGATTTAAGAGAGTCCAAAATGAAAACACTTGTTTTTATATTATGTTATTTGTTTATTTGACAGGAACAATACAGATAAGCATTTTTACATAGAACACAACACATGTAATGTATATTGGGCATCTAGCTTAACCTAATATAATACATCATAAGGGCATCTGGAAAGTGGAATATTTGGAATATGTAGCTGATGTGATAATTCAGTCTTTTATGTAATTTTTAGTTATGAAACATTGAAATGAGCTCAGTTGTGTAAAGTACATTCCTGCGGTGTTGTCCTTGGTGACTTGTTGTCAGGAAGATGAATGGACGAGCTGTGGAGAGGAAGTGGCTCTGCTGGGTTTCTGTCTCTCATGTTTGTTTGTTCTCTCTCTCTGTTGTGTTTATATGTGTGCGTGTCTGTGTTTCTGTGTTGGGGGGCTGCAGATGGGATGCCTCCTGAAGCTGGCCTGAGCCCGGACCCCTACAGTCAGTTCCACTCTCAGAACGGAGACTTTAACGGCTGGTGAGTGAGCACCTCTTTTCGTGAGAGTCACGCCTCAGCATTTTAAACAAGCTCCCTGTTACTGAAGCCCTGTTTAATTCGTTTAAACTAGACAGTACTTTACATCACATTTCTACTGTCTCAGGAAAATAAGGCTTTTTATAGGATCTCCATCATTATATTAACCCATTGTGGTTTAGTTTAGTTTTGTCCCCACCGAAATCTACAGATATAAAAAGAACCACATTGTGAATTGTTTGTATAGTTTGTATTATGTACACACTTAAAAATGATGGTTCTTCAAGGGTTGTTTAGTAGATAAGATGGTTCTGTATAGAACCGTAAGCACTCAAAGAACCATCTGCATGCTTAAAGGGTTCTTAGCATTGTGAAATTGCTTGATGAAGAATGTGCTCAAGATGGTTCTATATAGCAACAAAAAGAGTTTTTCCTTTGTTGCGATGTCAAGCTTGTAACAATAGTAGAACGTGCTTTTTGGTGCTGTATAGAACCCTTTTTCCAAAAGGTTCTATATAGAACCATCTACAGCACATTCTGAAGAACGCTTTCACAATGCAGAGAACGCTGTAATCATGCAAAGGTTTCTTTGAGTGTTTATGGTTGTGAATAGGACCATGTTCTTTATTAAAGAACCCTTGAAGAACCATCATTTTTAAGAGGGTGTTGTGCGCAATAGGACTATAGAATATGATGTTTCTTAATCGTTATCATGATGTTGGCCTTTGCGATACTGATATTGTGTGACAATTAGCCATAGAACCGATCACAGTGTCAATGTGCTGTAAATATCCTGACCAATCACAGCATTGTATTGCAATGTGTAGCAATATATCTAGTACTTCGCAGTACGTCTGAGACCACCGATTTACTTAATTTCCAGGCAAAACAGCCACTGAGTACACTGAGTACTGAGTATTGTAATGTTTTTTTGCAGCATGCATAAATATATATATAATTAAAATTATGTATATAATTACAGTATATACACTCTTAAAAAACATGGTTCTTTGAGGGTTCTTTAGTAAAGTAAATGGATCTATATACAACCATGAACACTCAAAGAACCCTTTGCGTGATTAAAAGGTTCTTTGCATCGTAAAATAGTTCTTTAGATTGGTGAAGAAAATACTCTAGATGGCTCTATGTAGAACCTTTTGGAAAATGGTTCTGTATAGCACCAGAAAGGGCTCCTCCCTTGTAACAAGCTTGTATCATAACAATAGCAGAACCCTTTTTGGTGCTACACAGAACCCGTTTCATGAAGTTTCTATATAGAACTGTGTACACGCAAAGAACCCTTTGCATGATTAAAAGGTTCTTTGCATCGTAAAACAGTTCTTCAGATTGATGAAGAAAATGCTCTAGATGGCTCTATATAGAACCTTTTTGAGAAGGGTTCTATATAGCACCAAAAAGGGTCATTCTTTTGTAACAAACTTGTATCGTAACAATAGCAGAACCCTTTTTGGTGCTATACAGAACCTGTTTCAAAAGGGTTCTATAGAGCCGTGACACTCAAAGAACCTTTGCGTGATTAAAAAGTTCTTTGCATCGTAAAATGGTTCTTCAGGCTGATGAAGGAGGTGCTCTAGATGGTTCTATGTAGAAGCTTTTTGAGAAGGGTTCTATCAGCGCCAAAAAAGGTTCTTCTATTGTAACAAACTTGTATCATAACAAAAGCAGAACACATTTGGTGCTATACAGAACCCTTTTCAAAAAAAGGTTCTATATAGAAGCATATACAGCACATTCTTCATCAATCTGAAGAATGATTTCACCATACAAAGAATCCTTTAATCATGCTAAGGGTTCTTTAAGTGTTGACAGTTCTATATAGAACCCATAAAGGATGATTGTTTTTAAGAGTGTATATGTTTAGATTCAGGCCTCATTTATTAATTTGATTCTAAATGATCCCAAACGTTCTGTAACTCCTGTTAGTTTGATCTGAGCTGGTTGTTGGAGGTAAAGAATGCCTGTGTTTGTTTTGGCTGGGCGGGTGTCTGCGCAGACGGGCCTGATGGGGGCGTTGTGCTGTTTTCCCGTGCCTCACTGTAAGGCGATACGTCTCAGATGTGCTGTGTAGGCTTTTCTGGGGGGAATTAGGGCTCTCGGGTGATTGGGTTTAATTAGAGCGTCTCTCTGAGTGACAGAGGTCAGAATAATAATCAAATACTCTCTCCGTCTTTATTTAAGACTCGTGTGAAGTGATGTATGTAAGCAAAAGCTCTTTAAAGGAGAGATGGGTTGGTTTGGCCCGCAGTCCAGATGGCAGATGTTCAGTGAAAAGCTGATCTGATCTGGCGTTTGATACTGGGGTGCAGGGCTGTCTGTATTGATTATATTAAATGACTTTTCAGCTGATTATTTTGACGAGTAATCAGGTAATCAGTGTTTTACTAAAGGGTCAAACAAGAAAAATGGACTGGACTGAACATTAACAAATCATACAGAGCCCTTTAAAGAGTCCAGGATGCTGGAAAAAGATAAACGAGTGGGGTTTTTAAAAAACGCTTGATTAAAAATACATTTAGACTCTGAAAATAAGTGGAAAAAGGCATATAAATGGAACGTTTGGCTTTTGGAAGTATGATCACATTCCTGAACATTTAAGGAGACACAGTCGGTGCTTCAGCAGCAGGAATTCTGTTAATGCTGATAAATCCACAGAATTTTAGTGTTGGTGCTTTAGGTGCGCAGTTTGCACGGTGCTAATTGGTGGGCTATAAACTTCCATTACTTGTTAGCTACATTAGCCTCGAAGCTACACTCTCAAAACTAAAGGTAGTAAACTGTCACTGTTATAAATTGTCACTGTTATGTTATAAAACATATTAAACGCCGTGTTTCACGGCCCAATTTATTTATTTCTTACTTTATTTATTTAACTGTAGTATAAAAGCAATAGAACATATAGAATCATGTTGTTTCGCGATAACACACTATTGCTTAAGTACCTATACATATAACTTTACAGGAGAGGACAAAAACCGCCTTAACTTTTAATGTAAGTTAATGTAAAGAGGTTTTATTCTAAGTAATTTTGGAGCATTTCTATTGGTCCAATTATCCTGAAATTCTCAGACAATGTAAAGGAGAACTGCCATGTCTAAATGATGTAAAAGAATGAAAATCAACAAAAATGGAGATGAAAGTTTTTCTTTGGACACCAATGATATGCAGGTCTGAGGAGACATATACTGTAATAACTATTATATACAGTATGTCACAAAGTCATATGAACATTCTTAAGAATGAACATGTGTACAGTTGGGTAAATAAGCATTACGGTACAGGAAGGCATGTTTGCTAGGTTCAGTTAAAGGGGAATTCCACTGATTTTTCAAAATTCCTGCATAATGTACTGATCATTTAGGGTGGTTTGATGTGGAATGGTTAATTGTAAAGAAGCTAATAGTAACCTGGGGTCGCCATGACTACAACACAAATATAGCCATTTTATTTACTATCCAAAACCACCAGTGAGCCTTCTGAGTTTTTATATTGAATGTTGATGATGGTGAAATGGTGATAAATCTGAAGACCATCTGCCTCACAACACCATGCATCTACCTATCCATCATTAAAAATACATTTTAGGCCAAAATCTTCTCAAAACTATCATAAAATGGTGTCTCAGACATCAGTCAGTGAATTCATAACCATTTCATGTAGTAACTTTCTGCGAGGGAGCTTTTAGAGGTGGACGTCTGGTTCCTATCACCACCATTGTGAATAATTCTGACTCTAAGTTTCTCTAGAACAGAGCGTTTCACACCAAACCACTCTGAATGACTCTGTTTACAAACATGTAATTATACAGAAATTTTCAAAAATTGGTGGAATTCCCCTTTAAGTTTAAAGTGCAAGTGTAAGGGTTAATAAGCGCTACAGCTTTGGGGGGAAAAAGCTGTTCTAGAACTGAAGAGAGCTTCTGAAGAAGGTGAGGAGGGGGGTGTCTGAAAGTCCCACAGCAGACGGGGGCAAGAGGGCTGCTGCTGATCCGAGAGAGCCAAACGCAGACCCGTGTAACCAGAGACGGGACGGGAGCGGGAGATCAAAGCGGGAAAGCTGCAGAACAACTTTAGGGGAGAGAACGAGTGGAGAGAGAGAGCTGCAGCTTTATGAAGGAGCGCAGCCCCGTTTCCTGTGCAATCTTACCCTTCAGAATAGTAAAACAGGACGGGCTTTAAAGCACCTCATTTTATAGGCGCCCCCAGCCAGACCTCCTCTGCCCCCTCTCCGGCTCCCTGTGACCCCCCTCCTCTTTTACTGGCCTGTTTGGAAGCCCTCACAGACGGCCAGGTGACACGTTGGATTTAATTGGCCGAGATTCCTGGGGATATGTCTCAAAGCGGGATTCGTCAGTTAGCCAAATAACGTCAATCAGGTAATCATCTTTGCTGAGAGGTTCCGTGGCTCCACCCACAAATGCATTCTTGTGTAGCAGCTGCTGCAAAATTGGGCAGCGTTTAGAGAACGATGGATAAAATCCCGTTTAACCCAGATGAGTTTAGGTTGGGGTTTAGATTAATACTAAGTTTCTAGTTTAACCCTTGTGTGGTGTTGATGTGTTTGATACTCGGTGGTCTGGTGGACCCACCGCATTATTGGTTATTTAACTCAATACAGTCAAAACAATTTATGTAAAAATACCAGATGTTTAAAATATCACAAGTGTCCAGTGTAGGGTTCTCCTTTAGCAGCTGTGGCCAGTCAGCAGCCTGTCCATGTTGTTCACCCTCTCACACATGTGTAATATACACCGATCAGGCATAACATTATGACCACCTCCTTGTTTCTACACTCATTGTCCATTTTATCAGCTCCACTTACTATATAGGTGCACTTTGTAGTTCTACAGTTACAGACTGTAGTCCATCTGTTTCTCTGCATACTTTGTTAGCCCCCTTTTACTCTGTTCTTCAGTGGTCAGGACCCCCATGGACCCTCACAGAGCAGGTACTATTTGGGTGGTGGGTCATTCTCAGCACTGCAGTAACACTGACGTGGTGGTGGTGTGTTAGTGTGTGTTGCGCTGGTACGAGTGGATCACACACAGCAGTGCTGCTGGAGTTTTTAAACCCTGTGTCCACTCACTGTCCACTCTATTAGACACTCCTACCTTGTCAGTCCACCTTGTAGATGTAAAGTCAGAGACGATAGCTCATCTGCTGCTGCACAGTTTGTGTTGGTCATCCTGTAGTCCTTCATCAGTGGTCACAGGACGCTGCCCACAGGACGCTGTTGGCTGGATATTTTTGGTTGGTGGACTATTCTCAGTCCAGCAGCGACACTGAGGTGTTTAAAACTCCAGCAGCACTGCTGTGTCTGATCCACTTGTACCAGCGCAACACACACTAACACACCACCACCACATCAGTGTTACTGCAGTGCTGAGAATTTACATTGACGCATTTCCTGTTGGGTGTTTTGACTAATGTTCTGTAAAGCTCTTCTGGACAAATTCATGTTAATACAATCTGTTACTGTTATGATACTGTTTTGTAATGTCCACATGACATCAGTACACATGGTTATTATCACTGCAGTACCATGCAGGCCGTGTATGGGACGATATTTCTTCTGTTGTTTTGTTGCACCATAAAAGAAGAAACTGCCTGTAGCACAGATGTAACTCAGAATAATAGCTGCTGTCTCCTCTCATTCTGAACCGTGAGCAAACAGCTGGATCCAGAATGGTTCGATTACTGAGTTAATTGAGTAATAGTCAGTAGATCAATCAATGATGGGAATGTTTGTTAGTTTCAGCTCTAAAGCTGTCAGAATACTACAAACAACAAAAGAACTGAATGAAAATGAACTACCGCCGAGCGCACTGTCGTAAGCGTACTTACAAAGAACTCTGTGTCCGTCTCCGCACGGATCGGTCTCAGAACAGTTGACGCAGTGATTAGGAACAGTCACAGTGAGGCAGGGCAGGTTTATTTACACAGCACACTTCATACACAAAGGCAGTTCAAAGTGCTTTACACAAATAAAAGCGAAATAAATGAAAGTGGGCATAAAGTGGGCTCGGTGTTCTCAGGGTCTTATTTTCAGTGGGCTCTATGTTCATAGTACTGTATGTTCCCAGGGCCCCCTGTTCTTAGGGCTCTATGTTCCCAGGGCTCTGTGTTTTTAGGGCTCTATGTTCCCAGGGCTCTGTGTTTTTAGGGCTCTATGTTCCCAGGGCTCTGTGTTTCCAGGACACTTATGTTTCTAGGTTACTGGATACTATATTTTCAGGGCTGTATGTTCCAAGGGTTCTGTGTTTCCAGGGTCATATTTACTCAGGACCCTATGTTCCCAGGGCCCTATGTTTCCAGTGCACTATATTCTTTGGGCCCTATGTTCCCAGGGCCCCCTGTTCTTAGGGCTCTATGTTTCCAGGGCCCTATGTTTTTAGGGCTCTATGTTCCCAGGGCTCTGTGTTTCCAGGACACTTATGTTTCTAGGGCCATATGCTTCCAGGACAATATGTTCTTAGGGCTCTGTGTTTCTAGGGCCTTATGTTTTTAGGGCTCTGTGCTTCTACGGCTGTGGGTTCTTAGGGCTCTATGTTTCCAGTGCACTTCATTCCAGTGGCCCTGTGCCTCCAGGGCACTATCTTCCTAGGGCTCTATATTTCCAGGGCACTATGCTCTTAGGACTCTGTGTTTCCTGGATACTATATTCTTAGGGCTGTATGTTCCAAGGGTTCTGTGTTTCCAGGGTCATATTTACTCAGGACCCTATGTTCCCAGGGCCCTATGTTTCCAGTGCACTATATTCTTTGGGCCCTATGTTTCCAGGGCACTATGTTCCTAGGGCTCTATGTTTCCAAGGCACTATGTTCCTAGGGCTCTATGTTTCCAGGGCACTATGCTCTTAGGACTCTATGTTTCCAAGGCACTATGTTCCTAGGGCTCTATGTTTCCAGGGCACTATGCTCTTAGGGCTGTATGTTCCAAGAGCCTTCCAGGGCACTATGTTCTCAGAGCTCTATGTTCCCAGGGCTCATTGTTCACAGCTCCATGTTTCCAGGGCCCTATATTCATATGGCTTTGTGTTCCCGGGATCAGCTGTTATCATGGCCCTATATTTCTAGGGCCCTGTGTTTCCACTATGCTCTTAGGGCTCTATGTTTCCAATGTTCATAGGGCTGTATAGTCCAAGGGTCCTATATTCCAAGGGCCTTGGTTTGCTCAGCTCTTTATATGATACATTGTGCCTCAATATAATGCATGAAGAAAACCTATGCAAGGGTCCCTGAGGTTGTGGTTTGGTCCTGGAAGCAAAAAGAAGCAGATTTTCAATGGGAATGCTCTTGCTCTCTGCTAGGCTAGCCTCAGTGAGCTAATTAGTTGGCTAAACCTTTCCATACGAGTCCTTTATGAGAAGTCAGAGTGTAGTGTCTTTGTTGTGTAGACTGCAGCTAGCTAACTAGTAAGTTGAAGTAGAGTAAAGTAACAAATGTACATCAACAGGAATAGTTTAGGGCAGTTTACTAGGCAAATCAAATGTCATAGTGTTAAAATATTCAGTACCAGACAAAAAGACATTTGCATCAGGTCACAGTGACATCTGGGCAAATTCTTCTCCTGAAGAACTTGAGGAAACATGATTGAGGCAACTTGGGGCTGTAACATGGGGCTATAGGAACATAGAGTTTATTTCTGGAAAAGTTAAACGAGGGAATATGGGACCCTGGGAATATAGGGCCGTTATAAGCTTCCAGTACAGTGATAAAACTAAAGAAGCAGATATCTTCAGACTGCGTGTGGTGTAAGAGGACAGTGTTTGCAAATTAGATTTTTTATCAAACTATCGCTTTAAGGTTGTGTGCTTGTTGCAGCTGGTAAAGGATGGAGGTAAGCGATCATCTTTATACCATCTTTGTCCGTGTTTAGGTCGTTTTACAGTTGGTTTGTGCTGCTCTGAGTCTCCTGTGCTGCAGACAGTACCCAGTTCATGAATCTGTCTGACCTGAAGCTCAAACTGAGCCTGACAGGCTGGCAGTGCAGCAGGAGAGAGACGTATTTCAGACGGCAGAGGACGAGGGGGGGGGGATGGAGGTGCTTTAGCTGTAACTGAGTACTGGAAGTGATTTGGGGCTAAAAACAACACATTATCATGTGAGCTCATAGGAGCAAAGCAAACGAGTCATATTTTAAACGCTGTGGGTCAGAGAGAGAGAGAGAGAGAGAGAGAGAGAGGAGAGAGAGAGAGAGACAGAGAGAGAGAGAAGGATTGAGAATGAGTGGAAATGCTATTGAATTCTATTATGATTTCACTAGTGATGGTTTAAGTAATGTCTGTTTCGGTAGTGACAGTTTTAGTTTATTTTGAACAGAACTCAGAAACGTAGCCAGGACATGACCAGCAAACACAGCTTTAAACAGCTGTTCACACATAAAATCAACATATTTGTATTAAAACACAAAAACATACTCACTTACTTACTTAATTGCAAAAATTATGTATTTCGGTATTGGCACACTGTTCCACGCTGATTTTCAGACATATTTTCTTAAAAATAATGGGATCTAACTGCTCACTATGTGGCCAAGAGGGTCAGGGATGCAGTCTCACTTCCTGCTCTAACCTCTTTATAGTGACATGAAAACATGGGACGGCATATTTTGAATAAAGTATGTTTTGTTTTTGTAAAAATGAAACTCATGATAAATCCGAAATCTTTCGACTTCACTTTGAAAGAAAACAAAAATTTTCAAAAAAACATTGAAATGTAAGAATTATTTTCACAAGTGTAAATTTAGGGGTTATGGTTGGGCACAGACAGTACACAATAGAAAGTAAGCTATATTGTATATATTTCAATATGTACTAAATATATTGTATATATTTAGGTCATTTATTATTTTTATTATTTATTACTGTCTCTATTAATGCCTTGGGTTTAAATAACATTATATAACATTTTGTGATGTTATGTATGTTATGTAATGTAGATTTAATGTTATGATGTATATAATGTCACTACTGGAAAACCTTGTATCTCCATTTTTGTCTTTTTGTTTTGGCATAATTTGAAAATGCCTGTTGCTCTTTACATTGTGTGTAAATTTCATGAAGGATGGACCAAAAAAAACGACCCAAAATGACTTGGGAAAAAAGTCTGGTTCCATTGACTTACATTAAAAGTAAAGTAGGTTTTATCTTTTTCCTGTAAAGTTACCATTTTGGAGATATATATGTATAAATGTATATGTATATATTGTTTGAACTATATTGGTGGAATGATGATCCTTAAACTATCGAGACCAAGACAAGTCAGAGATGTACTAAAGCACTATATTTCAGCTCCTTCTGACATGGCGAGGGTTTATCAGCATCACCCCTGCTCACTGCTGCTGAAGCGAGTCAAACAGGGCCATCTAGTGGCTGTAGGCATGTACTGTCACTATTTCAGCCTGATCAGATAAATCATCAGGGCTCTTTTTCACCTCCTGTGATTCTCTCTCCTCAGCAACGGGTCAAACGGGCGTCCCGCCACTGCCTACGGCTTCCGGCCGGACGAACACTTCTTCCACGGGGTTTCCTAAAGCTTCCCAAAGCGTCCTGACCAGTCCACCTCCTTCAGCTTTGGTCAGTGATCAGGAACACATTCGAGCTTTCTGCACCAGGAGTCCAGATTAAAACATCCTCCAGACTCTGGAGTGGACTGAGATCCAGATTGGCTGATACGGCTCTCTAGTTTCACAGATTGGCTTTAATCTGGAGACCAGCCGTAGGTGAGCGTCCACTAAACTGGACCGTGGTCACACACAGGGTAGAATGACACACTGCATGTTCATATGACTGAATGAAGCTGTGGAGAGGAATGCTTCTCAGCTTCTTTTTTGAAATGGTTAGTTTTATTTTCAGCATAGTCTTAACTTATTTATTATATTTATACACATTTTTATAGGTTCATTTTAGGTAGTTTTAGGTTAATGACAGCACTTTAATAATAAACTTTGCATAAACACTTGAACTGAACTACTCAAATCACAACTTCTGATTTTTTTAGTTTTGCTGATTGAGATGCACATACTTGAATATGTCAAAGGGGAATACCACTGAAATTTCAAAATTTCTGCATAATTAAATGGTTAAGATGTAACCAAACTCATTTCAAGTGTGAAATGCTCGTTCTAGAGAAACTTACAGAGTCAGAATTGTTCGGTATACGTTGGGGGTGATGGGAACCAGACGTCTGAAGAGCTTAATTCATCTTAAAGTTACATTAAATTCAATTAAATAGTTATGAATACTCTGCCTGATGTCGAAGACATAGGGTGTGTCTCAAAACCTAGTGAGCTCTACATAGACAGCATTTTACGTCACAATATGCGCTCCCGACAAGAAGGCTGTCCCAATTCTTAGATATCTCAAATATGCTGCCTACTGAGGTCTCTCATTTTGGCCCAATATCGAGAGAGCATCGGATGTTTCCTCAGCCACTGAGGCAATCCTGAGATGCAGCGCGGCGCAACTTTTGTTTGAAGATGGCGGGCAGAAGCGCTTCACCAAGCAGCGACGTCATCTTCAAATGTAAGTTATTCTGATTTTCTGTTTATTTATCTTTTTCTAGTCACAAAGGTGCACAAATAGCCTATACTTTCCCGCGTTTGACCACAACTATTGTCTATTTTGCTGTTTCATTCAGAGCAAATACAATTAAAATCGCTGTATAAACCGCCAGAGCAGATCCATGTTGGCTAAATGTGATTCTGACAGCTGAGGTCAGTAAACGCCGGTCTCGTGCAGTGGGCGCGAACAAGCGGCGACGTCACTGCTGTCTAACTAGAGCATCTCATAAGGACAGATGACGGTTGGAACGCTGCCTACTTAGACAGCTGCCTAGGTGGACAGCGGCTACTTAGAAAGCTCACTAGGTTTTGAGACACACCCATAGTTTTACGATAGTTTTGCCAAACTATTTTGGTCATAAACATATTTTTAAAAATCCATTTTTGGCATAGAGGTACATGCAGGGAGCTGTAAGATGAAAACTTTTTTTCCCCCCAAGTGCATCACTGTTTTAGCGTCAATATTCCATATAAAAACCTAGAAGACTCATGTAGGTTGACTAGTTGTTTTGGATAGTAAATAAAGTGGCTATGTTTATGTTGTATACATGGCTCCTATCACCATTATAAATAAATTTCACGTCAATCTCTTTGAATGAATTATGCAGATATTCTGAAAATCAGGTGAAATTGTGCTTTAATACAAATAAATTTTATTTTCATTTGCTAATGTATTTAAACAATAACATCATGTTCATCCTGCCTAAATCCTGTTGTCCTCTGTCTAAAGGGGAAATCCTATTGATTATCCATCCAAGATACTCAACGCTTATTTATGGCATAAATGGCAATTTAGACTTACTAATGTATGAAATGAATAAATACTGACATTGTGTAGCATAACTGCATTTGCAGGCTTACTGACCTGCAGCCTCATTTATAAGTAGGATACACTGCACTCACTTTCACGTGAAAGCTTTGCCTTTGTTACCCCGTGTAGAATAGACCTCTGCAGTCGTGTCGTCGTTCTCTAGACGATGTCTTCTCCATATTACAAACTCGGCTCTGAGCTGTTTTTCTCCATGGGAAAAATAAATGGCATTTTTGGAAATCGCACCCTGTGGTTATCAAAACATTCTGAAACTGAAACTTTTGCATACGGTGTACATTTTAGGACATCCTCAGACCTCAGCGTCAGACAGAATGGCATCATTACTTGGACTAGACGACTTTGAGTCTCGGGAAAACCACCATCATGTCTCAGATCTGGTGTAACTGAACATCAGACCAAACGGCCTCAGACAAAAAGCTCTCAGACCAAACGCAAGCTTGGTCAGTGCACCTGCTGGTTCATATAAGTTAGAAAATACGATGTATTTTCAATATAAAAGCCAGTATAACATTTGCAAACTGTTTTGAGGGTATATGAAATCAGATATGGCTCACCTCTCTCCACAGCACGTCTACCACAAACAAGAGGCTGATGGTTCTTCTAATGGTTGAGGCAATTTTGTCTGACGGTGCTTTTTGTCTGATGCTGTTTGGTCTGAGAGATTTTTGTCTGAGGCCGTTTGGTCTGATGTTCAGTTACACCAGATCTGAGACATGACGATGTTTTTTTCCGCGAGACTCAACGTCGTTTATTCTGAGGAATGATGCTGTTCTGTCTGATGCCCCGAGGTCTGACTCTGAGGTCCGACTCGGATGTCCTAAAATGTACACCATAAGCTGAAATCATTTGCAGTACGTACATAAAAACCCTTGAATAACCATCATTTTTAATAGTGTAGACTACATTTAATGCGACATTATTTTGCTGGGCATTGTTAGTTTGTTTATAGCATGTATGTAGCAATATTCATATTTGACTCCTTAACGACCTTGTATTTCGGAGGATACAGTGAATTTCAGGTGGGGGGGTGGTAGGGGGTTGGTAATGTACACAGGATAAAATGTTTGGAACATTTTTGTTTATCTGAGGGTGCAATACTGGAATTTTTCAAAAGCAGCATTACAGAAATCTTAAACCTGGAGTTCCTGATAGGTGCATGACACTGACTACACTCTTAAAAAAGATGATTCTTTGAGGGTTTTTAGTGATGAAAATGGTTCTGTATATAATCATGAACACTCAAATAACCTTTTGTATGATTTAAAGTGTTCTTTACATCATGAAAGGGTTCTTCAGATTGATGGAGAATGTGCATGAATCTGCTAAAGACGGTTCTATATAGCACCCAAAAGGGCTCTGCTTTTGTTAGAGGCCTGCCATCATAACAATATAAGAGCCCTTTTAAGTGCTATGTAGAACCATTTTCAAAAAGGTTCTATATAGAACCATCATTCTCCATCTGAAGAACATTTAATTATGCAAAGGGTTCTTTAAGTGTTCATAGTTCTACATAGAACCATTTTCTTTACTAATAAACCCTCGAAGAAGAGTGTACAGGGTGGCGCACGACTTCAGAGGCCTATGAAGATTGAACTGACAGCATTCAATTACAGTATTATCAGCTGTGTGTGTGACTAAACCAAATATATGGGGTCTATTCTCCATTATAACAAGGACGTAGATGTTTTGATATCAATTTACTGTCTGTATTGATAATCTGACTCTATTTGTACCTTTTTTCTGTTTAAAACCTTTTGTTTCTGTACATTACTGGTTGAAATGTAGCACCTTTTCCCTCTTTTTTTAAGCTAGCAGACTATACAAGTTGAATTACAATATTTGTACTATTACTCATTGTTTCGGGCGTCTTTCTATGGCCAGTAACAGCTTTTTATTCAGCTTTTATTTCCAAACTGTGCCTGATAACATCATAAAGGCCTTTGCTGCTATAAAGACCCAGAAACTTAAATCCAGTGTAAAAACTTCCTCACTGCAAAAGACAAAGCATCAAATACAATAAAATAAATGCTCAGCTGAACTACGTGTGGCTTCATTCCTTATAGAAACATGTTACAGAATATTGCTCCTCATTTTTCCAGTTATTGAGATTAATGAGTGTTCTTTGTAAAGGTACTTTTAAAAGGAACACGCAGAACTGAAGGGACTATAAAAAGTTTATTGTTGCCCTAGAACAGATAAATGGTCCAAATCTACACATACAGTGTTGTACTTGTCCAAATTACAATCACATTGTTATTTTAAGGGACTCAGTGTTAAATTAAGACATAAACAAATCTTCTCTGTGGGGAAAAAATCTCATATCTCCAAAAAAAGTAACTTTACAGCAGAAGGAAAATATTTTCTCAACTTCTAATGTACACTGATCAGACATAACATTATGAGCACCTCCTTGTTTCTACAGCTCATTGTCCATTTTATCAGCTCCACTTACTATATAGGTGCACTTTGTAGTTCTACAGTTACAGACTGTAGTCCATCTGTTTCTCTGCATACTTTGTTAGCCCCCTTTTACCCTGTTCTTCAGTGGTCAGGACCCCCATGGACCCTCACAGAGCAGGTACTATTTGGGTGGTGGATCATTCTCAGCACTGCAGTAACACTGACGTGGTGGTGGTGTGTTAGTGTGTGTTGTGCTGGTGCGAGTGGATCAGACACAGCAGTGCTGCTGGAGTTTTAAACACTGTGTCCACTCACTGTCCACTCTATTAGACACTCCTACCTCGTCAGTCCACCTTGTAGATGTAAAGTCAGAGACGATAGCTCATCTGCTGCTGCACAGTTTGTGTTGGTCATCCTCTAGTCCTTCATCAGTGGTCACAGGGCGCTGCCCACAGGACGCTGCCCACAGGACGCTGTTGGCTGGATATTTTTGGTTCTCAGTCCAGCAGCGACACTGAGGTGTTTTAAAACCCACTGAAGAACGGTCAGACTTGCACACTTTTCACACTATTTTGTTCTTGCTTTCTTTCTTTCTTTTTTTCTTTCTTTCGTTTTTCTATTTAGTTCTTTCTTTTTTTTCTTTTTTGTCCTTTCTTTCTTTCTATTTGTTTTTTTGTCCTTTTTTTGTTTTTTTCTTTCTTTTGTCTCTTTCGTTTCTTTTTTTCTTTCTTCTCTCTCTTTCATTCTATCCTTTTTCATTTTTGCCCATTCTTTCTCTCTCTCTCTCTCTCTCCCTCTCTCTCTCTATCTCTCTCTCTATCTTTCCTTTTTCTTTTTTCCTTCTTTCTTTCTTTTTTTCTTTTTTTTGTTTTGTTCTTTCTTTCTTACTTTCTCACTGAAGAACAGGGTAAAAGGGGGCTAACAAAGTATCAGAGAAACAGATGGACTACAGTCTGTAACTGTAGAACTACAAAGTGCACCTATATAGTAAGTGGAGCTGATAAAATGGACAATGAGCACAGAAACAAGGAGGTGGTCATAATATTATGCCTGATGGGTGTGAGTCAGTGTTACAAGACATTTTGGACGGTTTCTTTTGACATAAAATTTATTTTTATTTTATAATTATTATTTAAATTTCATCATGAAACGTTAACACAGTATAAATGACACGGTTGTTTGTTATGATAAAGTGCTGTGGTGAGTAAATGAAATATATAATGAAATAGCACTAGGAGAGCTAAGACCACAGAACACTAGCAACCAAACAAATGAGCCAAGAGCTGAGACATAGATCACATCCAAGCTCCATCTCCTTGGGCTCAGCTCTGCAAGCTGATTGGCCAAATGACATCCAGGAGGTGGTTGTGATGGACACACCAAGCAGCCTGCGAAGAAAAGATTATTGTGTAAAAGTGATTTTTCTTTCCTGAAAATAATAATAATAATAATAATAAATAATAATTTTGCCACATTTTTACACAAATACATTACTGCATTATTCAGAAATCAGCAATCTGTTCTCTTTATGACGTACAGTACTGTGCAAAAATCAGACATCACATATCAGTTATTTGATTTTCAGCCCATTAAGCCATTAAGTACAGATGATTCATTTTTCAGGAGATATTTCTGAGGTTAGACATAATAGATATGAGATAATCCACCTGCATAAGGAAGGACAGAATCAGAGGAAAGTAAGTTTAAAAAAAAAACAGCTTCCAAAACTGGAGATCAAAAAACAATCAAAAGCTGCAGAGAAAATGGGGCTCCTAACAACCACCTGGAAGACCTGGTAGACACCAAAACTGCCCCCATCAGATAAACAGCACTTAAAGCTTTCATCTTTGAGAGAGAGGAGAAAATCAATTAGACGTGGACGTGCTGCTGCAACATGGCATGTTTTGATTCTTTCAGCTCCATCCTGATCTCATACGCTCAACAAAAAGAACCAACAGGGCTGTTTGACTTACAAACTCACAAGAAGTTGACAGTAAATAAATGAATTGTTTTGTCGTAACTTTTTTTTAGCACGACTGTTGTAACTGGTTTACATAAAACGGGCGAAAATTAAAGAAAGTACATTGCAATGAATCAGAACTGTTTACATTAATGCAAAAAGAACTGAATTCTATCCATCCATCCGTCTTCTAAGCCACTTACCCTTCTGGGTCATGGGGGGAGCTGGAGCCGACCCCAGCGTTCATCAGGCGGAAGGCAGGAAACACCTTGGACAGGTTGCCAGTCCGTTACAGGAATTTAATTCCATTGAAACCCGACCATTGAAGAACAGGGTAACCAAGTATCAGAGAAACAGATGGACTACAGTCTGTAACTGTAGAACTACCAAGTGCACCTATATGGTCACTCACAATTGTCAGAAATCTGTCTAATGTATCTTTTATCTTTTTGAAATATGTTTTTTAATGTATTTAATTTTATGTATTATTGCATTATAGGTTATTCATATGGACGTACAATTCACATTCTTAACAGTGTTATATTATTTAGGGCAGGGGTGCTCAGTTCTGGTCCTGAAGATCTACCACCCTGCAGAGTTTAGCTCCAACCCTAGTCTAACACACCTGATCCAGGTAACGAAGGCCTTCAGGGAGGATCTGAAAACTAGAACCAGGGGTGCGGGATCTGAACTCAGGGTGGCAGATCCCCAGGACCAGGATTGGGCACCCCTGATTTTGGGGTATTTCTGTACTAGAATGCTTCTGCAACACCTGTACCGAAATGTCACAGCATAATTATGCCTGATTCATTCTGTCTATTGCCTCATATTTTCAATGGAGCACTTTATTTGATTTATGATTTTTAAATAGACAATATTTTTTTATTAATGGATTTAAAAATGTAAATTGCCAGTTTGGTTAAAGAGTAAATCATGTTATTTTACACTGTGACTTTGGGTAAAGCAAATACTGGAATATGCTAGTGTGTTCAGTTTAAAAAGGCTAATAAATATCGGCCAAGAAATCAAATATCATCTGATTTGGCTGTAAAGAAACAGGAATCGGGTCCAGCCATAAAAGCTCATGATCAGTGCACCCCTAATTATACACCTGACCTGACCGGGGAATCAACGAGTCTTTGAATCGGACGCTGGGCTTATTTAAACCGCCTGTTCGAAAGAATCGGTTCAGTTCTATCTTTAATTTCGCATTAATGTCTTATTCAGCCAGAAGCGATTTAATTAAATAAATGAATCGAATAATATGAATACAGTTAAAGTGGGAATCACTGCCATTTTTCTGAAGAAGAAAATCAGAAAAAGGAAAGATATACTATGTTTTCTAGTTTTCGTTGTCGAAGTCATCCGGCTCTTTGATCCCGTAGGTTCTCGCGAGAACAACGCAACTTCGCGTTGCCGTGGTAGCGCGGTTAAAGTTAGGGTCAGTAAAGCGGGCGGTTTAGTCTCTAATCTCTGTGTTTAATCGTCAGAGTCTCTTCTCCATGGAGGCGACTGTCTCCATAACTAAAAGCGAGTGTGCCGAGCTGTGTGCGGGCATTGAGGGCGAGCCGTACAGCGTCTCAGTGCTGAAAGAAGGCTACTGCGCTGCCCAGCCTGACGGGACCTTCCGGGCGGACGGTACCATCTCCTTAGTGAGGGGACCGAAGACTGTGTTAGTGGACACGGGCGGACCGTGGGACCGAGAGCTGCTGCTCTCAGAGCTGAAGGAGAGAGGCCTCAGCCCGGCCGATGTGACTGTGGTGGTGGGCACTCACGGACACTCCGACCACATCGGCAATCTGAATCTGTTCCCACGAGCTACTCTGATCGTGGGCTGTGATATCAGCGAGGGGGACCGGTACCTTCCCAATCAGCTCGCTGAGGGACAGCCGTACCGCTTAGACGATCATGTAAGGCACTATCTTTACAGCTACTAGCTAACCCACGAGGCTTCTCATTCATCAGTTTCTTGTTCGAGTTTTCCCGTTCCACCTTAAATGGGGCAGCTGTTACATTCTGGCCCATTCCACCTTAAATGGTGCAGCTGTTACATCCTAGCCCGTTCCACCTTAAATGGTGCAGCAGTTACATTCTGCCGCCTCATTTCCCCGTTCCACCTTAAATAGCTCCTGTTCCACTTTAATTGGCACACCTGAGGCGCCAGAATGTAACTGCTGCACTATTATAGGTGGAACGGGCCAGGATATAGCAGCTGCACCAATTAAGGTGGAACGAGAAAATGAAGCGCCAGAATATAACTGCTGCACCATTTAAGGTGGAACAGGAAAATGAAGCACCAGAATATAACTGCTGCACCATTTAAGGTGGACTGGCATTTACTATCCAAAACCACCATTGAACCTACACATATCTTTTGAGTTTTTATTTAATGTTGATGGTAAAATAGTAATAAAACGTTTTCTTTGGGGTCTATTTTGGCTTAGAACAGTTGTTCTCAACCCTACTGGAGGGGGGCCCACTGCTCTGCACTTTTAGGGGTCTTCCCTGCTCCCAGCACACCTGACCCAACTGATCAGCTCATTAACAGCCCATTATTGAGATAAAGTGGCTGTGTTAAAAATGTGCAGGACTGTGGGCCACCAGGACCAGGCTGGACAAACACTGCCTTAGAACACCCTTCATGTATCCCTCCACCATGAATGGATTAAAAGAAATCGATTGAAATACATTTTAAACCAGAAAATTATCATAAAAACTGCATCTTAGACATCAGGCAGGGTGGTTTCTGTGAGGGTGCTTTTAGAGGTGGACGTCTGGGTTCCTATCACCACCACTGTGAGCAGTTCTGACTTTGAGCTTCTCTAGAACAGAGCATTTCACACCAAACCACTCTGATTGACTTTCTTGACCTGTTAACCATTTAATTATGAATAAATTCTGAAAAATTAGTGGAGTTCCCCTTTAATGCTAACTTAAATATCATCCATTACTGTGATGTCAAAATGTATTGCAGAATATCATGATGCTGAATGTTAACTGCAAAGCCATTTCCAACGTAAAGATTTTATTTTGATGTTACTGACGTACAAATCTTGTTAATCCACCAGGTGTCGGTCATCCCCACACCTGGTCACACGGGCAGAGACGTCAGCGTCCTGGTTAAAGGAACCTCAGTGGGGACGGTTCTGATTGCTGGGGACTTGTTTGAGTGCTGCTCTGATGAAGACTCCTGGAGGGAGCTGAGCGAGAACCCAGAGGTGCAGGAGGTCGGCCGACAGAAGGCTCTGAGGGAGGCCGACGTCATCATTCCTGGACATGGACGTCTGTTCAGAGTGCACAGGACATCACTGAACTGACCAGAGAGGACTTACCTGAGTCATGAGTGTGGCTGAGAACCGAAATTCACCCACTGAATTATTACATCAGTACTGGATGGCCAGTACCACAACACCCCCCCCTCCCCCCCCAACACAGTCATTAAAGGGCCCATAACAGGGAAAACAACAACACAAAAAATGAGTGTTTCTGCTCTGACTGCTTTTTGAATATAGCCCAGCCAATCAGAACAGAGCTCATTTACATACATCAGTCTTAAAGGTACAGTAACAAAAACAGCCTGTTTAATTCTAAACAATAAAAGTGGTTGGAAAATCTGGCTTTATATATGCGTACTATGCCAAACCTTTTGAATATTTTTTTCTATTTAAAATAAACAAAATGAGCACAAAAAGAGTGTCATAATTTTATTTTTGTAAAACTGGATGTTTTATATAGTTTTATAATAATAATCTTCAATAATAATATAGTTCTGGAATTGATTTCAAAGTCAAGATATCTGTATTAGGTTCCGTATTAAAATTTACAATGTGATAATCGTGATTAAGGCTCTCTTCAAAGAGGTGTTAAAAAGACACAAGTCAGATCTTTTAGCCTAAAGTGTCCAGCAAGTTTCATGTATTGTACAGTACTGTGCAAAAGTCAGAGAGTGCCCTTCATTTATCTCATTTCCAGTCAACAGAGTCAAAAACAGGAGTTTCCAAAGCGAGTGTGAACAACAAATGATTAAAAGCTCCAGAGATGATGGGCCTCCTAACAACCACCTGGAAGACCTGGTAGACACCAAAACTGCCCCATCAGATAAACAGCACTTAAAGCTTTCATCTTTGAGAGAGAGGAGAAAATCAAGCTGCTTCAGATCTGAAAACATCCACAGGTGTTTCTGTCCATCCTTCCACTGTGAGAAGACGACTCAGCGCTGTGGGTCTGAAAGGATGTGTAGCTGTTCAAGAAGAACCTCACTGAGAAAAGGAGACGGACACATCAAACAAAGCTGAACGATGGACTGACCACCCCCGAGTCCAGACCTCAACACCACTGAATGGGTTTGATTGCTTCAGAAAATCACCAACCAGCTTCTAAGACTGAACTTTGGAGGTGTGTCTGCAGATTCTTTGAGGAACTGAAGGTGAGTCTCCTGAAAAGAATGGAGACTGATACACTGAAGTGGACACACAAAGTACTGTAAAGTACTGAAAAATGTGATGTATTTATTGGTTGAGAGAAATAATGATTTTGATTGATATGATCCACTAATTGCTAAATGATTTGTCCTTTTTTGCAGTTCTTTTGTGAATTACATCATTCACCATGCAGCTCTTATGGTATAACACTGGCCTCATTAATGTTTTAACATTAGGTATGTTTGTTTATTGCCGTCTCATTCACATTCATTAGTTTTCAGTTGGCAGACTTTTTCATCACCTTTCTCATGAAATATTCACGTCCACCCTCATACAGGACCACCTTGTGACTGATGTTATCAAATCAGCACTGTTCACCTTTGCATGGTGAAACGGTTGTTCAGATTGATGGAAGATGTGTTGTATGTGGTTCTATATAGAACCTTTTTGAAAAGCGTTCTGTATAGCACCAAAGAAGGGTTCTGCTACTGTTACAATGTCAAGCTCGTAACAACAGAAGAACCCTTTTTGGTGCTATACAAAGGCTCTATATAAAACCATATACAACACATCCTCCATCAACCTGAAAAACCATTTCACCAAGAGAAGAACCATTTAAGCATGCATATGGTTCTATATAGAACTCATAGAGCCCTTGAAGAGCCATCTTTTTAAAGAGAATGGATGAGTGTTCTAGCTTTAGCTTTTAGCTTCTCGTCCTTCTCGTATGATCAGTCATTTCTGATATTCAGAATTCAGATACGGTATTTAAACGGTCTGTACCGTAGTGTCTGAGCAGACATCTTTGTCTTATTTTGCATTTACAAGCTAAAAATTACTCCTCAGAATCACCCAGAGCAGCTGTAGTTTTCCAAACGTTCCTCCCACCTTTAGGATACATCATCAGAAGGGGATTTTCCTGAATCTTAAAACTGGAAAATCTCTGGAGAAAACTGCAGCACCAGTGGAAAATGTGAGTAAATGCGTTTACAACAGTTATATTTTTCATTTTGGTGGAGTGTCCCTTTAAATACATTACAAGCATGATAAAAAGCTCTGTGAGTTTCTCATCTGTTTAATGAAAGGTGGTGCATCGTCATGGTTGAACATAATCAAAGCAGACTAGTTTTATACTAAGGTGCTGATCAGGACATTATTGGAGTGTAACAGCTACACACTGCTGTATGCAAAAGTCTGAACACCCCTCTGTCAAATGACGTTTTGTTGATTTTCTAAGTGAAAAATAAATTCACTCATCTACAGAGAGCACAGTAAAACATGGCATTTTTCTGCTAATTCTAGCACACAATTTTATTTATGTGCTGAGTTTAACACATTGAAGAACATAAAATATAAAATGTGCCATAACTTTTGTACAGGCCACATTTCGTGTTTTATTTTTCTCCAATATGTTAAATTCAGAAAATAAAAGTAAATTGTGCATTAAAATGTGCAGATGTGTTCTCTTTTCACTTCTTTCACATAGAAAATCAAGAAAACGTAAACCGGGTGCTCACACCACTATACACAGTGGCTTTTAGCTGTTTATATAAAACTAACTATTATGTATTTTGAAACATTGTTGAAATATTTTTATATTCTTTATATTTTAAATTTTCAACTTTTCAAGCAGCACCTGGTAAAATCATAAAGGCCGTTGCTGCTATAAAGACCCCAAAACTTAAAATCAGTGAAAAAGCTTTCTCACTCTAAAACATAAACATCAAATACAGTACAGGGTGATTCAAAAAGGTTAATCTGATTTCAAAGCACCATATTTTTCCTGTCTAGGAACCAATCACATACCAACTGAAAGAGGGGGTCATAGAGTTTCTGACCGTCAGTGGAAGATGGCTCCCTTCAGTCTGAGAGGAGATGAGACCCCTGAGCAGAAAGCGTTCTGCATTCTCCACTTCAATAAGAGTGAATCAGTCATAACTGTGCAGCGTGATTTTCATCAGCAGTGAACCTCCAACAGCTCAGAGCGTTCGTCGTTGGTTCCACAACACTGGATGACCTCCGAAATCGCACTGAAAGAGCCGTGAGTGCAGCGACACCCGACATGCTCAATCCAGTATGGGATGAATCTGACTATGGTGTTGATGTTGTCTGTACAGCTGGAGGAGGTTCATACTGAGCACTTATAAAATTACATAATAAACTTTATTCTCACTTAAACCATTTACAGTTTACTGCATTGTTCTGTAATGATTTACAATAAATAATTTTGAAATCGGATGAATCTTTTTGAATCACCCTGTAGTATAAATGCAATAAATATTCAGCTGAACTAAGTGTGGCTTTCTGCTTCATTTCTTATTAAAAGACTGTTTTATTCTCAGTATTTCTACAATTTAAATGCCATTTAAAAAGTAATACTCATTATTGTAGGTACAAAATATGTTTATTGTTACTGTAGAACAGGTCGTTGGTCCAAATTTATATGTACAGCACTGACCTTACATCAGGTTACACTTTCTATAAATTGAGGTTGCTGTTTATTATTTTAATGGGCCCCCAAAAATGTAAAGTAATACAACAACATTTGAAGTCAAAGCTAACCTATTCAAAACAATATCATTTGATGTGGAAGAGAAACAAACTGTTCATTATCATAATATAATATAAAAATGATCAAAAATTGAAGCGTTTTAAACAAATTTCCATTGATTAATGTCGGAGTGTTTTTCCTGGAAAACAATTTTCATAGCTTAATCTTAATTCAAAATATGCAAATTCTCATATTTATATTTTGCAATCACAGAATGTCAGTGTACAGGATATTAGCATGTAATATTAGCCTTCAGCTACAATGTTTAGAAAAACAAAGCCTTTTCAGTCTATGTTGTTATCAGCGTTAGTTGCCATGGACAGTTCTGTTTAGTTGTTTGTTCTATAGGGAGGTCAACATTTCATCTTGGAATTATGTTCAGTCAGTTATCAGAGCTTAATAGAGGCCTCTAAGCGTCACCGCTGTCTGGACAAGGCGTCACAAAGTCCTCCACTTCAATGATCTCCACCACCAGGTCTCTGATGGCCTTCACACTGTCCAGCAGCTCTTCTCCTTCCGCATCTGAGCAGTCCGCATCACCTTCACTCTCTATGGGCGCTGACTTTGGAGAGTCGTCGCCCCCTGCTGGAGGATCAGGGCTGATGGAAAGTTCTTGAGCGTTCTCTGTGGTGGAACTTGTGGCCACAGTGTCCTCACTTCTGTCGCTCTGGATCGATGCCTCATTGACTACAGCTGGGCCAGGTGAACCACAGGAAGTGGTCTCCATTTGAATTTCTGGATGGTCTTTGTCTTGAGCTTGTGAATCGGATGGATCTTCAACGTTGGAAGCATCAGGCTGGACTGTACCAGTGCAGGGCTCAGTGGGAGGTGAGATGATAGCTGTGGGTTCAGCTTCAGAGACTTCAGAACAAGCAACTGGAGCCGGAGCATCAGTTGTATCTTCTGTCTCTTCTTTCTTCTGGGCCTCCACATTGCTGTTCTCCTCAGAATCAGCTTCTTCTGCAAGAGGAACTGCACTTCCTGCCTTCAGTCCAGCTGGTGGGATCAGATAGACGGCTTTGTCTGTAGCGTTCTGTTGTTCGATGGGCGATTCGGGGTGCGTCGATACTATAATTGTAGGACAATCATTCAGATTCTCTGGAGCCAAAGTGACCATCACTTCAGATTCTCCTACTTCTGGTGAGGAACCTTCTGGAGTGGATGAAGCCACATCAGGTTTATCAACAGAAACATCACACACTGGTGCCTGGGATTCAGTTATAGAGGCCTCGGGTTTGGATGCAGCTTCAGAAACGGTTGCAGTGATCTCGGATGAAGCTGTGGAAGGTTCAGATGCTTCAGGCTTTGGTGGTTTTTCTTCATTCGGCTGATCAGATTCAGTGGTAATCTCTCTTTTATCCTCCACTGGAACATCCTGGCTCTCCTGTTTTGATTGGCTCTCCAAACAGCCATTGCCCACCAATGGGGAGGTGCTGTTCTCCTCAGCCTTTCGAGTGACCGGAACCTTGGCTGGGCTAGATGGCGCAGAGAGAGGAGGCGTCCGGCTGTCGTTCAGGCTGCTCTGGCTGATGCACTGGAGCTCAGTGCTGTCCACAAACAGGTTGTGCTTCTTCAGACTGGCGGCCTCCTTCACCACTGCAGGAGTAAGAGGAGATGAGGTGAGAACAGCAAGGAAGTTTATGCAGAATTTGTGCATTTCTTGTCAATTTAAATGTTTAGTTGATCTTCTAAGTGTAAATAAGTATGTATCCTCTACAGGGAGCAAAGGTCTGCTCATTGTAAGGCACAATTAAAGTTTATTTACTGAATTAAATGTAAAAATAAACCTTAAAATAAATGCACATTTGTGCAAAAGTTAAGGCATATTTGATATTATGTTTCATTTTTTCCAATATGGTAAATTCAGCATATAAAAATAAATCGTGCACTAAAATTTGCAGAAAAATGCCATATTTAAGTGGCATTTTAGAGCATGTGTTTTATTTTCACTTAAAAAAAAATCAACAAAACTCATTACTTTGTCTGGCACAAAATGAAGGTAGTAGCCACCAATAAATGTAATTTGCATAATGCATTTAGGGATATATCTAGTCATTGAGTGTGTTTACATGCACTCAATAATCTGATCATAATCAGATTTCTGCAGTTATCTGATTATTCAAATAGTCATGTAAACAGCATGTCCTGATTTCTTACATCAGAGTAAGCCCTAAGATCCGATTAAGAAATCCAATAAAGAGAGCTGGGTTTTAGCTCAGTAATCAGATTTCTCAGTGCGTGTGAACTCTTACTCTGATTTCTTTCGGATTTCTCAGTCTGCACATGTGCAGAACAGACAGCGATACCGGAAATAAGCAAATAGTGTTGCTGCGCGATGCAGCAAAACACTTTTCGATTGATGCTGAAACCAAATACAGGCTTGACAAAATGAAGGATTTAAATATTCTTCATCTTCTAGATGATGTTTGTTCATATTTTCAGGTAAAGTGACGATGTCTTTTGAAAAAAGCCGCGTCATGCAGTTTGAGTTTTACATTTTTTTGTGAGTTTATTGGCTGGTTGTGAAGCAGAAATCTGATTACTGTCTGACTCATGTAAACCTGGAGTTTCCCCATTATCTGATTACACAATGTAAATGCGTTGATCGGATTACTGACAAATCTGATTTTCTACAGTTAGCGGATTATCAAGTGCATGTAAACACACTTGTTGTATTTATTTCAAGCTATTTTTACTTAACTATTCCTGTAAGTTCAGAAAAAAACACCTTTTGTCAGTCATTTTATACTGGAAGTGCAAACAAAAAGTGTCATAACTTTAAAAAATGTTCACCTATCTTGTCTGTTTCCTCCTATTAATACAGAACCACTCAAAACTCTCTTCTGGATATTAATAGAATGATAACGCAGTGCTTCCTCAGAGGGTTTCAACCCCAAAGGAAGAACAAAGCCACTGTACCTTTGTTGACTTCGTTATTGAGGATGTTGAGCAGGATGTCATCGTAGACGTTCTCCACTTGAATGAAGTTTGTGTAATCAGCAAAGATGTACTGCTCGTAGTTCTGCAGCTCCTTCAACAGAACATAACAGTGGGAAAGTTTGAAGAACGTTTTTATTCCAAAATCACAAAACAGTTGTTGTTATTTTAAATGTAACATAACTGACACAGTGTGAATTTAAATATGACAAACTTACAAAATTACAGACCTCAAAGTACTTTTTTTGAATGTTTTATTCACAAGAACGTCATTCTTGATGTTCTAGAACGTTCTCTGTCATTTTAGAAACTTCTACGGCTCTGTTCATCCATTCTTAAAATGATGGTTCTTCAAAGGCTCTTTAGTAAAGAAAACGGTTCTATATAGAACCATGATCACTCAAAGAACCCTTTGCCTGATTAAAGGGTTCTTTCCATCATGAAAGGGTTCTCCAGATTGATGGAGAATGTGTAGTATATGGTTCTATATAGAACCTTTTTGAAAAAGGGTTCTGCTACTGTTATGATACAAGCTTGTTACAATGGAAGAACCGTTTTGGATGCTAAATAGAACCCTTTTCAAAAATATATAAATACTACACATTCTCCATCAATCTGAAGAACACTTTCAGGGTTCTTTCAGTTTTTACAGTTCTATATGGAACCATCTTTACTAAAGAACCCTAAGAGTGTAGAGTCCTACTGATTATACTGAAGTTGTTCAGGACAAGCAGATTAGAATCATTTTATTTGAAAACAAATTGGTTTAATATTATTGAAAACATTCATTCCAAACTTGTGATCAACGATGTGTTTCTCACAAACATACAGGACACACTTTATTAATCCCCAAAGGGAAACTAGATGGACAATCTCCATTATGACCTTCATCTGAAATTGATCTTGGAAAAAAAAAAACACAGAGTAGAGTTTATTTACAGTTTTGCAGGTGGGTGCGAGGTTCCTCCTGATGGCCGGCAGAGTGATGTCCACCAGAGCGTCCTGAAAAATCTTCTTCCTCACGGTACTGCTGTCATAGTCATATTGCTGGAAGTGACACAAACTGATTAATTAGCATAATTAAAACTATTAGCATTTATATTATTCTCAGATACACATTCCATAATAATAATAATAATAATAATAATAATAATAACAACTAGAAACATGCATTTCCTGAAGGAAACACAGACTGGTTGCGCAGCTTAAGTGGTTCTCACTTTTGGCTAGGTTGTTGCTAGGCAGTTACTATGGTATCTAAGGTGTTGCTAGGCAGTTGCTATCATATCCCATGTAGTTGCTAAATTGCTGCTAGGCAGTTGCCATGGTGTATACCCCATAGTTAGTTTAGTTGTATAGTTGTTCATAGGGAGTTACAAAGTGGTAGCTATGTGTTGTTGAAAATGAGTGGGAGTCTAAGGGATAAATGAGGGATGAAAAATGACACATAGAGGAGTGCAGGTCAGTATGGCTGTAGATTAAAGCTGGAGGAACCTGCCCTGAGTGAATACATGCATTTTGGTGGCTGTCAGTCAAAAGAAAGTATGTGTCCTGTTTGGAGGTAATAATGAATGGGAGTCTATGAGAGAAACGAGGGATGAAAACCACAACACTTAGAGGAGTGCGGGTCAGTATGACTGGGGATTAGAGCTTGGGGACCTGCCCTGAGTGAGTACATGCATTTTGGTGTCTGTTGGGCAAAGGGAAAAAACAGGGCTGGGGTTTGGGAAAATGAATGGGAGTCTATGTGAGGAATGAGGGATGAAAAAATGGCACATAGAGGAGTGCAGGTCAGTATGGCTGTGCAGTAGAGTTTGAGGTCCTACCCTTAGCAATGCGCAACCATAATGATTAGTAGAATGATTAGTGGTAGTACTTTATACTGCTTTACAGTATAAAAATGCAACATAGACACAAACACTGAATTATTAATTGCAGAATAACAGTAGAACATACAGAAATACAGGAACAAGAAGAACCGTGTAGATTAGGTATTTGTTATGTGTATTAGAACTGGATACATTAAAAGGTTTTAGTTTTGTTAAGAATGCTAGACTGAAGTGTTCTGTAGTTACACACTTAAGAAAAATGGTTCTTCAAGGGTTCTTTAGCAAAGGCGATGGGTGTATTTACAACCATGAGTTCTATATAGACCATTTAGTGCTTAAATTGTTCTTTGGATAGTAAAATGGTTCTTCAGATTGATGGCTAATGTGTTGTGTATGATTCTATATAGAACCTTTTTGAAAAAGGTTCTATATAGCACCAAAAGGGTAGTGTTCCTATTGTTATGATACAAACTTGTTACAGTGGGAGAACCCTGTTCAAAAAGGTTCTATACAGAACCATATACAACACATTCTCCGTCAATCTGAATATGGTTTTTACCTTTCTGCAAAGGGTTCTTTGAGTGTTCATGGTTCTGTATAGAACTATTTTCTTCACTTTTTTTTTTACTGGATTTTCACTATTATTGTCTTATTTTCATTATTTTAGTTATTTTTTCCCATTTATTAATTTGTTTATTTATTGTTATTTATATTATTATTCTTGTTTTAATTATGATTATTTTATTATTATTATTTCAGTCATTTTAATTTTTACTTTCTGCTTTGATCTTATCCGAGTTTTGTTTATCTTCTCTTGATTTTATTAACTTCAACATTTTAGTTACGCTTTAATTATTGTTTTATATTTTTCACCATTTTTATGTATTTTTATTATTAATGTTTCTTTTTTTATTACATATATATATATATATATATATATAATATTTATTATTTATTATTTTTTATTAAATTTACTCATTATTTGATATGTTCTTACACATTATCAATCCCTTTTTCCTGCATGAACTCGGAAACATTGGAAATGCGGGTCACCCTCAATGTTCTCCGAAAGGGGTCTTCTGTTGTTACACGCTTGACAGCGTAATAATAGAAGCCTTTTTGGTGCCATATAGTACCCTTGCCTTTACTAAATAACCCCTGAAGAACCTTCTTTTTTGAGAGTGTAGCTGAGTAGGATGGTCACCTTCAGCACTCGCAGCTTGGCTTTGTCCATGACTGTGGCCAGTTTGTCAGGTTTGTCCTTTACGGCTGCCTGAAGCAGCGTCTGGAATGTGTACACGGCATTCTCCATCAGCTACAACACACAAAACAACCATACCACAAACAGGGTTACAAAGAGCAGCACAAGCTTCCTCAACTACACCATGCTGAACTGCAGGGGGCGCCACTGCTCCATGTAAGGTTAGGTATCACTCCCTCTCATACACATCCAGCTTTTTTTGGTGACTACATTACTCACTGTTTACAGAATAGCAGAGTTCATGTTTGCACATCTAAAACTGAATTAGAGAGACAGAAATAGACAATAACAGTAATGTTAGAGTGCAGCGTCAACAGGAAGAGACCATTTCCTTCCTTACACAGGCTACTGACATGCTTAAAAAGCAAGTCTGACAGAAAATAAAATCTACACAATGTTCTCCTTTTCTCAACTAACAGATACTTTCACCCTAAATGCACTTGCCTATGTGGTTTTTGACACATGAGCAAGTGTACGATACTATCTGTATCTATAAAAATAGCTTATCTACAATAAATATATAATATGCGTAACAATCAGTTACATTAGCAGCTGCTAGTTTGAAGCCTAAACTTCTCTGTTCATACTTTTGTCCATGTTTATAGACAGTGTGTTGAACAGAAACCACATAAGCAAGTATATTAGAGATTACTTAACAACCTGATGCAGTTAGCACCATGCTAATTGGTGGAGTATAAGCACAGCCGGTTTATGAGGAGGCTGGCCACTTCCTATTTCCCTCGTTATATCAAAAACAGGACTGCAAAATGCCAGAGGGTGCCCACGAGCGAGTCCTCAATGAATGGGAGTTGATGGAGCTCAATGGATAAATTTTCTTTACTTTCTTTTTACTGGATTTTCACTATTATTGTCTTATTTTCATTATTATTTTTTCCCATTTATTTATTTGTTTATTTATTATTATTCATATTATTATTCTTGTTTTAATTATGATTATTTTATTATTATTTATTATTACCATGCTAATTGGTGGAGTATAAGCAGAGCCGGCCACTTCCTATTTCCCTCGTTATATCAAAAACAGGACTGCAAAATGCCAGAGGGCGCCCACGAGCAAGTCCTCAATGAATGGGAGTAAATGGAGCTCAATGGATAAAAACAAAAAGTTAAAATAGTTTCTTTTTTTTCTACAGCAAATGGGTTTAGGGCAGTAGATTGCTGGCATTACTGCTACTGAGTGCTGATTGGTTGGCGAGCAGAGCAGCTCATTGGCTGTTCGCGCTCACAGACATAATGGACATACAGGAGGCGCCGTTTTAAACTCCTATAACTCGAGTTTAAAAGCTCTTAAAAATAAACCAGCAGTGATAAACTCTTTTATGCTGCTCTGTGTTCAGGAAATGGTTGTATTCTTTTACATTAAAAATGTTTAAGCATTTATAAACTACGATTTTGCTCAAATGCTCCATCTTAACCCAATCATTTTGGACTTGCTCAGGGGCACCCTCTAGTGTTTGAGAAACCCATAAGACATTACAGAGTGGTAATTCTCCTCTCTACAAGTTCTGTGATATAAGCTTCCATTACTTAGCTGCATTAGCGTCGTAGCTTCAGTGTAAAACTAAAGAAGCAAATTTAAGACACCAAACATGTATTTGGAAAACGCCAGACATTATCAGCACTGTAGTGAGAGCATGGGACGGTCCTCAGCATGGAGCTGCGTCCTGAGGCCTACCTGCTGCATGTGGCCCTGGGTGGTGTGGACCAGCAGGGTGGAATTGGAGAATTTGAAGCGGTTCCTGAGCTCATGCAGCTGCTCCTTCAGGACAGTCACATGTTGGTAGCAGTCCTCCAGCTGGGCATGGCCAATCTCCTCCAGAGCCTAACAGTCACAGTGTCATAAATCATTCTTTTGAACTGGTTTTCTTTAATAACACAGCCAAACAAATTCACAATTGCAAATGTGTCAAAGTTTTGGATCTATGCAATGTTTGCGCCTGTCTGTCTCATAGTAATAACTGCGGAGCGATTTTAATCCAGTATGAATCTGCAGTGTGTGTAGTTTTACAGTCTGACAGTAATAATTGTGGAGCGATTTTAATCCAGTATGAATCTGCAGTGTGTGTAGTTTTACAGTCTGACAGTAATAATTGTGGAGCGATTTTAATCCAGTATGAATCTGCAGTGTGTGTAGTTTTTACATCCTGACAGTAATAATTGTGGAGCGATTTTAATCCAGTATGAATCTGCAGTGTGTGTAGTTTTACAGTCTGACAGTAATAACTGTGGAGCGATTTTAATCCAGTATGAATCTGGAGCTTTAAATCAGGACTATCTATGGGAATTTATGGAAACTCCACACCGATAATGCGGCACCACCACTGAACTTAAGGTTTGGGCCAATTAGAAGAATAGAGAGGAGCACATAAAGGACTCCCAGAATGCCCTGCGCCTCTCCCCTGCCTTTGTTTTATTTAAATTCATTAAATTTTGATGACTTGTGTCTTTTTCAGCTAATCAGTGAGCTGGACTTGTTTCATTGTCGTATTACGTTCGTCTCAGAGTCGTCTTCTGAGCCGACAATATTTTATTTCGAATCAGCCTTGGCTCTCCTTTTAAATTTTAAAATATTGTTGCCTGGCCCTTACTTTAGTAAGTTCTTCTAGATCTCCTCCTGGAGCGAAGTCCTTGCAGACTCGGCTCAGTTCAGTCTCCAAACGCTGCCTCACAGCTTGGAAGCCTGAGCTGACCGGCCCCATCAGCTCCTCCAGGATGGACGCCAGATATGGAGCGACGCTCTCAGAGCAGAACTTCACTGCTGGCTCCGAGACCAACCCTAACAAACACACACAGGACAGTATGAACACTACAACACTGAGAAATGATCTTACTTTCCTCTCTGACAATACAAACCTTTACTGACTGTAATGTGTGAAGTTCACTCCTTTAGTTTTGCACTGAAGCTACAAGGCCAGTGTAGCTAACAAGTAACAGAGGCGTATAGGTTAGCATCATGCTAACTGCATGCCTACAACATCACACATTCACCTCAAACGGTGTGACGTTGTTCATTCATCTCTAATAGACTATAATATGTGGTTTCTGACACTCTGTTATCTTTGTGTACATGCTGTGATCTGGCTAGAAATGGTTAGCATTATACAGTTTGCTTACCAAGCTAAATAGCTCATTGAGGCTAGCCTAGCCGAGACACGTGCACTCCTCTTAAATCAGAGATTTTCCTTATACATCCTATTAAAGTATGAAGTATTTTAGGAAGAGCTGAAGACTCTCAGGGCTCGGGGAACATAGGATCTTTAAAATATATATTGCCCTGGGAACATAGGGTCCTTCAAACATAGGACCCTGGAAACAAAGGGTCCTGGTAACATGGTCCTAGGAATATAGGTCCCTTGAAATATAGAGCCCTGGGAACAAAGGATCCTTGAAACATAGGTCCCTGGAAACAAAGGGTCCTTGGAACATAGTCCCTTGAAATATAAAGGCCTGGGAACACAGGCCCTGGAAACAAAGGGTCCTGGGAATAGGGTCCTAGGAATATTAGTCCCTTGAAATATAAAGCCCTTGGAACATAGAGCCCTGGAAACAAAGAGTCCTGGGAATGGTGTCTTAGGAATAGAGGTCCCTTGAAATATCAAGCCCTGGGAACACAATCCCTTGAAATATAAAGCCCTGGGAACAAGGGCACTGGAAATAAATCCTGGGAATAGGGTCCTAGGAATACAGGGTCCTGGGAATATAGGGTCCTTTGAAATATAGTGTCCTGGGAACATAGGGTCCTTAAAACATTAAAGACATTAGAAACATAGGAGTAGCCCTGGGAATAGAGGTACGCTCCCACTGCCACTATTGTTTGTCCATTTTTAAGGATAACAGTGTTATGTAACAGTGTGGGACTCCTGCAGACCTTGCAGTTTGGTTTCGAGGAAGGTGCGGGAGTTGACGATCTGATCCATGTCAGAGCGTATGAGCGCCTCCTGCTGTTTGGCCGCCTCCCTACACTCGTCCTTCAGGCTCTGCAGTCCCTCCCTCAGCTGCTCCTGCACCAGCTCATACGTCGCCTCCACAGTCTGAAAACAAACGACAAACAAACAAATCAATAAAACAAGAGTCGCCCATCCAACATGCACACATTCAAAATATGGCGTCTCCCCCACAAGCCCACCACCTTCCGTACACAGAGCTGCTTTTGTCCGGTCTTTCCAAATTAGAAAAAGGGGTCTCTTTATAGAGCCGGAGCCCGCCAACCGCTACAGGCAGAGAGAGTCATGTACAGCATGAAACTGTGAATATATTGGGCATGGATTCACAGGCTGTTCAGAGGCCAGAAAAACTGGCCACACAACACGAGCCCTGTTTTAAAAAACAAAAATGCCACATTGCCTGACTGAGACGCTGTTTATAAAAATGAACACTGTTAACAATGTCGCCTTAACAAGTTTAACCCTTCAAAGCTGAAGCGAAAAGTGCCCGTTTCTACTGTTTAGTCGACTCCTGTCCATCAATCATGTGATTTCTCAATTGTGTTGTGTTTGTTTGATATGTTGACACTTTATTTTGAGTGTTTCCATTTTAGATGAAACAAACACTCAACAGACTCTCAGTAGTTAGGATTAGGATTAGGGCCAGGATTAGGTTTTGGGTTGAGGTTAAGGGGAGGTTTAGGATTAGGGCCAGGATGAGGATTAGGATTAGGTTTTGGATTGAAGTTAGTGTGAGGATTAGGGCCAAAGTGAGGGTTAGGACTAGGTTTTGTGTTGAGGTTGAGGTTAGGGTTAGGATTAGGGTCAGGGTGAGGGTTAGGATTAGGTTTTGAGTTGAGGTTAAGGGTAGGATTGGGATTAGGGCCAGGGAGAGGGTTAGGATTAGGTTTTGGTTAGGGTTAGGATTAGGGCCAGGGTTAGGATTAGGTTTTGGTTAGGGTTACGATTAGGGCCAGGGTTAGGATTAGGTTTTCAGTAGTTAGGATTAGGATTAGGGCCAGGATGCGGATTAGGATTAGGTTTTGGTTTGAGGTTAAGGTGAGGTTTAGGATTATGGCCAGGATGAGGGTTAGAATTAGGGCCAGAGTGAGGGTTAGGACTAGGTTTTGTGTTGAGGTTAAGGCTGGGGTTAGGATTAGGGTCAGGGTGAGGGTTAGGATTAGGTTTTGGGTTGAGGTTAAGGTTAGGGTAAAAGACTGCTGCTGTGTTCAAATAAAGAAAAGTAAAAATGGAAAAAAGTGTAGATAGATGTTTTCACAGTGATGATATTGGACGTTTTTCTCTTTAAGTACTTTACACACAGAGCGAGACTTACTTGTGCAATTTCTGGAAACATCAAAAATAAATTCCAAACCTTATAAACCTTATAATATCTGCAAATATACCAAATATGATTTTTTTTTCAGATGGCAATAATGTCATTTTTGCTAATTTTCCACCAATCACTGCTGTCTCTGGTGTTGGCATGGCAACAACCAAGCTGAAGGCCTAACTCTGAACCAGCAACTAGAATTTTTTGCCAAACACAGACAGGATCAGTTTGCCTTCCGCTCAGTCAGGTGTGGTGCTGCATCTCCAAAAACAGCTCAAGCTGAGTTGCGGACATCCGAGCTGTATGCAAAAGCACTCATGAAGTTTCAGTTCCTGAGTGAAGCGATGAAGCTCGACACTCTTCTTTCACTCTTCCAAAATGTAAGGTAGCATACACTCTCAGAAAAAAAGGGATGAATCTGTCTCTGGAGCAGTGCCCCTCTTGTCACTGGGGTGGTTCCCTCAAGGGTACATCCCAGTACCTTCAGTCAGGGAACATAACTGAACCATAATCCACTGAAATGATATGTTCTAAGCTGTACTGACTCCACACACCCCGTCTCGTCTCCAGGCTTTTATTTTACTGTTCTGTTTCAAAACATTCGGTTATGAAAAGGTACAAATACGAACTTTTCACCTGGAAAAACTTATTTAAGGTTCACAATCAGACCTTAAAACCACTGTTGTACCTTTGAGGGAACATTTACATTGTTTGTACCTCGATGAACAAAAAATGTACCTGAACAGAACCTTTATTTCTAAAAGTGTATCCAATTTAGCTGTTTGTCTCTTTTATGAGGAGCAAACGTGTCTCTTGAAGACATTTTGCCTTTAAACCACCAAGCTACCCTGTTTATGTACTGTTGTTACACACTGCACTGCACTTCATATTATATTATATTTCTATTTTATTTCTGTGTATTCTCTTTATTTAAGTTTGGGTGCACCTGGTCATATGACATGTTTTATTGCCAGATGAAATTAAGTTAAATAAGTAAATTCAACATATTGGGGGAAAAAACTAAAACATATAATTTGGAATGTGCAAATATTTTAGTACATTTGGTATTTATATTACTTTTATACACCTCTGTGTTTACCTGTACACTGTGAACTCTGCTGCACAGTCTATATTGCAACTACAGTGTACATAAGCATCTCTGCATGCTTCATACTGCAAGAAGAATACTTAGAACCTTTTATACAACTGTGATATTGCATATTGTGGCACCTGCTAGAAAATGACCACAACATGTGTAAAGTGACAACTCGGTTTTTTAAGTAGCGTCACAGCTTTGCTGGTGCATTTGCTTTCTTCTAACTGATTCACAAACCTCAGAGAATAATATTGTGAAATGTAACGTGCATCGGAAATATGCCAGGTTTCGCAATATTCCTTTTTTTGCTGGGTTGCCCATCGCTGCGTGATTGAGAAATTGCCCATTGCTCTTAATGTTGCAATGAACTTCTGGGAAAGTTTGTCACTGCCGTGTATAAATAGCTGCAGAGATGATGTCACTGACCGTGAACCACACTCTCTTCCTCTCCGCCTTCTTCCCTTTCAGTTTGGGCAGCAGCTCCGTCTGCAGTGACGGCAGGAGCTCCTCCATCACCAGGTTAGCCAGGACCTACACACACACACACACACACACACACACACATTTGTTTTTATACCTTGCCAGGACACGGGTCATATGTCCCATATATACTGTATATGTAAATACCTATATAAGATACGGAAGACCAGAGAGGCCATCAGGTAGTTATAATTTTCTCTTCAGACAACGAGTTAATTATCTTGTTATCTCAAGATAACAAAAGTTGATATACTGGTATAACGAGTTAATTATCTTGTTATCTCAAGATTTTTTTTCGTGAAATAACAAGTTAGTCATCTTGCTGTCTCAAGATAATAATCCAGAAAATTACAGCAACAGCTTGAGGCCTCTCCAGACTTCCATAATATGATGTCCCATATGAATTATATATGTAAATACTGTAAATGTAAATACTGATATGCCTAATATGCCCTATATATATATATATATACAAACTGTGCAGCAGCAGATGAGCTATCGTCTCTGACTTTACATCTACAAGGTGGACTGACGAGGTAGGAGTGTCTAATAGAGTGGACAGTGAGTGGACACAGTGTTTAAAAACTCCAGAAGCACTGCTGTGTCTGATCCACTCAGACCAGCACAACACACACTAACACACCACCACCACCACGTCAGTGTTACTGCAGTGCTGAGAATGAGCCCCAAATAGTACCTGCTCTGTGAGGGTCCATGGGGGTCCTGACCACTGAAGAACAGGGTAAAAGGGGGCTAACAAAGTATGCAGAGGAACAGATGGACTACAGTCTGTAACTGTAGAACTACAAAGTGCACCTATATAGTAAGTGGAGCTGATAAAATGGACAATGAGCGTAGAAACAAGGACATAATGTTATGCCTGATCGGTGTGTGTGTGTGTGTACATATATATATATATATATATATATATATATATATATATATATATATATATTAGTACTTATTATAATGATACATATTATAATCATCATATAAATATAAGTATCTATGTGTAATAATAAATTTCTAACCTAACCAAAAACAAATTGTTTTACTCTTTCAGTTTAAAAATATTAAAGCACTTTACAGAGGCAGCTCAGCCCGTATTGCCCAGCGAGAGGAAGCTTTGACTCATACTGTCATTCCGCCGACACAAACAGGGTTTTAGTGAGACAGACTGAGTCACAGAAGCCAAATCTGTCAGACGACACTGACTCACTGAGTCCTGCTGTTAAACGGAGAGTCACCGAGTGGCCGTAATGCCTTAGACATGAGTCGCTCCACAGAACCGCTGTCCTGTTTTAATCACTCAACACATCGGAATCACCGTTCAAAAGTCTGAGACCACTATTTTCATTAATAACAAGCAGACACATACATTATGGTCTGAATCATTTAGACACACTTAAGTGCATTTAATTGGTTTGGTTACATGTACCAAAATTACATTTTGATAAATTTGTACTTTACAAGTATTTTTAAATGGTAATGCTTTTACTTCTACTCCAGTGCATTAGCGGAGAAAGCGATTAACGTTCCTTCAGTTCCATTTTAATCATTATTTAATTCCTAACTCTGATTAATTTCGCTGTTTTGTGATAGCTCCCACCTCTCAATCTGGAGCTTCAGCATCTTATTTTAGACCAGAGGTATCTTAAAAGGGAGAAACAGACTAACCATCTTTAGTTCAGTGAGAAGTTCCACTGAGCCCTTTAGCTAAATGTAAAGTTTACGAATGTAAAGTCACAGAAAGGGAAGCTGCCTAATCTATTTATTTAGTGTAGTTTTACTGATAATGTCATTAATATCACTATCATATTTACGCTTTTCATCATAAGACTCTTCTCAAAGCTGTACAAGCTGTGACTCCAGGGTCATCCACAGGAAGCGCAGTAGCTACACAGGAAACACCTCTGTTTTCCTCTGAGTGTTAAAGGACCCTCGTTTAGCCCCCTTATCACCTCCTCTCATCACTGGAAAACACATTAGCGCTGCTGTGCGAGGCTGCCTACAGAACGGAGCGTCCACTCAGACCATCTGCCCCCTGAAGGAGCGTCACACAGATTTGACACTACCGAAACACTTTTTCCATAATTAAGTAACTTTTTTGTGTTTTAATGAAAATCTGATGATTTTCTGTGTGAACAGCTGTTCAAAGCTGTGTTTGCTGGTCATGTACTGGCTGCGTTTTTCAGTTCTGCTCAAAATGAGCTAAAATTGTCACGACCGAAACAGTCACTACTGAAACAGTCACTACTGAAACACCTGGTAAAGTTTGGATTGTTGAGATTGTTTTGGTAGTGAGAAAATGGAATGTTCGGTCATTAGTTTTAATAAAATAAACGTAATTAAGGTATAAAGTCGATTCAGTCGAATCATTAATACACACAATCACTGTCGAGCAAAACCAGTGTGTCTCCATTTTTGTCAGGGTTTTTTTTTGCATAATTTGAAAACCGCTCAACAGTTTTATGATGAACAGACGGACAGAAATTCTCCAAAATGACTGATTATATTACTGTGTATCATAAGTTAATAATGTTTTCCTGATCCTGTAAAGTTACTATTGTGCAGATTCAAGACTCCAACAGCCACAACAGCCACAACATCACACATACTGTCGAACTGATTCAGTCTGTCTGTCTTTCTGTCTGTCTGTCTATTTATCTGTCTTTCTCTCTCTGTCCCATCTCTCTCTGCCCATCTTTGTCTGTCTTTCCACCCGTCTGTCTCTCTGTCTACCTAGGTCTGTCCCCATCTCTCTTTCTGTTTCTGTCTGTCTCTCTGTCTGTCTGTCTTTCTTTATCTGTCTGTCTCGGTCTTTCTCTGTCTGTCCATCTGTCTCTCTGTCTACCTAGGTCTGTCTCCATCTCTCTTTCTGTTTCTGTCTCTCTGTGTGTCTATCTGTCTGTCTATTTATCTGTCTTTCTCAGTCTGTCTGTTTCTGTCTCTCTGTCTACTTATCTGTCTTTCTCTGTCTGTCTGTCTACTTATCTGTCTTTCTCTGTCTTTCTGTCTCTGTCCGTCTGTCCCTGCCTGCCTTTCTCTGTCTGTCTGTCTCTACCTGTCTCAGTCTGTCTGTTTGTCTTTTCTTGTTTCAGTCTGTCTATCTCTCTCTTTCTGTTTGTCTGTCTGTTTGTCTGTCTGTCTGTCTGTCTATCTGAGAGAGAGTGCACTTTATATTTCCCTTGTGGTCACATCAGTTAGACCACAATGTGACACACCCATCTGACAGCAGTCCAACACACACACACACACACACACACACACACCATCTCTCCATTAAACTGGGATTTTTTGTTTTTTCACTCTTCTGTGAGTTTATTTACCAGAAACAGTCTTACTTCATTTCTGCATGAGCTTTTTTAACCTCTCTTTAAGCTGCAGTCACAGTCTTGCAGTTTGTGCTGTTTAGTGAAATTGTGTGACCAAAAAACTGTCCGTTTTGTGCAGCTAGCGAGCCGCTAACTTGCTAACAATAAACAGTAAAAAACACTAAAAATATTTATACCAAATAATTACAGAGTGTAGTGCTGCACACCCGTAGGAAATAAAAAGTAGATGGTGGTTGGTGGCCGTGGGCTGACCTGTGTGCAGCTGTGGTTAGCCAACAAGCTAACACTGCAGTTAGCAAGCTGGCAAACTCGCCTACCTCAAACAGTAAAACTGCACAAGTAAATATAATAATACAGTCTCCTGACTGACTGCGTATTATGCAGTCTCTACGTTTTGTGTGTTTATTTATAGGCAGTGAGGAAGAGTAATTTAAAAGGTTTGACGCTGGGTAAATTAGCATTCTGGAGGTTCAGTGTTGCTATACAAGGATGCAAATTTGTGTGTCAAAGTTGTGCATCACCAAAGTTGAACTCAATGCAAACTTTTGCAAACTTTTCACTTGCTAAATTGATATAGGCTGAATGGCTGGGGCTAAGATGCTGTAGGCCGAATGGGCAGGGCTAAGATGCTGTAGACTGAATGGGCAGAGCTAAACTGCTGTAGACTGAATGGGCAGAGCTAAACTGCTGTAGACTGAATGGGCAGAGCTAAACTGCTGTAGACTGAATGGGCAGAGCTAAGCTGCTGTAGGCTGAATGGGCAGAGCTAAATTGCTGTAGACTGAATGGGCAGGGCAAAACTGCTGTAGACTGAATGGGCAGGGCTAAGCTGCTGTAGGCCGAATGGGCAGGGCTAAGCTGCTGTAGGCCGAATGGGCAGGGCTAAGCTGCTGTAGGCCGAATGGGCAGAGCTAAGCTGCTGTAGGCTGAATGGGCAGTGCTAAATTGCTGTAGACTGAATGGGCAGGGCTAAGCTGCTGTAGACTGAATGGGCAGGGCTAAGCTGCTGTAGGCTGAATGGGCGGGGCTAAACTGCTGTAGGCTGAATGGGCAGGGCTAAGCTGCTGTAGGCCGAATGGGCAGGGCTAAGATGCTGTAGGCCGAATGGGCAGGGCTAAGATGCTGTAGACTGAATGGGCAGAGGTAAATTGCTGTAGACTGAATGGGCAGGGCTAAGCTGCTGTAGACTGAATGGGCAGGGCTAAGCTGCTGTAGGCTGAATGGGCGGGGCTAAGCTAATGTAGGTTGAATCAACCAAGATGAATGAAAAAACACTGTTTTTGCAGCTCAGTTTCCACATACATACTATATATACTTTACACAGTACTTTAGACTCATTGTTCCATGATATGGGCACTGTAAGTTCGCAGTCACTCAACCTTGTGGTGGTGTAACAGTGGACCCTGCTGAGTGGGGGGGCAGAGGGGGTTCAACACACCTGAGAGTCCGAGCCCACCAGCATCTCCCAAGACTCATAGTGGCCCTTCTCCTGTCTGTAGAAATGAATGGCTTTGAGGAAGGCCTGGACTTCACATGTGTTCCTCTTCAGAAAGTCTGGAGAGAGAGAGAGAGGGAGAGAGAGAGAAACAGAGTAATATATGAGAGCTCATAAAGTTTAGCTCATCGTGGTGTGGTGCAACTCATGAGGGATGGTTGCATAATGCCCCGGAGGGAACTGTGTGAGTTTTGCTGAAGCTTCCCTTTTGTGGCCATTTCGATACCAAAACCATCAGAGGGGAAGGATGAAGTGGGAGAGAATGGGGAAAAAATGAGAAAAATGTCTTGGAATAAGAAAGCAGGCAGAGGCGACTGCCCTTGGATAACATGAGGACTGACATCAGAACTGACCATGCGCCAGTTCTCCATGTGCATGAGACTGAGATTGGAGGAAAAGATTGAGTAACACACATATGTGGAGTTACAACATTTATGTGCCTTTAAAGAAACAGTGGGTCGAAAAATCAGCCTGTACAGTTTTCTCTCTTCCCCCAAATGTCAAGACATGTTTGGAGCCAGTCTCATGGGGCCAGACGTGATCTCATTATGAAAACGTGTGGGGACTGTCATGAGAAATTCTGGGCTAAATGTGGGCGAGAATGTAGACCTATTAGTGATAAATTATTTCTGATCCAAACCAACACACTGTGAGGGAGGAGCTCAAAGATGGTGACCTTATCAATATAGCCCAAAATATCGCTGCTGTCGGAACAGAACCTCATATCTCCAAAATGGTAACTTTACAGGAGAAGCAAAAAACATACTTTGCTTTTAATGTAAGTCAATGGAACCAGAAAGATTTCCAAGTCATTTTGGACCATTTCTTTTAGTTCATTCATCATGAAATTTATACACAATGTGAAGGACAACAGGCATTTTAAAATATGTCAAAAACTGGAAAACGGCCAAAATGGAGATACCTGAGTTAATGTCTGCAAAAAAAGTATTTAAAGCGGTTTCATGGTAGGGCTGAATACTCTCTCTCACTCACTCACTCAGCGTCTAAGTGCTTATCCTCCTGGGTCGCGAGGGGCTGAACATTCACAGAAGAAAGAAATATTCTAAATGAGATCTCCTCTTAATCTCCTGTACTTCTCCTAGAGAAGTCCTGTTTGAGATTAGAGAGACTTAAGCTATTTTCTCCTGTTTCGGAAATTTGGCTCATGAGAAACAACCCTCAGATTTTCTCACTTTGATCAAAATATTGTCAAATATGTGGATTAACTAGTCTCTGAATCATTTTAGCCTAGTCTGAGCTGAATAATATCTCCATAAGAAAAGTGTAAGATCTCATCGTTTTCTTATGGAGCTCTATTCTATATCACAGAACTCTCTCAGCAGTCTGTCAGTGCAGAAGGAGAACTCACAATTTTCTCTTTCATCACCAGAACTTCTTACAGTGAAACGCTGTCAGAATTCAGAAATCAGTGGTCCTTCATTAATACAATATTGAGATCTGCCTTATTTCTTAGAGACAATCTTAGACTTTGTAGTTCTACAGTTACAGACTGTAGTCCATCTGTTTCTCTGCATAATTTGTTAGCCCCCTTTTACCCTGTTCTTCAGTGGTCAGGACCCCCATGGACCCTCACAGAGCAGGTACTATTTGGGTGGTGGATCATTCTCAGCACTGCAGTAACACTGACATGGTGGTGGTGTGTAGGTGGACTACAGTCTGTAACTGTAGAACTACAAAGTGCACCTATATAGTAAGTGGAGCTGATAAAATGGACAATGAGCGTAGAAACAAGGAGGTGGTCATAATGTTATGCCTGATCGGGGTATATATAAGACATTTTCTCCCCTGGATTTATGTAAAATATGTTTTATTGTGCTTTTGTAATCAATATTGCAATTTAAATGTGATAACTTTTTTTACGTTAAGCACCAGGCCTCTGATGGCCAAGAAGACCAGCACATCTATTTTTTAAAGTTAAATGCTTGAACGTAGTGTGCCAGACTGCCAGTTCACAAGCTCTGCGTTATTCAGTTATATTTCTCCACTTATTACGAGTTAACTGTAAATAATGCAGGATACAATTTAAGTTGCAGCTTTTTGTGAACTGAACCGATTTCTGAAAACGTTTGCTAACAATAGTGTTTGTCTAGCTAGTTAAGACAACTGTGAATAATGTAGGATAGGATTAAACTGACTAACTGCAGCTCTTGTGCTTTGAAAATGGCACTTATTTAAAAAAAAATACTAATTGAATCAATTTTGTCAAGCGCACTTCTGACAAAACACAATAAACATTAATTTTGAAAAATGAACATTAGCTAACAATAAGGCTGGCTAGCAAGCTTGTTTTGCTTGTGTTTTCAATTGTGCGGACACTAGCAATTATATGGACGTTAACAGCTTAGACTAGAGGAATTTGGGGGGTTTTAGAGGGGGCGTGCTCTTGTTTGTGGTGGATTTCACCAGCACTAAAACTTTCAGAACTTACAAGAATGTAGCTAACAAATAATGGAAGCTTGTACATTAGCATGGCGCTAAGCGCAGGCCTAAATCATCACATACTTACTTCAAACCATGTTTGTTTTGTAATCTCTAATAGATGGATTATGCAGTTTGACATATAAAAACTATAAACATGGACAGAAGTACATTAGCATGGCTAAACTTGTAGCAGCCTAATTTTGTATTTGTGTCCATGTTTAGAGACAACCGTACGTCATTAATCCACAGAAGCAAGTCTATTTGAAATTACTTTACAACTTAAAGCATTACTACGATTTGGGCTTGCTGCTAGCACCATGCTAGTTAGCGTACATAAGATTCCATTGATTGTTAGCTACATTAGCCTTGTAGCTCCAGTGCAAACCCACTGAAACAAGCTTCAGACACCAAAGACGGTCGACTATATCTGGGCTAAGGGGGAAAAAGGCTGCTGAACCATTGCTGTAAACAGCTCTTTAAGCAGCAGTCAGACCTCTTTATATGTTGCGAACATGGTACACACAAAGAAAGGTGTGAAAACAATACATGTTTCAGTTGTGTAGGACAGAGTGCTGGTTTTGATGCTGTACCCTGCTGTGCAGAAGCGAGCTAACCGCTAAAAGACGAGTCACCGAGGCCTTTTCCCCACACAGGAAGAGCAGCTTCACTAAGCTGGATATTATTAGAGCGTTACCAAGACCACCGAAGAGAAACAGCCCTACACTGAAGAGCGATCTGAGCATGCCCAGTAAAATCACTCTCTGATTTATCTCACCAGCAGCGTTGGGGAAGTTCCTCAAAAAGGTCATCAAACTCTAATTACTAATCACTTCTCTCAAACTGTAATGAGATTACTGTACTTATTACATCCTGAAAAAAAAAACCTCTTTACTCATTACTTCACTGCTACACACTTCAAAAAGAAGGTTCTTCAGTGAAGAAAATGGTTCTACGTAGAACCAAGAACACTCAAATAACTTTTGCATGGTTCAAGGGTTCTTTGCATGGTGAAAGGGTTCTTCAGATTGATGGAGAATGTGCTGAAGATGGTTCTATATAAAACCTGTTAAAAAAGGGTTCAGGCTTGACATTGTAACAATCGCAGAACGCTTTCTGGTGCTAAATAGAACCCTTTTCAAAAAGGTTCGGTATAGAACCATCTACAGAAACCTGCAGTCTGAAGAATGCTTTCACCATGCAAAGAACCCTTTTACCATGCAAAGGGTTCTTTGAGTGTTCTTGGCTCTACATAGAAACATTTTCTTTCCTAAAGAAGCCTTGAAGAACCATCTTCTTCTCTCTAAACCCCACATAAATCTGTACCAACTGGAAAATACACTGGATAATTCATTATTTATTTAGAACAAATTTGGCAATTACAGTAAACATCATTTAAAAGAGAGTCATTGTCCCTGTTTTGGACCAAACAGGCAGTGATGCTGATTAAAATGAACAGCTGTTCCTGTTTGAACACTGAAAAACTGTGGAAACAGTTCAGAAACAGCTGCCTCGAAATAAAATCTTTAAGCTGACAGGGCTGCTTCTGAATGTAAATCGAGTCTAAGCTGTTTAGGTGGTTCTTTTCTTTAGCATGGAGATCTTTATCCATCAGACTTATCTATCAGATTGATTAGCTGATCTGACAGACTGTTACGGTGCTAACTGTGCTGTGCCGCTCACATTCATAACCCTGTCACAGGCAGCACATGCGCCTGTAATAAACGCCGTCTTGTAAGGCCTTACATGGTGAAACTTCCATGCAACTAGTTGCGTGTTGTGAGTTGCCTGCAACATAATTTCCTTGCAACTTGACACTTACATCAAGCAACTCGGAAACAAAGGCAAAGTTGCATGCAACACATTCAGCTACTCCAAATTAGCAGCTTGTATTTTCTCGGAACATCATATCATTCACTACATGTAATTTACACATTTACAGTCTTTATTTTAAACATCTTTGCATATTTATTCCTGTTTTAATTGCTGTTCTTTTTTTCTACATGTACATGCCTTTCATTTCTCAACTTATCTGTGGTTCTGTAATGTATATTTGAGATTTTTATCAGTTGTGTTATGTTCCCTGCTGAAAAAACCAGCACGCTAGTCTTAGCTGCTCTAAGCTGGTTTATGCTGGTCTAGTGCTGGTCTGATGCTGGTTTAGCTGGTCACCCAGCACAGGCATAAATGGTGGAACAAGAAGATATTTAAACAGCCGTTAGTGTTAGCTGGCTATTTAACACAGCTGGTTGCATAAAAAGTAGCTTCAATGTTGTTGTCATGGCTCAGGAAACAAACTGGGGTAGAGGCTTTTTTAGCCACTCAGTAAATCATCTTCTGTTTTATTTTCTTGTCCATTTAATCTCTTGAAATCAACAGTTTGAAAGTGTGTTGTTCAACGTGATCACATTACATGTTGTATTTGAAGTTGAGACGTTTGCAGCTGTTGCTGATGAGTTACAAATGAGTTGCAGGACGCTTTACATAATGTATCTCAACTCAAGTACAACTGAGTTACGTGTACTTCATTACAAAAGTGTTCACATCACTGTAATGTGTTGCTTTGCACCACGTTACCCCCAACACTGCTTTCAAAGGCAGAAGAGCACGGGGCAGTGGTTCATAAACAGAGTGATTTGGGAGGGTTTAAGGAATGGAAAGAGAGCAGAGCAGTTTAGAGAGAGTGACAGCATGTCTCCAGTGGGTGTGTATCTGGATGAGTGTGAGCCATGCAGATGTTTTCATTACTGTTTTTATTACTCTTTAAAAATGTCTCCTCCTACACAATAGCTGAAAAACACTGTGCTCTCAGCCAGATAAAGCTGCTATTTTTCGTGAGTTTGCTGTTATGACCCCGTCTGCTTTAGGCAGCAACAAGAGTGGCATATTTTATTTTTGTACATTTTCAGGGCAGAAGGGAAATAATCCTGACTCTGTAAAGCACACCCTGTTTTATTTTTTAAATAGAAAAAGTTTTAGGTGACCTAGAAAATACTAACTAGATATGAACACTTTAATATCTATATCTATTGACTTTTATCTATCTATCTATCTGTCTATCTATCGATCTATCTATCTATTTATATATGCCTTTTTGAATTAGGCCTGGCCAATCAGAACAGAGCTAATTTACATAAATCATGTATGTCGTAAAGGTACACTAACAAAAATATATATACATACACCGACTAGGCATATCATTATGACCGCCTCCTTGTTTCTACACTCATTGTCCATTTTATCAGCTCCACTTACTATATAGGTGCACTTTGTAGTTCTACAGTTACAGACTGTAGTCCATCTGTTTCTCTGCATACTTTGTTAGCCCCCTTTTACCCTGTTCTTCAGTGGTCAGGACCCCCATGGACCCTCACAGAGCATGTGCTATTTGGGTGGTGGATCATTCTCAGCACTGCAGTAACACAGACGTGATGCACTACAAAGTCAACTACAAAGTGCACCTATACAGTAAGTGGAGCTGATAAAATGGACAATGAGTGTAGAAACAAGGAGGTGGTCATAATGTTATGCCTGATTGGTCTATATTTATATATATACATATATAAACACATACATATTTGTTTTTCTCACCGTGGTTCTGGTGGCGGATGCAGTCAGACAGTGTGGAGATGAACTGAATCTGTTTCTCCTGTTGCTGGAAGCTGAAGTATGAGTCTCTCCTGAAGGGCAGTCTGAGGTAAACAGGGAACGGCCCTGGTGGTGTTACCACCGGCGCTGACCCCTCCTCTTTAGAGCCTATCAAGTACACAAATATACAAATATACAAAACCCAGAGAGAAGGTACACGGTGGAAGAAAACCTCAGGCTACGTTCACATTACAGGACTGATGTGACATAAATCTGATTTTTAAATTAGTTAAGATGTAAACAGAGTCATTCAGAGTGGTTTGGTGTGAAACGGTCCGTTCTAGAGAAACTTACAGAGTCAGAACTGTTCACAGTGGTGGTGATAGGAACCAGACGTCCACCTCTAAAAGCTCCCTCACAGAAAGTTACTACATGAAATGGTTATGAATTCACTGCCTGATGTCTGAGACACTGTTTTACGAAAAAGTAGGCAAAATAGTCCCCAAAGAAAACTCAATATTTTCACCATTTACCATCATCAACATTCCATATAAAGCTCAGAAGACTCGTGTAGATTCACTGGTGGTTTTGGATAGTAAATAAAATGTCTATATTTGTGTTGTAGACATGGTGACCCCTGGTTCCTATCACCACCACTGTAAAGACGTCTGAATCTCTACAATCAACCATTTCACACCGAACCACTCTGATCTGAATGACTCTGTTTACATCTCAAGCATTAATTTATGCAGAAATTTGAAACACTTATGTTTACCACAAAAAAAGAAACATGAAAGTTAACAGAAAATAGTAAAAAAGGTTGAATTTCTGTGCTTGTTTTACTTTACTTGGCAGATATATGTTTTAGAAAATGTGCTTGAAACCAGCAAAATGATCTGCCAGTACAGTGAGATGTAAAACAAGTAAAAATGTCTAGAAATAAGCTAGATAATCTTGTGTACAACCATGTCAAAATGGGAAATATTAGATATATAAACTAGAATAAAGATCATTTCACTTGACAAGACACTATTTTTTGCAGAGTTCGTGTCACTATAACGTGAGTGTGATTCATCTGTCTTTAGTGTGAACACTCCTCTTGATGAGTCAAACGCAGTGATATGTGATTTTAAAATGAGCTCAGATTTTTGTGTTTACAGTGCTGTGAAGAAATCAGACAACACTGCAGGACACTGATTCAACTCATGCATGGTATAAGACAGGGGTCGGCAAACCAAATGTTAAGAAGAGCCATTTTGTCCTTTCAACAGAAATCAAACCACCTTGGGAGCCACAACATTATATGTCCATTTTACCATCTTGGCAGTAAATATGTCTCAGTATGTGCTGATGTTCTAGTATAGGCTAAAAATATAATATAGACAAAAACACAGACTTACTCTGCTCTGCTTTAAGCTTTAGCTCAGCTATGGCTGCTTTTCTCGCATCACCAGCAGAAAAATACCATAAAAGTAGAACAGTGTCTTGTAAAATGTCTCTCAACGTTTGACTTTTAAGGCTGAAGTCGCTTCTCATTCGCCAGCTTCTTGTTCGAATTTTCCCGTTCCACCTTAAATGGTGCCTAATGCACCAGAATGTAACTGTGGCACCATTTAAGGTGGAACGGGAAAATTCTAACAAGAAGCAGCTTCACGACTTTTTAGTGTTTGACAGTTTATCGTTGCAGATTAAACGTATCAGGAAACCAGCTAGAATGATTATTATGCAAATAAATGCAAATTAATCTCCAAATTATTGCTATTTGTCTTAGATCTTTCTCTTTGCCGTTTCGTTAACTACTAGCTAGGCGAGACTGTTACCTGTGTTGCTATGGTGACCAGCAGTCTGCGCGCTGGTCTTCAGGGTTAAAGAGTGAATTAGCATTTCTACATTAACTCCAGCGTTTAAGATCATTTATTGTTAAACTGTGTTGAACGATCAGCAGAGCTTTATTTTACTGTAGGGAGGATTATTTTATTATATTATTTTATTTTTACCTAGAAACCTAATTCTGCTGTGGAGCCGCAACAGAGCAGTAAAAGAGCCGCATGTTGCCGACCCCTGGTATAAGAAGCCAGCTGAGTTCTGATAGGGCTCTAGGCATCAGTATAGAGCTCAGACAAACTCACTGTTGAGGTCAGGGAAGGCCTTGTCCACTAGGGCAGAATATTTCTCCTCTGAGGTCAGCACAGTGCCACCTGTTAGCAGGAGCGTGTGACGCGCTGGAGTTCCTTTGGTGAACGTCTAGAAGAGGTTACAAACAATTATAACCATGAATGAAAGTATTGCTTAAAGCTGAGGTCGGGAGTCTTTAGGATTATGTGGGTGTGGAAGGTGCTGTACCTCCTGGCTGTCGTGGAGCTCCAGGCTGTAATCTGCTCGGACCACCACAAACCTCTCCTTCCACTTCCGGCTGTCGTCGAAGTGCTGAAGGCTGTCCTTGTACACCACGACTGAGGCCTGAGGAGGCTCCTTCACACACACACACACAGACAGACAGACATCCAGTTACAAACGAGAGTAAAATGTGAGTTTTAGGTGCCCAACAGTGAAGCGAGGTGGCTGTGTGAGCTATAAGGAGAGAGAGAACTATTTTAATTTGAATGTTTTTAGATATTGAAATTGAAACACTGAAGCACAGTTATTTCTTCATTTGCATACAGTTCACTGCTGTAGTTTGGGTTTGCATTACCGTAACAGTGAGTCAGAGATCCATCAGCTACACAAACAACTTCCCTGTTCTTCCCTCTCTCTTTTGTTTTTGGATGGACACAACATACAAAACTTAAGTTAAACCTGAGAATTAAATTCTTTACAAACCCTTTTTTTATAATCCTGACCTCAGTGACAACCCGCTCAGAATATTTTGGCCTTATTTTGAAGCCGTAGTCGTTTTTTCTCAAAACTGCTAATGGCCTGCTTAGCAACTAAACCTCTACTAATTTCACAGAGCTGACGCTGGCAAACCTTCTCCAAGGTTAGGTAACATGTCGTGCTATTAGTATCCTGTGGTGGTCTCAGTAGAAATGAATGAAAACTGACCAGTCAAAATGATTCATTAATTATGAAACTGACCCATCACATTGTGCTCAGTGGAACATGTATAAAGACTATGATAGCTGTGGATCATCTCAGGGGCCATCATCACCCATCATCACCCCAGGGAGCGCAGAGAAAATCTAACATCTAAACTTAAAGCCAAAGGTTTCAAAAAGGTGTTAGATATCACAGGTAAAATCTGACAAAATGACAAAATGATTTGTGGTCTTTGGCTCAAATAACACAAAAATTCTTTATTTAAAAAATTATAGCAAGGGAGAAAAATTGGTTTGAGAACATCAACCTTCTTCACAGTTGCTTCTGTAGACTCTAACCATCTTTACAGCTACTTCCATTGACACTAATCTTCATCAACCTTTTCTGCAGCTGTTTCTAAGGACACCAGCCTTCACCAACCCTCTTTAAGGCTGTTTCTATTGACACCAACTTTCTCTACAGCTGTTGCTATGGACCCTAACCTAGTTTACAGTTGTTTCCATGAACGTCAACTTTCTTTAAGGCTGCTTCTAGGGACAGCAACCTTCACCAACCTTCTTTACAACTGTATCTATGAAGGTCAGCCTCCTTTACAGCCATTACTATGGACCCCAATCTCCTTTACACGTGTGATATAAATGTCAACCTTCTTTAAGACTGTTTCTATGGACAGCAACCTTCACCAACCTTTACCAACCTTTACCAACCTTCACCAACCTTCACCAACCTTTACCAACCTTCACCAACCTTCACCAACCTTTACCAACCTTCACCAACCTTCTTACAGCCATTTCTATGAAGGCCTGCTGTCTTTATGGCTATTTCTATGGACATTGACTTTCTTTATGGCTGTTTCTATGGACACAAATCTTCACCAGCCTTTTTAAAATCTATTTCTATGGACACAAATTTTCTCTACAGCTGTAACTACGAACCCCAACCTTCTTTTCAGTCGCTTCCACGAACATCAGCCTTCTTTATGGCTGTTTCTATGGACACAAACCTTCTTTAGAAATGAGCACCCTACTTCTGAACTTGCGTCAACGTAGGAACACGATAGATCTGTGTTCTTAGATAATACCTTTACCCATAAGCTGCTTGATAATAGAATCACTATGTTGAGCATTACAAGCCATATAATTCATATTTAAACTGGTATTTTGCTCCTCTGATGACGTCTCTGTTATCAGTGGTCGTCCTGACTCCAGTCTAACTGAATTACTTTATGCTGTACATTAAATAAGGTCACCACAAATATGTCAAGGCAATCACTGTCAGTAATCTATTTGAGTAAACTCCGCTGGTTGAGCTCATTTACAGTGTAAATCACCTTCTGTTTGAGGAGCTGTGTTTGGCCGGTGCGATGCTGTTCCACTTCATCCTGCAGCTGGGAGAAAAAGGCCACGCAGTACTGCCTCTTATAGTGAGGGCTGAAGTTTTTCAGCTCAGCTTCTGCCCGCCCTGCACACACATACACAAACATACAGAGTCACTACAACCCCTCCGCATACTGAGACAAAAACAAACCCATAACAAATAAAAATATAAGCATGAATTCTGCAAGTTATGAACTGAATGATATCACAGTAATGTACTGGACAAGTAAAATTATATCATATACATATGGAACTTGTTCTGGTGCGTGATCACTGCAAGACAAAATTATAATAAACACACAAAACATATAAAAATTAAGCAAAATAAAAATATATACACAAATTTAAAACATAAAAATGTGAAATACCATATAGGTATCGATGAAACAGATAGCAGGGTCCATATTCTACACTTTTCTTTACGTTATTTTTCCCCTTAATGTCCTCTACATGATGTTTGTGGTAGTTTTATGTACCGAGAATAATAATTCATTTTTACATGACCATGTTATTTATCTCTCCTTCTTTAAGAGCCTGTTTTTCATTGCTGTTCCTTTAAGATTGATATATGTAAATGAGCTCTGTTCTGATTGGCTGCCCTGTATTGTGCCTTGCTCAAACAACAGTCCAAGCTACAACACTCCTTATAGCTTCATTTTGAGGGGGCAGGGCTAAACTGCTGTAGGCTGAATGGGTGGATATGTGTAAATGCATGCGTTTTTGTGACATCACAAAAACAATAAATTCAAATGGGCTGTTTTTTTCAGCGTAACTTTAACAATCCTTACATACTACACTCTTAAAAAAGACGGTTCTTCATAGGGTTCTTTAGTAAAGGAAATGGTTCTATATAGAACCATGAACACTCAAAGAGCTTTGCATCAAGAAAGCCTTCTTCACATTGATGGAGAATGTACTGTAGATGGTTCTATATAGCACCCAAAATGGTTCTTCAATTGTTACAAGCTTGACATCGTAACAATAACAGAACCCTTATCGGTGCTATATAGAACCATTTCCAAGAAGGTTCTATGCTGCAGATGCTTCAATATAGAACCTTCTTAGAAATGGTTCTATAGAGCACCCAAAAGGGTTCTTCTATTGTCACAAGCTTGACATCGTAACAATAACAGAACCATTTTGGGTGATATCTAGAACCATTTCCAAAAGGGTTTTATGCTGCAGATGCTTCAATATAGAACTTTGTTGGATATTGTTCTATAGAACACCCAAAAGGGTTCTTCTATTTTTACAAACTTGACATTGTGACAATAACAGAACCCTTTTTGATGCTATATAGAACCATTTCCAAGAAGGTTCTATGCTGTAGATGCTTCAATATAGAACCTTCTTGGAAATAGTTCTATATAGCACCCAAAGGGGTTCTTTTAATGTTACAAGCTTCACATCGTAACAATAACAGAACCCTTTTGGGTGCTATATAGAACCATTTCCAAAAAATGGTTTTATGTAAAAACATATAAAACACATTCTCTATCAATCTGAAGAACCCTTTTAACCTTTTAGTCATGCAAAGGGTTCTTTCAGTGTTCATGGTTCTATGTAGAACCATTTTCTTTACTAAGGTACCCTTGAAGAACCATCTTTTTTTAAGATCAAACTCTTATTTAGAAAAAAAAAGTGAGGAAAGTTTCTTTTTCCATGATTTGGGCCTTTTAAGCAGCCATACTAGATGTAAAATATGTGCATAACAATAAATTGGTATGTGAAAAAAAGCTGATTGATTATTATGGTCTTTGTTTTTAAGTTGTATTCCACATTATTTGTGTATGTATGTTGCTTTAAAGACCCTCATTATACTGAGGTTACACTGACACAGCCCCACAGAACCCTGTCTGAACTTCAAGGGACCATTTAGAAGCTTTTAAACATTTCAGATACTGGCTTTTTGTGGAAAACACATTCAGAGTCAAATCTGTGATGCATTATATGCTGGGCTAAGCCTTCGCTCTCAGCTACCCTGCCAAAATAACATGGCACAGAACAGAGCTCTGGGTCTATTTCAGCTTTATTCCACTCCGTGCTCCAACTCCAGCTTTCTTCACAGCTCTCTCCACTTGGACCCGCTTCATTATTTCCAAGTGTTCAGCCTGAGCTGGAGAATAACTGCATTTTCTTCCAGGGACGCGCTGCCTTGCAGAGCTCTGATAGCTGTTTCTTCTGCATTACTGGCAATGCAGCGTCTCATACATCAAAACTGGCTGACTGCAGGTATTGTATTACTGGGGTGAACTCCCAACAGGACGTCTTAGATCAACTAATGATGCCTCTCTGAACAACAGTCTCCAACACAGGAAGAAAAAAAGAGACGATTAAGTTCTGGAGAAAAGCTCTTGTTGCTGTTGAGCATTATATATTCTTAAATCCCCACAAAAACCAGCTTTGACCTTCTTCACTCTCCTTTAAAAGGAACAGTTCAGCAAAAAATCTAATTTACACAATTTTCCCTTCACTGTGAAATCATTCAAAACCTTAGAATCGGCATTCAAAAGTCACTGTTTTCACAAAATGGTATCTTAGCGAATGTAAATATCTTATATGTAGTCAATATATCAACTATTTCTCACTATGAGATTATTTAACTTATTTCTAGACATTTTTACTTGTTTTTAAGCAGTTTTATCTTATAAAAGTGTCTTATTTCATTGGCAGATCACGTTACTTGTTTTAATCATTATTTCTTGAAATGAGCAAAATTATCTTCATTATTTCTCAAAACAAGTAAACCAATCAAGCCAATGGAATAAGACACTTTCACCAGATAAAATCACTGAAAACAAGTAAAAATGTACAGAAACAGGTGGAATAATCTTATCTAATCTTTCACTTGTTAAGATTTCACTTGTTAAAGTTTTCACGATACATGATACATCATGATATTTATCTTTTCAGACCTCTGATCATTTGGAACAGAGAAAAAGAACCAGTAGCGCCACGTTTAAAATAAAATACTGTAAAAAATGTTGAATTTTATTGAATATTTCACACAATGTGTTGCGCTAAATCCAATTAAACGGGACTAATTTTGCTCTCCTTATAATAAAACCAGACAGTTGGTCGGGGTTCTACGAGTACAGACGGTATCCACTATACGTTTAGAAAAGCCCACTGTATTGCATTGTGACATCATTTATCTTGATATAGATATACATTGTCATGCTTCCCAGCCTACGTTAAACACAGATTTCAACTGTTTCTTGGACTTTCTACACAAAGAGTACATTTTTTGCCAAACTATTATTCTAACTAACCATGCAAAGATCCATTTAAGTATACAAATGGTTCTTTGGGTGTTCATGGTTCTATACAGAACCACTGTTTTTACTAAAGAACCATCTTTTTTAAGATTGCAGCTGTAGCAGGAGCACTTGAGTTGCATCTCTTCATTACAGCTTGAGAGCGCACTGTTCAATAATATTACATCTCAAGGCTTGATTACTGCAACTCGCTCTTGGCTGGTCTTCCTATGCGGCCATCAGGCCTCAGCAGCTCATCCAGAATGCAGCAGCACGGCTCGTCTTCAATCGTCTTCGAACAGTGCTCTTCAATACAGCACTTACTGTATTGTACTGCACTAGAGATGCACCGATACCACTTTTTCCCTATCAATACCGATACCTGATCTTTTAATATCGGTCGATACTGAGAACCGATACCGATACTAACTCTATCTAACCTAACTCATCTGTAAGTCCTGATATTTATCCAGCTACCTTTTTAAAATATTTTATTTTGGTAAAATCTGTTTTCTGCATCACAAATAAAACACACTCAGCTTGGCTAGATGGCATTTACTTGTTGGTTTATATTTATTAGATGCTTCAGAAAACTTATTTTTGTTTATTTACAGTGTATATTTAGTATTTACTATTATATAATTAGTAATAAGCACCATGTTTAACAACTTATGTAAATGTAAAATATCTTTATTGTGCAAAACAGTTAAAAACAGAACTGAACAGTAAACAGATAAACCTGGGGTGTTTACACATCAGCACACAGCAGCTTCTCTGGCTCAAAAACAGCTGAGTATTGTTTCACATCCAAGTTTCTCGAGTCGTTTGTCTCATACGTCCGTCTTGTTCACTCGGGCTGCGTCTCTGAGTGTCAGTTCAGTAAATATCACGGTCGTTCTCGCTGTCAGTATCAGTGTTTTTCTAGCTTGGTTGAAGCGACGGGCTGCGAGACCCCTCTGCTGAGTGAGGCAGCTGACTGACGGAGGCGCACTGCAGGGGAGCTAGTGGACGCACAGGCCCAGCTGGCGGGCTGCTGCGCTAAAGGCTAAATTGAGGCTAAATGATCACTTCGCTGAGAGTCCGGTGGCTCTCAATAACATTAACTCAGACTGTAAGTGACCAGACAGCGGCAGACGAGTGATTACTGAAAGAAGCAGCTCAGCTGTTCAGGTAAGCGGCTCCGTTAGCATGTTCCTCACACCTAATGCTGCCATTAATGATGTGCCATGAGCATTTGTACTGCTGTATGTTAGCTACACCGCTGACGTGGTGTTAAGTTCTGCCTACTGGCGCGCATGCACGCATCAGAAATTGCTTCGTGGTATTGGTCATATATATCGGTATCCCCGTCGCCAGTATCGGTGCCAATACTGATACAGTATCGTATCGGTGCAACACTATACTGCACAAAGTATTCTATTGTGCTATGTCTGATTACTGTTTCCTTTCTCTATGTATCAACATGGGCTTTTGTTTCTAGCAATACCTGAGCTCAGGAGTAGCTTTTACTCTGACCTATTTGTACTAGCAAGGATAATTTCTCTGACTAGACAACAAAGCACTTTTATAAGTCGCTCTGAATAAGAGTGTCTGCTAAGTGCTGTAAATGTAAATGTAAATGTAAATTACATTAAAGAGAAAACCAACCCTACATTTGAATACTTGAGCTCTAAACACTTTCAGACAGAAGCCTGATGGTGGATTCTGTTAGTACGAGTGATCTGTCCAACAAAAACTGTACCGTCTCAATAAACAGCTAGTCCATGGAGCTAAATCTGTAGGCACAACCCAGTCAGTGAGGAAATGGTGAGGATTTTTTCCTCTATTA